AAGTCGGAACGTGTCTACGTGATCCCCAAGTGCATTATCCTCATGTATTTCATTTTTTATCAGGCGGTGTCACATAAATCAAAAGTGATGGTTATAGTCTATAAAATTCTCCCATATTTTTTTCAATTTGTAAAGAACCTTTAATGTTTGTTTACTATAAAATGATATGAAAGTTCAAATCAGAACAGTCTTGGAAAGATAAAATAATTTTATTGGTATATCTAAATTAAATATTCTATACAAAAAAAGTCATCAGTCATCATTAACATTCGTGTCGTTTGGTCTATAAAAAGATAGAACAGAACAGTTATCTCAAATCAAAGACAAGGCCTTCAGCATTAGAGAGAAGACAATGGAAGAGCCATTTCTTCAGCGAGAGGAGCTGGTCACCACTAAGGCCACATGGCCAAGTGGTCAGCTCACGGCCGAGCTGAAGAGAGTGAGTCGCTTGGCTGCTCCTATGGCTACTGTGACTATTGCTCAGTACTTATTGCCTGTTATCTCAGTCATGGTTGCTGGTCACAACGGCGAGCTCCAGCTCTCCGGTGTTGCTCTTGCCACATCCTTCACAAACGTTACTGGTTTTAGTATTATGGTATTTTATGTTATGACTCTTACTACATCTTTCAATTCAAGAATCAAATCAACTCTCTAAAGTATTCTTTGTACAGTATGGATTAGTGGGTGCACTAGAAACTCTTTGTGGCCAAGCTTATGGAGCCAAGCAATATGAAAAAATAGGAACTTACGCATACTCAGCAATTGCTTCCAACATACCTATTTGTTTCCTCATATCAATTCTATGGATTTACATCGAGAAGATCTTGATTTCTCTCGGACAAGACCCTGACATATCAAGAATCGCTGGCTCTTACGCTTTTTGGCTCATACCGGTTTTGTACGCCCAAGCGATTGTCATACCGCTGACCAGGTTTCTGCTGACACAAGGGTTGGTTCTCCCTTTGCTCTACACTGCCGTAACCACACTTTTGTTCCACGTTTTGGTTTGTTGGGCTTTGGTTTTCGTGTTTGTTCTGGGAGGCAATGGACCTGCCATGGCTACTAGTGTGTCTTTCTGGTTTTATGCTATGATGCTATCATGTTATGTGAGATTCTCCAGTTCTTGTGAGAAGACTCGCGGATTTGTGTCTGAAGATTTTGTGTCTTGTGTTAAGCAGTTCTTCCAATACGGAATCCCATCAGCTGCAATGATTTGGTAAGTCTTTTTAGGTTGTTTGTCTATCAAGTTACATATACTAGACTAATTCTTCTTATTTCGTTTACATTTTCTTTATCTTCTTGTAATAGCCTAGAATGGTGGCTATTTGAACTACTCCTACTCTGCTCAGGTCTTCTCCCTAACCCGAAACTCGAGACCTCTGTTCTTTCGATATGGTAAGTAATATAGTAACACTTTGTATCTTTTGTGTTCTCTTTATATTAAAAAGTGTTAATCATGTTTCCTTCTTGTCGATCAGTCTTACAACAGAAACTTTACACTATGTAATTTCATCCGGAGTCGCGGCAGCTGTGAGGTACGATGATACGATCTCAATTCTCAATCTTTAAATAACATATTCAAGTTCCGCTGTATACCTTCATTTTGTAATCATTAGTGATTGGTTTCTTGCAGCACACGTGTATCAAACAGTTTGGGAGCTGGAAACCCTCAAGTTGCTAGGGTTTCAGTATTAGCAGGGCTTTGTCTCTGGCTAGTAGAGTCAGCTTTCTTTAGCATACTTCTCTTCACCTGTAGGAACATCGTAGGCTACACATTCAGCAACAGCAAAGAAGTTGTAGACTATGTGGCTGACCTATCTCCATTGCTCTGTCTCTCCTTTATTCTCGACGGCTTCACTGCAGTTCTTAATGGTGTTGCTAGAGGAAGTGGTTGGCAACACATTGGTGCTTGGAACAATATTGTTTCTTATTACCTTGTAGGAGCTCCTGTTGGAATTTACTTAGCTTTCAGTCATGATCTTAAAGGAAAAGGACTTTGGTGTGGTGTTGTGGTTGGATCCACTGTGCAAGCCACTGTACTAGCTATTGTTACAGCTTCCATGAACTGGAAGGAACAGGTAAGAAACTTTAGTTCTACATTGGTAACATTTGAGCTTGGTACACTTCTACATTTGTTGTCCTAATGCTTTGATTCTATTATTTTGCAGGCTGAGAAGGCTAGGAAAAGAATAGTCTCAACTGAAAATGAATTAGCATAAAACGAAGTGTGTTCCCTAATCAAGTTTTAATAAGAGAGAGAGATCTAATGATTTCATCATATTTTTTGGTATACAAAATATTTGCAATGTAATGGTTACAAGTGAATAAAAGACATCATTGGTTCCAAACGGGAATAATCCCTTGTGCAGCGAGGCGTTTCTCGACCCAAAAGACGACGTGGTTCGCAGTTGGTTTCCTCTCGTCGACTAGAAAAGGTTCCACGGTGCTCGGACCTGACCCGTGCGAGGAGATTGAAAATCCTTTTGCTCCTGTTTTATAAGCAACAAACCAAAAGGACATCATCAGCTAAAGAATCATCTTAAGCAAACGAACAGGCCCTAAGTTTAGTCACCTGTGAGGTTTCCAGTGGGGAAGAAGGCCCAAAAGGAATATGGAATACCTTTCTTCAAGAAAAAACCTTCAAGCTGTCTCAGTAACAAGACACAAGTTAATAAGAGATGACCGATGTTTCGATGATGATGATGATAATCGTCTTAGAAGTAAGAATCAAGAAACCTTGTTATCTTCTTGGAAAGATAAATCTATCTCAGAGATATCATCTTGAGCTTCAAGAATGGCTAGCAAAGGAGGAATCACGTCTTCTTCCATCATCTGTTTCAGCGGTTTCGCCACTGCAGCGGCTTTCGCAGCTGCGGGTTTAGGTTTCTTCGCTGGAACCGCCGCTGTTGATGACTCTTCTTTTTCTTTATCTTTCTTTTCAGTAGCAACTAGTAAAGAAAGAACAAGAAAAGTTACTCTCTTCTTGTGTTCTTGAACAGAACATTCTGTTTTTACTCAATCCGAAACTTACCAGCAGAAGTAGTGGATGATTCTTGGACGGCACACCGCAGCAATTGGTTGTCTTTTTTATTACTTGATTGCTGCAAAAGAGACAAGACAGAATCTGAAAACCATACTGCTTCAATACAAATGAGATGTAAATGTGAAAACATGACATACCAATGTTAGTGGTGGAAACAAAGAAGAGGAAGATAGAGTTGGAGTGGTTATAGAGATACGAGTGCTAGGGACTCTAAATGATCCTCCTGCTATTGATGCCATGTTAAAGAAGAAACTGAAACTGTAATTGAGATTCTTGATCAGTAACAAGATTTGTAGTTATCAAATCTTAGTTTCTCTCCATCTTCTCTTCTGGCTCCGAGTAAACACTTGATTTTATTTTTTTAGTGGAGCAAAGAAAAAGGAGAGAAGAGAGAGTAGGAGAAGAGAGACAAATGTGAAAATGGCTGAGCCGAAGAGTTGCCAACCACACACACCAAAAAAATGGGATATAACATATTTTTTTAAAAACAAAAATAAAATCTTTGCATAAAATACTTCCAACAATAGTTTTTTTTTTTTTTTTGGGTATTTCAAAAATATTCCTTTTCCAATACCATTTTTTAAAAATATCTTTTTTCTAATTTTATCAAAAAATTACTATAAATTTTGAAATTTATCAAAAAACTATGTGTAAGCTTATATTTAAAGACACAAATTATCTTTCTATGTGTGTAAATTTACATATATATTTCATAAATACCGTATGAATACCTTTTAAAAACCTTATAAAAACCTTATAAATGCCGTTTAAAACCTTTTAAAACCTTATAAATATTTGGATTTAGACTCCCAGTAGTAATGATGATCTTGATGTATCTTATCAAACATATAAAAGTTTATAATTTTTCATATTTAAAAAGGGGTATTTTTGAAAATGGATACAAAAGAGGGGTATAGCAAAAGGGGCATTTCTCAAAAATTCTCTTTTTTTCCAAAAGTTTTCTAAAACAAAAATTTACCTTTAGAAGTCTATTCATTTTACTCTTTTTCATAAGAAATTTGTATCAAGAGATATAGTTTTGTGTATCAAGAAATATAATTTTATATATAACATAGTTTATCTTATATATGGTGACCAAAACAAAAAAATTTATCTTATATATTTTCCTCAAATTTACATTAAAATATAAATTTAATATAATTTTTATGTTTTTATTTATTAGTCTTAAATTTTAATTGGATCTCTAGATTTTTTTTTAAAAAAATTTAGTAAAGTTTATTAAGTTAACAAACTATTTTTTTTTATTAAGATATAAGAGAAGTAATGACGTTAGCTTGATCGGAGGTTAAACTTGTACCATTTAAAATTTGGTGTGCATAATGGAAAAAATATTAATTGGTGTCTTAATCTTGAGGGAAAAAAAAGTGAGCACATTTTAATAGAAGTGAGAAAATACTTTATAAAAATTTCTCAAAACATTAAAATTCTTAAAACTGTGGCAATGATTTTAGACATAAATCTTTGACTATAAATAAAAATTTCATCTAACCTCTAAGCACAATTTCTTATTTCCAAGTTAAATAAACTATATACGATCATAAAATTAAAATACGTCCATCCAACAATATTGTTGGGTATTCATATATTTCGTTGATAAGATCAAAAATCAATTCAATTAACCCAAAAAAGCTAAGGAAGATTTGTTAGAGAGTCCTTAATATCTCTTTAAAGCAAGTTACTTAGCGGTCAAAGATCCGTAACATTCATCCCTTCTATTCTTATATGTGATTTATATTTATTATTTTCTATAATCTGTAAACAACGTATAACTTTGCTAATTATGATTTATTGTATATAAATTTAGTATTAATATTGTTACCACGGAGTGTTTTTCGTATATACATTAGTGTTAATATGGTATCCATTGAATTTTCGATTTGCTTCTCTACTATAAAAGAAGCCATTACATTACACAAGATTGGACTAAACTGAAACTTCATAAACCATTAGACCAAATGTTCAATTTACTTTAACAATAGGGTGGAACTCAGCAAATAAGTATGATTAAGAGCTTCGCACGTGAGTAGATACTGAACACTGATTCGAAAACTAAAGATTCCTACAACACTGGAGAATAGCCAAGTTTCTCCACGTGGCAAAATCTTGTTCGTTCTTTCTCTATTTACTTAGAGATGCAAAATGAATCAAACTTTAGGGAGCAAAATTGTAAATACTTTAATTTTAAGGATGATAATGGTTCTCTGATTAGAAAACGCTCCGGCTTTGTCACATTCTCAGACCAACCATCACTGAGCACTATAATCGCAGAGAGAGAGAGAGAGAGAGAGAGAAGTAGAAGAGTGAGAAAAATGGAAGTAGGGTTCCTGGGTTTGGGTATCATGGGAAAGGCCATGTCAATGAATCTATTGAAGAATGGATTCAAAGTGACTGTATGGAACAGAACACTCTCCAAGGTAAAAAATCTGATTTTGATTGTGTTTTGGAGATTTTCATTACTGTAATTGAAAAGGGTTTCAACGGATTGGTTAGTATGATTTAGTGTTTGGTTGTTCAGATCTGATAAAGTTGGAAACTTTGATTGATTTTGCTGTAATTTGTGGTGTGTTGATTGATTTTGAACAGTGTGATGAACTTGTGGAGCATGGAGCTTCAGTATGTGAGACTCCAGCTGAAGTAATCAAGAAATGCAAATACACTATTGCTATGCTCTCTGATCCTTCTGCTGCTCTTTCGGTATTTGAATTGACTCCTTTTTTTGCTTCTTAATGTGTGTTTTTAGCATTGATGATGATATGAGATGATGAGCTATAGAAATAGTTACAGTTTCCGGTTTTTTAATTAGGTTGTTTTCGACAAAGACGGTGTTTTGGAGCAAATCTGTGAAGGAAAAGGTTATATAGATATGTCAACAGTTGATGCAGAGACTTCTGTAAAGATCAATGAGGTTGAAGCTATTTACTTTTGGATTTGGATGATATTTAGATTGAAACAAAATTGATTAGTTTAATTTAGCTGTGTTGGATGTTGGCAGGCAATCACCGGGAAGGGTGGTCGGTTTGTAGAAGGCCCTGTTTCCGGTAGCAAAAAGCCAGCAGAAGATGGCCAACTCATTATCCTTGCTGCTGGTGACAAGGTACAACTCAAACTATACTTCTAGATGGACTGGTTGATCTCAGGAACTGTTGTAGTTTTGAAATTAGTAGGAGCTTAGGAACTAGAACTAATTCCACATTCAGATTGTCTCTCAAGCTGATATAATTTGTTTTTGTTTAAAGGCACTCTTCGAGGAATCAATCCCAGCTTTTGACGTCTTGGGGAAGAAGTCGTTTTTCCTGGGACAAGTTGGTAATGGAGCTAAAATGAAACTAATAGTGAATATGATCATGGGAAGGTAAATGTCCGTCTCTTTTAAGTTTACTATCATTGGTAGTACAAATGGAACATGGCTTTATGACACAATTGTTTTTCATCTGAGACAGCATGATGAACGCGTTCTCCGAGGGGCTTGTATTAGCTGACAAGAGTGGACTTAGCTCTAACACTCTTCTGGATATCCTGGTGAGATGATCAAACTTTTCAATTTCTGATTAATGGTGTTGGTTGAATCGGGTTTTGCTATGGGCAGGATCTTGGCGCAATGACCAACCCGATGTTCAAGGGCAAAGGACCTTCCATGAATAAAAGCAGTTACCCACCAGCATTTCCACTGAAACATCAGCAGAAAGACATGAGACTAGCTCTTGCTCTTGGCGACGAAAATGCTGTTTCCATGCCTGTAGCCGCAGCTGCAAATGAGGTTAGTTACTCAGCGAGAAGAACATATTGATTCTCCCCTGGGATTGTCTTCTTAGCATGAATCTGAAGACATATTTTTTTTTTGTTTTCGACAGGCTTTTAAGAAAGCGAGAAGCTTGGGACTTGGAGATCTCGACTTCTCTGCTGTGATTGAAGCTATAAAATTCTCCCGGGAATAGCAAACTGTCCAAAACAAAAATCCACTTATTTGGGGAATGGCTTAGTTACTGAAATGATTGTTATCTTCCCAAATAGAGATGTACTCATTTGGCCAAAACACATTTTAATCCTTCACACAATAAAAAGTCTTAACCACAATGCATTTGACCTCGCTTTATCTAGACGCAAATGCAAACACTTGTTTAAGCTAATCAAATGCACCATTGTTTACATCTAAACCAAAGATGCAAACAAAAATTACAACACTAACATACATATAACCACAACTTCAGTATTGTTTATGTCCGTAAAACAAGCAAATGGTCCGAAGAAGTTTCTGAAATTTCTCAAACTTCATATCAAAACTTAACGATTAGAATTTGAGGCTTGCTTGAGATACACGACCATTTGGGGAATAACTAATTTGAGGCTTTGTTTATGATCATTTCAAGATACTAGTGATAAATGCTGTTTGACTAATTTTATTTGGACAAAGCCCATAAGGCCCATTAAATCTTTTTAAGCCCAAGAGGAGTTTCCTAGGGTTTTGTCTTATAAGATGTCGCATTTAGGTCATTCCGCCTCTTGTCTTCTCGTCACTCTCATCTCTCTCAGAGAAAAGCCTCTCGTAGCTAGAGGAGGAATCAAACAATGGTAAACCTTAGCTTTCTTCTCTCTATCTCTTCTCATTTCTTTACTGTTTCTTCTTGGTTTTCTCCTCAAAGAATCAGATTTTTATCTTCATTTCTCATAGAAACCTCCTGCATTTTTACTTTGGTTAGATATGGTAACGAGAACTATGGTTTTTTCAGCTTTTTAGATGTGTTTCTTCATGGGTTTTTGGTTTTGTAACTCGCTTGGGAATTGAAATAGGAAAAGTTTGAAACTTTACATGTTTTTGTTCTGGTTTAGAGGTGATGCGTTTTAATGGTGTTTTGCACTTTAGATCTTTGTTACCCACGAAAGAACAGTTTATGTTGTTGGATCTTAGACTAATGAAATAGGATAATTTGGTTTTTTATTAGGTGTTTGTCAAGTCTGACAAGTCAAATGCGTACTTCAAAAGGTACCAAGTGAAGTTCAGGAGAAGAAGAGGTATAGATTCTTGATTTCGTTTACCTGATGATATTGTCTGGTCACTCTTTTTTTCAGACTGATACTGAAAGCTATTTCACTTTTTATTTTGTAGCTGGTAAGACTGATTACAGGGCAAGGATCCGTCTTATCAACCAAGATAAGAACAAGTATAACACACCCAAGTATCGTTTTGTTGTGAGGTTTACCAACAAAGACATCGTGGCACAAATTGTCTCTGCTAGCATTGCTGGTGACATTGTGAAAGCTTCTGCTTACGCACATGAGCTTCCTCAGTATGGTCTCACTGTTGGCCTTACAAACTACGCTGCAGGTATTGAATCAGTTCTGTGCTTTTTGTCTATTCCAGTTTTAGAGGTATGATTCTGTGTCTATGCTTTACTAATATGTAATATATTTTTGGCATCAGCATACTGTACTGGGCTTCTTTTGGCTCGCCGTGTTCTGAAGATGCTGGAAATGGATGACGAGTATGAGGGCAACCTAGAGGTAAGCTGTTGGCTTGGTTTATTTTTTAAAATATAAAGTTGAGTTTTTGTGTCTTGTTAATAGCTCAAATTACACAATGAAACAGGCCACCGGTGAGGACTTCTCAGTTGAGCCAACTGATTCAAGGAGACCTTTCCGTGCTCTTCTTGATGTTGGACTTATCAGGACCACAACAGGAAACCGTGTGTTTGGTGCTCTCAAGGTACTGAATTGTTGTTCTCAGATATAATTTGTTGGCAGAGTTCTTTTCTTATTGAGCAAATGATGTTACTGGCTATTCTTTAACACACTTTTTGGTTTGGTTCATAAAACTACAGGGTGCTTTGGATGGAGGTCTTGATATCCCCCACAGTGACAAGAGATTTGCTGGTTTCAACAAAGAGAACAAGCAACTTGATGCTGCAATCCACAGGAACTACATCTATGGTGGCCACGTCTCAAACTACATGAAGATGTTGGCAGAAGATGAGCCAGAGAAGCTTCAAACTCACTTCAGTGGTTACATCAAGAAAGGAGTTGAAGCCGAGGGTATTGAAGAGATGTACAAGAAGGTACATGCAGCTATTCGTGCAGAGCCCAACCACAAGAAAACTGTGAAATCTGCTCCCAAGGAACACAAGAGGTAAAGAAACAAAACAAATTTTATTAGACTCTTGGCTTGTTGGTGTATTGTGCATGCTTGTCTTATTTGATTTTTGACTTGGTTGTGTTATAAACAAAACAGGTACAACTTGAAGAAATTGACATACGAAGAGAGGAAGAACAAGTTGATCGAGAGAGTCAAGGCATTGAATGGAGCAGGTGGTGATGATGATGATGAGGATGATGAAGAGTAAATCAGTCCAGCTTTCTTTATCTCGCGTCTCTTGTAGCTTTTTATCTTTTGAGCTTAATGCCTAAATTTTTCTGTTTTAAGACTACAACACTCAGCTTTTGTCTTCACATTTTAATTGTGTTCGAGGATTTTGATTTTGAGGATACATTTTCTATTAAGAATTTATCATCTTATTATCCCCATTATCATCTTCATTAAGCTGCCATGTTAGTAGTTTGATGTTATGTCTTGTCCTCTAAGATTGGTCCATGATCTTAAAAGTTAACTTCTAACTGTTCTACCTGTCTATTCTTGGTCATAGTCATCCTTCTCTTCGTGTACGTAGTTCTTCATTCTCTTGTGCTTGGAGCTCTTACAGTGTATTGGAACTGTCTTACTTTCCATGTAATGAATAATCTGCCATGTCGTATGAACTTGTCGAACTCGGAAGCTCTACTACATAACCAAATGTTAGAATTTGGTACTAACTAGTAAGTATCAAACAAACCAGCTGATCATCTATGAGATTATTTGTATTTCTTACATCTTACCAATTAATATATTAAGATCCATTGGAAACCTCTTTATCAGCAAAATTACTAGTGACGATTAGTCCTCTTGCAAGATTAATAGAACCGAGTCTCATGGAATATTCATACCTAACCCCCACTTATTCACATTCTATGTGCTCTTATTTGTATGAAAATTCAATCAACTTTAGAAATTGGGTAGGTGAGGGTTTTTGAATTGTTGTGACATATTCTTTGTTTTACTTCCGTAAGCAAAAATATCCCTAAGGCTTATGCGTCACTTGTGTCTATCCCATACATACAAAGTCTCTCTCTTAATCCTTCATTCACTTCTCTACAACCACATAATGAACTCTTCTTTTGTACTTAGCACGATTACAGCTACAATAGGCTTCTTCATGCTTTTCAAAAAATTCAGATTATTCCACCAAGAAAACAAAGAAAATGATTCTCCTTCTTTATCTCCTTTATCACCGGTTCCTCCATCTTCTTCATCTCATAGCTGGAGACACCAAGTCTTTCCAAGCTTTCGCGGAGAAGATATCCGCAGAGACTTTCTTAGTCATATTCAGAAGGAGTTTCGGACGAAAGGAATCACTCTTTTCAGTGATAATGGTATCAAGAGAGGAGAATCCATAACTCCTGAACTTGTACAAGCGATCAGAAGTTCTAAGATTGCAATCATCTTACTCTCTAGGAACTACGCTTCTTCGTCTTGGTGTCTTGATGAATTGGCGGAAATTATCAAATGTAGAGAAGAGTTTGGTCAAACTGTGATGGTTGTTTTCAAGAAAGTAGACCCATCTGATGTAAAGAAGTTGACTGGTGATTTTGGGAGTGCCTTCAGAAAAGCATGTGCAGGTAAAACAAAGGAGGACATTGGAAGATGGATACAAGCTCTAGCGAAAGTAGCAACACTTGCTGGTTACGTTTCAAATAACTGGTTTGTCTTTATAATTTTCCATTTCTTGTTCTTAATTTTTTCATGTACGTTAAAAAATTTGAATGTGTATGTCAATTTTTTTGACTATCTAATGGATGGGATCTTCCTCTATTAGGGACAATGAGGCAATCATGATTGAAAAAATAGCAAGTGATGTTTCCAACTTATTGAATAATTTCACACCATCTAGAGATATCGACGAATTAGTCGGGATGGGAGCTCATATGGAAATGATGGAACAATTGTTATGTCTAGACGCTGATGAAGTCAGGATGGTAGGGATATGGGGACCATCCGGGATTGGTAAGACCATCATTGCCAGATTCTTATTTAGTCAGTTTTCTGACAGTTTTGAACTAAGCGCTTTTATGGAGAATATTCAAGAGCTCATGTACACAAGACCAATGTGTTCTGATGACTACAATGCAAAGTTACACTTACAGAGCCATTTTATGTCCAAGATAACGAACCACATGGATATTGAGGTTCCTCATTTAGGAGTTGCGGAAATTAGGTTGAATGACAAAAAAGTGCTTGTTGTCCTAGATAATATCGATCAGTCAATGCAACTAGATGCTATCGCAAAAGAAACTCGGTGGTTTGGTCATGGCAGTCGGATTATCATCACAACACAAGACCACAAAATTTTGAAGGCACATGGCATCAACCATATTTACAAGGTGGATTTTCCATCAACACATGAAGCTTGTCAAATATTTTGTATGTCTGCTTTTGGTCAAAAGTTCCCTGAAGTTGAATACCAGGAACTCGCATTAGAAGTAACAAATATTTTAGGTAACCTACCATTAGGACTAAGAGTTATGGGTTCCCATTTTCGGGGAATGTCAAAGCAGGAGTGGATAAATGCAATGCCAAGGTTAAGGACTCACCTTGATTCTAATATTCAAAGCATTTTAAAGTTTAGTTACGACGCATTATGTGATGAAGATCAAGATTTATTTCTTCATATAGCATGCCTTTTCAACAATAAAAGGATTGAGAACGTGGAAGAATATCTTGCGCATAAGTTGTTGGATGTGAAGCAAGGATTTCATGTATTAGCTGAGAAATCTCTCATATCTATTGAAGAAGGATGGATAAAGATGCATAATTTGCTAGAGCAGTTGGGTAGAGAAATTGTTCGTTATGAGTCAGGATTCATTCGTGAGCCTGGAAAGCGTCAATTTTTGGTTGATGGTATTGATATTTGTGAAGTACTCACTGATCACACGGTTAGTTATTCTATTATAACTCTTCAATTCCCTTGCTCCTTACAAATTAAATTCATTTTATAACTTACCTTTACATTTTCTTTGCGGTGTTTTATAGGATAGTAGAAATATTATAGGCATACATTTAAACTCATCTGAGTTGTTAGGCGAATTAATTATAAGTGAGAAAGCTTTCAAAGGAATGTCTAACCTCCAATTCTTAAGAATCAAGTGCGGCCGGAGTGAAAAAGTGTATTTACCGCAAGGTTTAAAATATTTATCTCAAAAACTTAGATTACTAGAATGGGATCATTTTCCAATGACATGTTTGCCTTCCAAGTTTTGTGCGAAGTACATTGTCGAACTAAGCTTGCAACACAGCAAACTTGAGAAGATGTGGGAAGGACATATGGTACGAAATTGTGATATGTTTCTCTTAATTTGACTTTAAACCTTTAGATTATAAAAAATGTGATTTTAACACTATTGTTTCAAGTTTTCTTGAATTTTGTTTCTTATGTTTCCTTTGTTTGTTTGTACAGCCACTCGTGAATCTCAAGAGGATGAATTTGTTCCATTCAAAAAACTTAAAGGAGCTACCTGATTTCTCAACTGCCACTAACCTTCAAACATTGATTCTTTGTGGATGCTCAAGTTTGGTGGAGCTGCCCTACTCAATTGGAAATGCTATTAATCTCCAGAAATTGCACCTTTGTAGGTGCACCGGTCTAGTGGAGCTGCCCAACTCTATCGTAAACCTTCATAAACTGCAAAATGTGACTTTAAAAGGATGCTCAAAGCTAAAGGCTCTTCCTACCAACATCAATTTGATACTCTCAACAAAACATAAATATAGAGAATCTGAACTAAGCAAACTTTTGCATTAATGTATTGTTATGGCAGCTTAATCGAATTAATAACTCAAGATTCACGTTTCCAAAATACATCTATGATTTAGATGCATAAAATTGTAGAGTCTCAAAAGAGACTTAGATTGCTCCTTTCACAGTTCAAGTTTTGACTGGAAACTGCTGAACAAAGAAGCTAGAGAACGCATCATCCACACAAGTAACATCCACACTAGTCTTACCTTGAAGATCTGAGACAAACTTTGAAACACAAGTCGACGGAGAACCATAGAGACAAATGATCAAAACATTAGATTATCATAATTATTTTGCTTCTTATTTTCTTACATTTCTTTTATCACAATAAAAGAGTGATGCTAAAGATACAAGAGAATGCAAAAAGAGTTATGCTATTGCGCTATGTCGTGGTGGATTCCACTTTTTATTTATTTAATAAAGAACGTCAAAGTAAACTCGGAGTAGCTAGTCATGAATTTAAAATTTTCATATAAACAAATTGATTAGGACTAGTATGATTTTATATACAAATCACCTCTAGCTAGTAGTATCCTATTTTTAATATGTCAGAAGTTCAGTGGAATCTCAAGCTTCGAGACTTGTTCTTTGGATGCAGATGTGGGCTTAACAAGTTATCCAAAGAATATAGCAACCCTTTATTCTACAAATTTGTCAATGACATAAAACTCCAACGAGCAAACGTGTGACAACATATATAACACATGCATCTTGTTGTTGATGATGATGAGAGCTAATTAATCAGCCAAAGAAAATAAAATTGAGTCCTTAACGACAAAAATACAAGGCATTTGATTACCTTATATGCCCCATAATGTTATGTAATTAAAAGGGCCTCTATTTTGGTAAAAGATGTATTTTATGTGTTTATTTTTTTTTTTTGATAAACTCGATCGGTTGATCCGGTCAGATCTGGGAGTATCACACCGAAGTGCTACAATGTGGACTCGTCGCCAATACCTAGGTGTTGGGCTACCACATCGCTTGAATCCAGATTAACGCTTTCCGACTAATGCCCGGGAATAATCAGGCCGCTTGTATTTCTGATTATCAGATAAACCAATTGGAGCTAAGCCCAACTGACAGACTTCCCACAAAGATGGTGTTAACAGCAAACCCAGGTTGTGGAAGTTGCACCCTTCCTCCAAGCTCCCCTACCACTAGCCCACCACCTCTTGGGCAAAAAAAATGTTTTATTTTTCTTTTCATTATCACCATAAAACAAACCCTAGGCACGTCACATACGAGACGATCTAGAAATCGTCAAAGGATAACATGCATAAGACCAAAACATAGGTGTTTACAGTCTCAACAGCAATACACCTTTAGGGAGAAGACAACAAATGCATGCGCAAAAGCTTTTGCTGGCTTAACGCTTTAGTTTCGTAAGCTACGTACCTAACGTCCAAATCACCTTTACTAGAATCTCAAATGTTGTGTTATGGTACAAGAAATACAAAAAGAGTTACAAAATTTCTATGTTGTATTTTTTAATAACTCACGTCAATAAAAATTAATAAAAGCAGACGACTCAAAGTAGCAATGATATGAAAAAATAATCATACAAATTAGGTTTCGAATGGTAATCATATCGCATTATAAAATCGAACCGCAACAGTATTATAACATTATCAAAATATTTGTATATATATTTATATTTATGTATTTTTGTTATTATTTGAACCGTATCATATTTCTTCCGTAGTAAAAAAATATAATTACCATTGAAAGTTCTAAGAATTGAGTAGTAAAAAAATTAAATCAAAAAATTCATCATTTCTAGTAATGTCATATCTCTGTATTATTAATCCAATACGTCAGAAGTTCAGTGGAATCTCGAGCTTCGAGGCTTGTTCTTTGGACGTAGCGATTATGGAAAAAAGAAATGTTAATAACCATATATAAAAACAAAAAAGTATAAATATAGCAAAATAAATCAGCATACACAATTATTGTTCAATAATACGACAAAATGCACATACTCATATGTCTATTACTAGTGTATACACACTACGTTATGCATATAAAAATATTGCAACTCATGCAATGTAGAGTTCATCAAATGTTGTGTTTACAGGTGGCCACATGCTAATTATATAATCGTAGTTTTTAATCAAAACATAATGATGGTAACACTTAACGAGATCTCACCCCAAAACGTCAAACTTGTTTGTCCACTAATGTTTGATTAACCAAATTATATATTAACGAGAAAACGATCCATCATTATGTTTTATATGGCATATGATTTAGAAACCATCCTCGTTGTTTATTTTTGTTGTTTCTTTCTAATTATTACTCTAATAAATTCAACAACTTGTATTTTAGTCAGAGTGTTAACTATAATGAACACTGTAGATGCTTCTATACTTTTGTTATTATTTGATTATATATATAACTCTTTACTCTTTAATTAGAGGTTTTTGTATAACCCGCAAGCAAACGTGACAAAATAAAGAAATGATCATAAATATTTTACTCATAGGGTCCTAATTCCATTTTTTAATTTCACTATTCTCACCTTTAATTAGTATTTTGAGTAATTCGTATTGAGTAAAGATAACGATCATAAAAAATAAAGTTTACATATATGATCGATGTGACATAGATAAAGTGTAATTATTTCTTTACCATCATAATAATTTTGCATCATTGCAGTTTACAATTATAAAAGGAAAAAAGGGAGCAGAAAATTACAAATAATATTGGTTTTGTTAGTGTTCTTTTCAATGTGCTCTACAAGAATCTTAAGAGTAGAATTTTCAATTCTGATAAGTAAAACAATAATTAGCTTGTAGTGTTATTTCTTGTTTTAATAATTTTGCATTGCAACTTTTTGTTGTTATGATTATTGTTATATATATATATATATATATATATATTTATCATATTGTGAAGATGATTGTGGATTTGTGATACTCTCCTTCTGACAACGAATAATATATGTTAAACTTAGCTTTTTATTACATTATGTATTTTTAATTTAGCTATAGTTTTTTTTTTATCAACTGCTATAGTTTTTTTTTAATTAACTATAATTTAATTTAACTATAATTTAATTAGCTTTTAATTTTTGCATCTTCGAGCGCTGATCATGAGGGTTCGAAGTGTTAAAGGTGGGGGAAGTGATGAGATAATATGTGGACATGACCAATCAAACGTTCAAGTTAGGAAACATTCGAATAGATGCATCAAATGCATGAGACAGTAACAGAATAAAAATCACTACCCAAGAATTAAAAGCTAAATATAATAAATTATTTTTAAGAGAATAGTTCTGAAAAATATCTCAAGAGTGAAACATTCTCCAAATGAATGCAAAAAAAAAACTATTTGCTTTTGCTACCGACAATCATATACTCTATTTTACCCGGCTGTCCCCTCAAAGTCTCTTGGGGGTTTGATGCTTTTGTAAATGGGAATGAGAACTCATTTGCAAGAGTTGTGCATATAAAAAAGTATAGGAGATTTTCATCAAATTAGGTTGCTAATTTATGTACAAATACAATCCATACTAAGTACTAATATATAAACTTATGCATAAATTCATCAACACATGTTTTGGTACTCACTTTGGTTTTGTTGTTGAGAAAGCAAAATTCTACCCTTAACCGTTCATTGCTCTTGATCCACTTATGCTTTGCTCAAAGTGTACTAACGATGGATCTAAGCTTCGGACCAAACATTGTATAACTAAGGGCGGAAAACTCTTACCAGATTAAACTACTACAACTTATGACTCGACTAGTAGTTCTCTAATAGGCCTAATGGTTTCAACATAAGGTTTAAAGTGGATTTTAGGTGTGAATGTATATGAGGACGTCTTAAGCATGTGTTGGTGCCTCGAGTTTTCCAAGATTAAGTGTTTATACAAACTGAGTTGATGTCCCCGAATCTTTAACCATCTTGAAGACTTGAACCACCATTCCCATGGAATTGTTTGAAATGCTATATCAAGCGAGTTTGATATGTAACACTACAATCATAACACCATATTGTACTTCTATATTTGTTTATTTTGTTATCATACACTCACTAAATCATTAAACTAAAATAACAACAATACAGCCATATGTAGCATCCTTATCTTTTTATTCATTTTCCACACACAAAAAATCGCCATTAATCAAACATTTTTCATTTTTTTTTTTGTCTAAGTAATTTTCTTGAAAGACTAAAGAGAGTGTACTTATTATAAGGTCTTTTGCATAAAAGTGTAACAAAAAAATGTAAAGTATAAATTCCAAATTCGAGTGTGTCGGTGGTTTACCTGATACTCTCGTACTCTTGCATTTTTCAGTACCTTTCCCACGTGACCCCCAAACTATTTTACTACTTTTCTTAGTCCAAATCCAAATTACTCATTTTATTTTAACTTTTATAATTATCTTACTTTATAGATTTTCCTAAAAATTCATAGGCCCACGAAATATTATAAGAAATCAAAAAAGTATTTTCATTACATTTTTGGTAGATTTTGGAGTACTGGTAAATTCATTATTTATGTCATTTTCAATATTATCATTTTCTAGTGCTTTGTCTTTCTGTCGCCAAAAAAAAAAATGCTTTAGAACTATTAAGATTATGTGTAGTACCCTATTTTATGATTGTGAAATCCATCAAATACAAACAATACCAATATGTTTATATGGTTATGAACTTTCGCCCCAAAAAAACGAGGATTGTTAGAATCGACAGTTGCATATCAAACTATATATTGTTAATTTAATAGTTTCGTCTGAATAGTTTTTTGTTTTAATATTATCTATTTAATCTTTTTTTTTCATCAGATGAGACAATAATTTTAATCACTTCAGTGCGCTTTAAACACACTTTACATTCAACGGATTGTTCAACATAGGAATAAATTGCCTAATAAGCTTAGTTCATGTGAACCAATTGGAACACATAGTTATTAGTAATCTAGTAAATACCATCTAGAAAAAGACTAGTATGTGACGTATAAGTCCAAATTACACAATGACCAAACCACTAAGTATCATCACATTTTAATTGAATTTTATAGAGATTCTATATAATGTATATGATCTTTGAATATGATATACACATCACAAATTCAGTTTGACAATGTTACTATACCACATTAAAAATTGCAACGATCAAATGATAGTGTGACAACTTTTTCCAACTGATTGATGAGTAGTGGTATTATTACATTTTGAACATAAACAGCTAAATGATCTTGGAAACTAAACACGTTAATATTGACATGTTATTTTAGCATCTCCTTTGTACAATTTATACACTTTCAATATTCACATGTTTTGTATCATATTCAATAGAACTGGCTTATGCATCTCCTTTTTTGGGTTAAATATCTTGTCTTTATTATAATTGTTTGCAGTACAATATAATGGTTTAGAGTTTACTTCTACATTTATGTTGCCTGCTTTTTTTATATATATATTTGGTTGATTTTTTATATTAATTATCTTGTTTAAAATTAATTTAGTTGGTGAATTCATGATAGCATAAAATCTTAAATTTAGTTTATTTTTCTTACAAATCATAAGTAATCCCAAAACAATAAGTAAACAGTTTGTTAATGATGGATCTTGCCCTAATTTACCAATAAATAACCAATATACACAAGTTTGATCTGAAGACATATAGTGATTGTAAAGAGTAAAAATTTAAGGACATGTTACTCTTTACAAACTATTTTAATATACTATATATTGAGAAAGATTCACAATCTACCGTTTTTATTATTTATTTAATTTAAGGAATGATTACTCTTTACGGACAAGTTTCTCGGTTAACATTCTACTGAGGAAGATTCACAGTCCACCCTTTTATTTTTATTTTATGTTTGAGATAATTTAAACTAAATATTGAAAATTTTTATTTATATTTTACGGAGCTTTACGAATTGAGTGAAATAGTTTAACATATTGCATTATGGAGTTTTATTCTAAATTTAATTTACAGATTTAGATTCTCATGAAATTGTTTTAGATGTCAAAAACAAAATTTCATGAAAGTATTTGTTAACCTAACCGTTTTTATAATTCAGATTTGTTTGGTACACATAATATATTTTTTATAATTTAGTTTTATATTCCATCTGTTTCATTATAAGTGATGTTTTAGTCAAATTTTTTTCAGTATAAGTGATGTTTTCAATTTCCTATACAAAAATTTAATGTATTTAATATTTTTAAACTAATTATATTTTATATCATATTTTTTTATTGGTTGAATTTATATTAGTTAATGATGTTTTTATGGAAAATAGGTAAGTTATATGTTTTATTATTTAGTGTATCAAAACCTTAAACATCACTTTATAATGAAACAAAAGGACTATTCTTTTTTAGTGCAAGTAAAAAAATATCTTTAAAACTAAAAGAAATGAGTATACTATTTTTTTTTTTAAACTCCAAATTGCTGTTTTTTTTTTCAAAAATAAAGTCCATATATTTCTAGCTTTTGTTGAACATTTTTTTCACTTAAAACATAAAAGTGGTTTTAAAGGACAATTTATTTTGCTTCCATTCAATCAAGTTTAATTTCCTCTCTTACATATATAATTTTCTCTTATTCTCATTATATTATTTGCTCCTTTTAATCTCTCCACCAGTTATACCTGAAAATCCAAATTCACGTTCCGCATCCAGTGAAAAAATGAGAAAACACATGGACCGACCATTTACACTTTCTTCGACAGTGTCGGTACACAAAAAAAAAAGAAAAAAAAAAACCAATTCTCCCACAACACACCCACCACTTCCTTAAATCTCAACCATTTTTTAATACCTTTTTTTCCATACTTCTTTATTTAATACAGTCTTCGTCAAACCGCCGTAATAATAAATATTTATTTTTGGTCTCACTTTCCCAAAAAAAAACTTTAACCAAAAAAAAAAAAAAAAATCGCATTTTAAAATATTCTCTCAACATTGTGCCTAGTACGGTGCAATGCAAAACACACAGTGTGTGTAAACACACTTAAACACGGACTATTACAAAGTCCACGTCTTTTCCTACGTGTCACAATCCCATATGTTCTTGTCTGAAAAACTTTGGTCCCCCCACTACTCTCTACGTAAACCCGAATAATCTAACTTAACCACTCTCTCATCTCTCTCTACTCTCTCACCACCATCACCAGAAGATGTTAAAAAAGTTAATCAAAACATCGAAACCATTACCAGAAGAATCTTAGCTGGATTCATCACTCTTCCTCCTCCTCATCTCCATCTCCATCTCTCAGATCTTGAACAACAACAACAAGAAGAAGAAACAACAACAATGCTCTTCTTGTTCTTGTTCTTGTTCTTGTTTCACTTCTCATCTTTAGATCTTATCCTCGCCGACGACCGTCGTATACTCCACGAACCATTCTTTCCAGTAGATTCACCACCACCGTCACCACCATCACCACCACCGCAACCTAAACTACCATTCTCTTCAACAACTCCACCACCATCAACAGACCCAAACGCTTCTCCTTTCTTCCCTTTATACCCTTCATCTCCACCACCTCCTTCACCATCTTCTTTCGCTTCTTTCCCAGCTAACATCTCATCACTAATCGTCCCTCACGCCACTAAATCACCACCTAACTCCAAAAAACTCCTCATCGTCGCTATCTCCGCCGTCTCCTCCGCTTCTTTAGTCTTCTTACTCATCGCTTTACTCTACTGGCGTAGAAGAAACAGAACTAATCAAGATCTCAACTTCTCCGATGATAGCAAAACATACACCACCGACAGTAGCCGACGAGTCATCTACCCTCCTCCTCCTTCTTCATCCACCACCGTTGCTCCGACACGGCGTAATGCCGAGGGTAGAAGTAAACAAAGAACCACCACTAGTAACAACAACAACAACAATAACAGCTCTGAGTTTCTTTACTTAGGAACAATGGTGAATCAAAGATCAATAGAAGAACAATCTCTAAGTAACAATGGATCGAGTTCAAGAAAACTCGAATCTCCAGATCTTCAACCACTTCCTCCGTTAATGAAACGAAGCTTCCGGTTAAATCCAGATGTTGGTTCAATCGGAGAAGAGGAAGAAGAAGAGTTCTACTCTCCACGTGGCTCACAAAGCGGGCGCGAGACATTAAACCGGGTCGGAGCTCCGGTTCATCATCAAAATCAAAACTCTAGATCTGTTAACAATGACACTATCTCTTGCTCATCTTCAAGCTCTGGCTCACCAGGAAGATCAACGTTCATTAGTATCTCTCCTTCTATGAGTCCTAAAAGATCCGAACCAAAGCCTGTCGTAACCACCACCACCACCACCACCGCAGCACCACCGACGGATTTAACAGATTACAGATTCGTTAGGTCTCCGTCACTGTCATTAGCTTCACTATCATCTGGATTTCTTCCGGTGAAAAACTCTGACCAAGGAGGATTGAATCAAATCTCAAGATCTCCGACGGTTACGTCACTAACAGCTTCACCGGAGAATAATAATGACAATAAAAAACAGAGCTCGCCGCAGCAAAGTCCGTTATCATCTGCTTCAACATCACCGGAACGACGACCTAATGATACACCTGAAGCGTACTTGAGATCTCCTTCGCATTCCTCTGCTTCAACATCGCCGTATAGATGTTTTCAAAAGTCTCCGGAGGTTTTACCGGCGTTTATGAGTAATCTCCGGCAAGGTTTGCAATCTCAGTTACTATCTCCTCCGTCTAATGGAGGAGGAGGACAAGGCTATCTTAAACCGTTAGACGTATTACGTTCTACTTCTTCATCAGTTTGTTCCTCACCGGAGAAACCTTACCATAAGTCACCTAAGTTGTTGTCTTCTCGGAATTCACAGTCTCTATCATCTTCTCCGGATAGAGACTTTAGTCATAGCTTAGATGTATCACCACGGATTTCGAATATATCACCTCAGATTCTACAGTCTCCAGCGAAGATTTCACGTGTGCCGCCACCTCCGCCACCTCCTCCACCAATGCCGTTATGGGGAAGACGGAATCAGGTGGCTCATAAGGTGGAGACGATCTCGAAACCGCCTTCTCTCATGCCGCCTTCACATCCTTTTGTGATCCAATCTGAAAACTTGCAAGTGAGTTCTTCAGTGGAGGAGGTTCCAGAGACGGTTAGTGTGAGTGAGCCGGCGGAGGAGACTCCGAAACCGAAGCTAAAGGCGTTACATTGGGATAAAGTTAGAGCAAGTTCGGATCGTGAGATGGTTTGGGATCATCTTCGATCAAGCTCTTTCAAGTGAGTTAATGTGTTGTACTCTTATTTGATACAGTTATGGTTTTGTGAGTAATGTGGTTATTGAAGTTTATTGATGTGGTTTGCAGATTAGATGAGGAGATGATTGAAACGTTGTTTGTGGCAAAGTCGTTAGATAACAAACCAAATCAGAGTCAGACAACTCCACGATCTGTTGTCCCGAACCCGAACCAAGAGAACAGAGTCCTGGACCCGAAGAAGGCTCAGAATATCGCAATCTTGCTTCGTGCGCTTAATGTCACTATAGAAGAAGTTTGTGAAGCTCTTCTTGAAGGTAAACTATGAGTTCTTCTGCATTTGTTTATCTAGGAAGAATCATTTTGAACTAAGAATAAGAATTTGTTTAGCTGGAGAGTTTTTGGATGATACTCTGAAAGCTTTACTTCATTCATGGTTGGGAGATTCTTGGTGTTGTATTTATGTTCTTTGTTATGTTTTTTTCAGGCAATGCTGATACACTTGGGACTGAACTTCTTGAGAGCTTACTAAAGATGGCACCGACGAAAGAAGAAGAGCGAAAATTGAAAGCGTACAAGGATGATTCACCCGTTAAGCTTGGACAAGCTGAGAAATTTCTTAAGGCAATGCTAGACATTCCTTTCGCCTTTAAAAGAGTTGACGCATTGCTCTATGTAGCTAACTTTGAGTCTGAGGTTGAGTACCTGAAGAAATCTTTTGAGACTCTTGAGGTATTGTATTATCGCAAAGCTAATTTTTGTCTCTTTTTACCTGTGTCTGTATCAAATCATGAATTTATCTCCAATGTTTTGTGTAGGCTGCTTGTGAGGAACTGAGGAATAGTAGGATGTTCTTAAAGCTACTAGAAGCGGTTCTTAAGACAGGAAACCGTATGAACGTTGGGACAAACCGAGGTGATGCACATGCGTTCAAGCTTGACACACTCCTCAAACTAGTCGATGTCAAAGGCGCCGACGGGAAAACAACTCTCTTGCATTTCGTCGTACAAGAGATAATCCGAGCAGAAGGCACACGTCTGTCAGGTAACAATACCCAAACAGACGACATCAAGTGTAGAAAACTCGGTCTCCAAGTCGTATCAAGTCTCTGTTCAGAGCTTAGTAACGTCAAGAAAGCTGCAGCAATGGACTCAGAAGTACTAAGCAGCTACGTGTCCAAGCTATCTCAAGGCATTTCCAAGATCAACGAGGCGATCCAAGTCCAATCAACAATCACAGAAGAAAGCAACAGCCAAAGATTTTCAGAATCGATGAACACGTTTCTGAAAAGAGCTGAGGAAGATATCATAAGAGTACAAGCTCAAGAGAGTGTAGCGTTATCTCTAGTGAAAGAAATCACAGAGTATTTCCACGGGAACTCGGCTAAAGAAGAAGCGCACCCGTTTAGAATATTCTTGGTTGTTAGAGACTTCCTTGGAGTAGTAGACAGAGTCTGCAAAGAAGTAGGGATGATAAACGAAAGAACAATGGTTAGTTCTGCTCATAAGTTTCCTGTCCCAGTGAACCCAATGCTGCCACAACCTCTCCCTGGACTCGTTGGACGAAGACAATCTTCTTCGTCGTCGTCTTCTTCTTCCTCTTCGTCATCAGACGACGAACATAACACGTCTCATTAGTTTCTTTAAGGTGAGATCTCAGCTTTTGTCTGTGCAAGTTTGTTGTAAAAAGTTATCTGTTTTGTCATAGTAGGTTTATATATATATATATATAGAGGAGAAGGAAAGATTGACAAAGACAAAGTGTTATTATTTTTTTGTTTTTCTACATTTGTGTAAAATAATATAGGTTTACGTTTAAATTAGTTCTTTCTTAAACTAATAATCTAAAGAATAAACTAAAATTAGTTCTTCTTAAACTAATAACTCTGTGTTTATGTCTCAAACTATCTTACAATACTTGAAGGTAAAGTTACACAACTCGTTCATAGTCCTTGTCTTTTAGTCTAAAAGTTTAAAATGTCTCACTCACTATGCAACAAAACTAAGGTGTCCAAGTTTCTATAAACTGCGAATAAAATGGGACAAGACAACATTATATACAGAAACTATCATCTTGGACACAATAAGCCATATGAAAAGGACAATCACAATCTGTAACCATCGTTTAGAAACAAGTTATATAAAATAGCAATACATAAATATCGTTAAAAATCTCAAGAGTTGTATAAAATGCATAAATTAGTGTGACCACTACATTATAGTATAATCACTACTTGCTACGGTACTTTTTAACCTTTTCTTCAAAGAACCCCTTGTTGGATTTGAACCAAAACTTGGAACATAATTGACAAGAAGCTTGCATAGAGATTTAGCATCGTGATGATCCACTTGTATGGATTTATTTTCTCCCAAAATGTTTAAGAAGTTGTTAGAGACTCCATTTTTACCACGGCACACTAAAACTTTGTTACCCGGGTCGACCAAGAAACTCATCGTAGTACAAACGCAAAAGGGCTGGTGTATACTGGCTAAAGCAATTGATAGGAACTTGATCCATGACGCGGCTCCGTGACTCTCAATCTTAGTTGCAATCCATATATTTATATAGGGTGACCTATTTTGAAACTTTTGCTGAGTAAGCAAACAAAGTTTTTGCTCTTCTCTAGTCACTGATAAGCTGAAAATAGTATAAGAATGATGATCACCCGGAAGAGACACACTTCTGAATCTTTCTGTTGAAAAATCAAAACTTTGTAAGAAAACCACATTGTCTTTATTACTACAAGCAAGCCAATAAGTATTTCCATTCACATACATGATACGGCGCATCCACGGTGGTATGTGCCAGTCTCTAGTCTCACTTAAATCCCTCCACGAATTAGAGGTAAAGTCATAGATTTCGGACTCAAGTAAGTATGGGCTGACAAGTTCACCAAATTGTTCCATCCTCAAGATTTTGTACTTGTTGCATGAGGTTTTACCGAGAGCAAAGTTATCTAATCTCTTGTAAGAGATTCTTGGTTGAATCCACTTGGTTTCACGTGAATACGGGTTCCAAACAACAAGTCTAAGGTCTTTGGTGGTGCATAGCAATAAGCCGTCGCAGTGTAAGATGTCAAGTATTTTGACTTCTTTTGAAGACTTGGAACGAGGATCCTTCAGGCTAAATTGATCTATTACCTTTACCATGTTGTTGTCAATTTGGTGGAGATTGACGCTCGTTAGATATACCTTAAAATCAATCAACATGATCATTGTAGCATGAGAACGCTTCTCAGCTAGTCTCACGTCTTTGATCAGAGCTTTCCATCTTTTCGATACACATCTTAATCGTGCTAGAGAAGCTGCTGAAGCCTTATCGAGTATCTCCACTACCAACTCCTCTGGGAGATACATTGTGCTCGAAATTAGGGTTGAATACTTGGGAAACAAGGGATACGAGAGATGATGAGAGCTAGTGTTAAATAATTAGACCTAAAACAAACAAGTATGTTTTTATTGAGGGATTCAACGTAGATTTAGCCTTTACTTGGGGTTGTGGGCTTTTTTACGAGACGCCTACGTACGGCTTCCTAATTTTTCAAAGTAGTTTAGAAAATAAAACAGTGAAATTATTTATTTTTGATTACAAAGAGTTATTCTATAATATATTTGTGTAAAAATCTTAATCATCACTTACCACTTCTACCAGATGTTATATGAAACATATTTTTTTTTGATACATTAGTTTTCTTTGTCCACTTAACAATGTTTTAAAAGAAAAAGTCATTCATTCAAAATTTTAGGTGAGGAATTAATGTATATAAAGTTCAACTAAGCAAGGATATATATATATATATATATATATACCCTGGCACAGGTTCAAATGTATATTCAAATTTAATTTAAAATGTTATTCTAGTTGTAGCATTAAAACATTATATATATATGTGTGTTTGTATGTATTATAAATCTTAATATTAAATTATATATAGAACATTATTATTGAGACCGAAGTCTTATTCGCATCAATGGAACAAGTCTTTCAGTTTCAAACCGATTATAATCACAATTTTTAACGAAATTAACGCAATCTTAAGCATTGTTAAAACTACAATCTCATGTAAAAAATTTCATTATTCTCATAGCCATATTAATACAATTTAATTCTTTTTAGATATCTTAACTTTATCTTTAATTTTTATTTTTCCGCTGTTAATTTTGTTTGTTATGATTAAAGATTTAAAGAAAAAACAAAAATAATATTTATTAATCATAAACAAAAATAATTAGATGAGAAATCGGAAAATCAAAATAATATGTGTACTTTTTATTAATTATACATTAGTTTGTGTATTATTTGGTAGTATATATTTTTCTACCAGATATTAAATAAGTTTTTTTCTTTTCTTTTTCTCTTATCTTTCGGCGCTTCCACTCATCGTCGTCTCTCGTCGTCATATCACTGATGACGTCTCTTCCGATAATCTCCGCATCCTCTCCTCCGCGAAACCTAAACCTAACCAAACCATCTTCTTCAACATCTCAAACCCCAAAACCAATTCACATTTCACCAAAACAACTCCTAACCAAAACCCATCTCTCTCTCACCATTCCCCAACTCATCCTCACATCCCCTGTTCTCGCATCTGAGTCGTCCTTCGACTCAATCTCAGACCCACCAACCGGAAAAATCGATTTGGAGTCAATCTTGGTCACAATTGACAATTTCTTCAACAAGTATCCATTTTTCGTAGCTGGGTGTACTTTCATGTACCTTGTGGTTTACCCTGCTGTGATTTTTTACTTGAGGAAGTATAAACCAATCTCTGCCATGAACGCGTTTCGTAAGCTCAAGAACGAGCCTGATTCGCAGCTTTTGGATATTAGAGATGAAAAGACTTTGGCTTTATTGGCGTCGCCGAATCTTAAGTTTCTTGGTAAGAGTTCAGTTCAGGTTCCGTTTAGTGAGAGTGATGAGGAAGAGTTCTTGAAGAGAGTTAAAGGATGCTTCTCTGTTCCTGAGGATACTGTTGTTTGTGTTCTTGACAAGTAAGGAATACACAAAAGCTTTAGACTTTTTAACAAAATTGGACATTGCTTTGTGTTGTTTTTTAGAGTTCTCTTCTCTCACATGTTGTTACATATGATGTGGAAGGCAGTTTTGATGGTAACTCTTCGAAAGTGGCTGAATTGCTGATTGAGAATGGCTTCAAAGAGGCTTATTATATCAGGGGAGGTGCCAGAGGGAAGAATGGTTGGTTGGTATGTTACATCTCTCCCTATGTTTTTGCTAGATGGACTACATTGTTTTGGGACTAGGTTCTGTCATAGAGTCTTGAAGGTTTGGTCTTTTTCTTGCTTACGTTATTACCTATGTCTCAGGCCATTCAAGAAGAGCTTTTGCCTCCACCTGTGCATATGTATACTGCAAAAAATGTGAATTCTTCAAACAACAATGAAGCATCGGTTGTTGGAACTGAAAACTAGTTCAAGAGCATATAGCCTATGGTATGCAGATTATCATTCTCTGTTAGTTCAAAACATACTAGACCTCATGCTATTATTATAAAAGAACTCTTCTTTTACTTTTGCCTAAATTCTGCAGTGGCAAGACATGATACTGCCAAATCATGGAAGAGTTATAGTGAGAAAGCTTCTCTAGGGTGGAAGACTTGTTATATATTGAAATACTTGTGTAAATCTCAAGACCACTCTATGTTTTGCAAAAGCTAACCTTGTCTACAGAATGATTTCTCAAGCCATCCCAATAAAATGAGACTAGTTGTTGTTCTGAGCATTATATGACTTGTTATAACCATAGAAGGATAAAGTTTGTGTAATGCTCTTCCTGAGATTGTTGAAAATATTTGCCTGCAGACTCCTTTGGTAATTTATCTTTGAGATTTATGATATCACCAAAATAAAAGAAAAGTGTACTTATTAATGAGTTAGAATGAGGCTTGTGAATGAAATGCGTGAAAGAAGAAACAATAGCATTTCACTCAAGGTTTTAACGTTCCAGCAATGAATATAAGTCTATAAGTCTTCGCCTTCGCGTTTCACTGTTCCTCTGTTGAAGCAAACCAAGAACTCTATGTTTCCTTCGGCGCCCTTTATGGGAGATTCAATAAACCCTTTGTTGGTAAATCCATAGCGCTCGACACCATTTATTATCTTCTCAAGAACCTTCACCCATAAACAACAAATCAAAGATTGTAATTGCCACTTATCTGATTTGCTATATAAGGTCAAGGCTTAATGCTACCCAATTAGAAACAAAGGAACCCAGGATAGCAACAAATAAAGAGAATCAATGGTAGCATATTAACCAGAGAAGATTCAATTGTTACACATAGGACAGGGAGAACCATACATACCTCCTGATGTACTTCAGGATCTCTCACTATGCCACCCTTCCCGACCTTAACAAGAGACAAGAATTTGAAGAAACAATAGTGAAATCACTGGAGATGGTCTAAATTATACAATGATATAAACATATAGTCTGCACTTCTCACTTCTCAAAGTTCAGTGTATCCGAAATCTAGCATATTCAAATCAATAAAATTGGTTACCTGTTGTCTTCGAGCTTCAAATTGGGGTTTGACAAGTGTAACTAAAGTGGCATCTTCTTTCATCACATTCATAATGGCTGGCATCACCTTTTTATAAGTTTCAAGTCTCAAACATTACAGATTTTATAACACAACAGTCATAGTTCCTCAAAATAAACTGAACCGAAGCAATCATACCTTAAGAATGGAAATGAACGAGAGGTCTAGGGTCACTACATCGACTTTTTGCGGAAGTGAAGGGAGATATCTCAGGTTTGTCCTTTCTATAACAGTCACTCTCTTATCATTGCGAATTTTATCCGCTACCTATTACAATACAACGAATAGTTAAGTGACTAATTAGTAATTAGGCTATGATTGCAGGAATATATCAAACAATCTGTAGAAAACAATAGGCACTAACCTGACCGTAACCAACATCTACACCATAAACATGAGCTGCACCATAACGAAGCAAACAATCCGTAAACCCTCCTGTAGAAAGTCCAGAATCAAGAACTACTTTCTCAGAAACATCAACATCTAGCTTCTCGATTGCAGCTTCCAGCTTGAGTCCGCCTCTGCAAAGTTAAAGAAACACAGGTGGACAGTCGACAACAACAGAGTCTTTAAGAGATGAAGAAGCTGTAGAAAGATAGTAACATGGGAAGAATAATCACCTACATACATATTTTGGAACCTCAGCTGTGATTTTTATAGCTGCAGTATTAGACACAGGCATTCCAGCTTTATTAACTCTTCTCCCATCCACAAGAACTTTGCCTACACATCATATCACAGACACTTAAGACTAAGCTACATTACACCAAGAACTTCTTCTTGTTCCTTCTCAACATGAATAACATAAACCTCTGTGTGCTTTAAGTATTACAAATACAAGGAATCACCTTGTATAATCCATGATTGTATTAGTGTGCGACTGTATTCGTTAAACCTTTCAACACATGCCTCATCAAGTCTTTGTTTTTTGCTGTTACAGAACAAGAAGAGTCCATTAAAGTGAAGCAGAGAAAGATGGTGAATCTTCTAGATATCATCAATGTTAAAGAAAGACCCTAACTTTTTCCCACGAGTAGCTGAAGCGAAACATCTCACTGTACTGCTGCATTCACCGGGTTTAACCCATCTCCCTGAACACAATAACACAATCAAAAGATCACAAAACATAACAATTACTGAAGAAGCTAAGTAAGAAAACGAAAACGAAAAAAACCCAAAATTGAACACTGATTCATCGAAAAAATTGTATCTTTCCACTAGCATTTTGACAATTAGGCAAAAACAAATTGTGGGTTTTTCCCAACGAATTGATTCGACCCCTCACGAGATTCCAAAATCCAGTTTTTTGCAGAAAGAGAAGTAAAAAAACTAACAATGCCCTCCAAGTGTTTGTAGAAATTACCGGGGAGAAATGGATTGTGAGATTTGGATAAGAAGCCGAAGAGAGAGCCGCGCAAGGCTATGGATGGTTTAAGAACATGAAATCCCATCTTTCTATTTCCTCCTTGAGGATTAAGATCGAAGAGCTCGTACGTCTATCTTCTTCTTGCTCTTCCTGCTAAATGACATATGACAAATGGGATACTTTGTTTCTAGGGTTGCTGCTAAGCCTCTGTTTTAGAAACAGGGTTTCCGTTTTCTATTTGTTCTTTTACTTGATCATCAATCAAACCAACGTTATTATTATTATTTACTTTTTTACTTGAATATCATCAAAACGAGATTACTTGAAAAGTTGAAATAATGAACTTCAAGAAAAACATCTATCATATGTATTGAGGAAATTAGCTAATATTCTAAGGGTTCATGGAATTTAGTGGATTTTTAGAAATCCAAACAAAAAATCATATGTTATTCAATCATTATATGTTATTCAATCATTGATTTTAAAATAACTAAAAAAAAATATTGTTGTAGATCAAGGTCTTAGCGGTGGATTTGAAGATTGAACTTAATTTTGGCTTAAAAATTCTTGGTCGATGAGGAAAAGGCACAATTTGTGTTTTACTCAATACACGTACACACTAGCGAAGCCATGGTATACATCGTTGGAGAGGACAATAAAGTGGTTTTTGGAGACGAATTTAGACCATTTTTGTTTAATTATGTTCCTAGTTTGACGCAATTCTAGTAAGGTAATGGAGCTAGCTAGTAGTGTGGTCATAAGTCGAACTATTATTTGGTATTTTACTAAAGAATACCGTGAGCTCACCACTTTAAACGGCTTTAATCCTAATTTTGGAGAAGTAACTTCTGAATTTTGTTTCATTAAGCCTTCTAATTCAATCTTTAGCCGGTCGATTAGAAGATTTATTTACTTTAGTATCTTAGCAAAATTTTGATAAATGCGAGGATTATAGACCTTGATATTCTACTGAAGATTAGTGACGCTTAATAAATAATACTTAAGACTAATTTTTCCAATTGTGTTGTGTGTGCTCAGAGACCATATATATGAGAGAGATCTTAAGTGGTTGGGAGCTCAAGCATTACCCTAAATCAGAGTCATAAGTTTCAAAGGAGCTCATCTCTTTGTTGGACATGCCTCAAATAGTTCAATAGCTCATTGATCTAAAGAAGCAAATACACCAACGAATATACACATTTGTGATTAATTATAGCATCAACCAATAGCTCAACCAATCAACAACAAAAAAAACAGCTATGAGAACATATACTTTGGAGAAATGTGGCTTTATAGAAACATGAAATAGAAGTTGTAAAGGCCATGAAAAAATGACAACAAAAACGTCAACCAACTGCTGAACATTTTGTGCCACAAATAGTTTTCCAACAAAGGGAAAAAAAAAACTTTAAATAGAATTAGTATTAAGTTGCTTTCTGAATAGCAACTCTGGTTACATCATGTTACAAAGGCTGACCACTGATCCACCTTTGGAACATGATATAACTCTCCTCTGGTTTATACTCTGCTGTGTGTCCTCCTCCCTAGTAATCAAAACCCACAAAATCAAGTAAGAAACATAATGTCAAAACATTATGTAAAAATTAAAACACTAAAAAGAGAGGAACAAGACTTGCTTTGATTGTAGCTAATGTCATCTTATTGGCATAAGTCCTCGTGTATCTGCCACAAAGAGAGCGAGTCTAGTGAGATAGAATGAGTTCACAAGAGATCCTATCGAAAGAAACGAGAAAGGCCGGGTAATATATACCCCGCGATTTGATCGCCTATCATCCAAGGTCTCCAGTCATCAATGAGAGAATAATTAAGAGACCTAATCCAAGCTTGCGTTCCAAGGAAAGGAACTACCATGTCATGGTCACCACTGTTCACAAAGTTTACAAAGTAACTCTTTAGAATCCTAATAGCATTCCTTCACAAGGTAGAGGTTAAAACCTGACCTATAGATGAGAGAAGGGTAGCCATCAATGCTGTTATTCATATGGTACGGCACACTGCTTTTGATGTCACGAGTGTAAGGTATGTCCAGATAACAACGTACCCATTCCCCTATACTCCCCTGCCAAATCACTCCTAACGAGTTGAACACTTTGTTACCAATAATATGAAATTGACCTTTTTACATTTATTATTATACCTTCTTGACAAAAAGTGATTTCTGCACCCTCTCATCATTGGCCCAGTAGGCTGTTAAGAAATATCGATACTCCTGCATACGCAACCTTGTAAAATACTATTAGTAATGTGGCCTAACTAATCCCAAAAGCTAGCTCAAGGGAGAATTGGATTGTCACATCCTATATATATTGCCCAAAGATCTTTATCCCAACCAATATGGGACTTTGGACTCTAATAAATGGTTTAAAAGAATGCAAAAATGGATTACTTACATAGCAATCAGGAGATGTCTTTTCACAGAGTGGCGTTATTATAAGTGGTAGGTTTATTCTACCAATACACTATAAATAACCAAAATGAGTTTTACTAAGTAGACAGAACAAAACTACATGAACTGAAATTTATATATGACCATGTGTACGTGTGTATGTGTGTGTACCTTTTGATATTCTTCCACGAGTTTCAAGCATTCTGCGTTACGTGGATCAACATTTATATATTCTCCTTTGCAGATTCTCTTCATTGACTGCATTACAAGAAAAGAAGATCTTTGAAACTACTTCTTGTTATGGGACAAGAGACAAAAGCATGTCATGATGTTTCATATACCTCATAGAGTTCATCTGAGATCAATGCCATACCGTGCGCATATGGAATGCGATGGTTTTGCTCGATTTCATATTCTGTTACTGGGTTTCCAAGAACATAGCCCTGTTTTTGTCAATGTACCAAGTACAAACTCTTATCAAATTTTAGTGGTTCCATAAGATATACATAAGAAGCAACGAGTATATTATACCAAGGACGAACCTTAAGATTTATTGGAGGTTTGCAACATATATAATTTCCTGCATCATTGTGTTTGTAGTACTCTCTAAGAAAAGGGCTTGGAGATTGGTCATGATATGCAAAAATATGATCATACCTTTTGAGATTTCTTGAACGAGAGCCGGGATGATCAGACCGGAATAAGAATCTCCACCAGCATAGAAAGGGTTTGAGAGAAACTCTTGATGCTTGCCTAGCCACTACACACAATAACCAAAACAAAACTTTGTATATGTGTCTATGCACAGATAATTAAGAAGAGATGTGTCATAAACAACGGAGTTAGTATTTTCACCTTGTGAAGAAACTCATGGATCCTCTTCACTTCTCCTGTGTCACTGGCTTTATTAACAAGTTGAGTTCTTGAGTAGGAGAAGCCGGTTCCAACAGGCTGATCCAAATATATTATACTCGAAATCTGAGAGAAAATGATATACACAAGTTAAAAACAGGGGTTAAGATCTTAATATGAGTATAATGCTATTAGGAATAACAATATCTCACATCAGAAGCTGGACGTGATCTTGACTAGTATGTAGTACTACAAGAAAACATACAGATTTCCGACCATCAATTCCGACAAAAAAGATGGTCGGAAATTGGTAATTTTTATTATTTTACTTAGAAAAAAGAAAACTAAAACTAAATTTGTTGGAAATTCGTCGGACATTTGTATAAATAAGTATCATCGGAAATTTGTCAGACATTTGTATGGTCGTCGACATTGGATATTTCTATGGTCTTTGGAAATTAGTTGGAAGTTTATTTGATTGTCGGAAATTTCTATGATCGTTGGAATATTGTCGTAAGTTTATATCGTCCTCCGAAATTTGTTGGAAGTTTCTACGGTCACCGGAAATTCATTGGAACTTTTAGTGATGGTCGGAAATTTATCGGAAATTATGATTTTTTTTTATGTTCCCACGTTTGCAAGTTCAAAACAATTGAGTTTACCGCGTTTGTAGTGTCCTACAAATTTCCAATCGATATATTTTTCGGAATTGTTTGCTATATATACCAAAGAGTATTCATCCATTTCACAATTCAAAATATAACAAACTCAATTTCTCATTTCATCTTCTTCTCTCTAGTTTGAGAATCATTCTCCATTTTCAAAAGTTTACCTCTTCCCTTATATTTTTTAATTCATAATTTTCTTATATGTATACATTAATTCATTTTTAAGTTGTTAGTAATCAATCTATCTTAACATTTTTGAAGTACATTTTGTACTAAAATCTATTTTGGCTTATAACCTTTTATTTTGTAATATTTGCATAATCAAACTCTTGCCATTTGAATAAATAACAAAACATAAAAGTAAATTTGATAATTAAATCACAAGCAAATCCCAAAATTGGAAACCAAATATTTATTACATCAAAAAATTTCCTAAAATCCCTCTTTAATAAACCGAATCTCTCTCCAATATATTTATATAATCTTATTTGTTTTAAATTTATATTATTACATAAAATATATTTATAATAAAAATACAATTTTTTTCCCACACATTTTGCAATTTAAATTTTTGAAAACGGACGTAGTTGACTAAATCAATGAAGGAAAAAATATATGTACAACGTCTACATAAGATATAAAATTTTAGATAATAGTTCCAACCCTTTATAAATAAGACTAATATGTTTACAACTAAAAATGAGCATGAACTTTGATTTCTCAAGTATCCAAATTAAAATTTTTATTAGCTTAATCCGGTTCTTTATTTAAGGAAAATAAAATCTTTAAAAAGTTTCAGAATATTATAAATTTTTAATTTTTTAACAAGTTTAAAATGTGATAAATATTAAAACTTTAAAAAGCTGAAAATATGATATTTTATTTAAGTTTTATAGAATATTAAAGTAATGAAAAATATTTAAACTCTACAAAAATTAAAATTATTATTAATATTTTAACTCTACAAATATTTAAAATATAATAATATTGTACATAAATATGATTGAACGGGTTTTAGTTTACATAAATATTATTATATTTTCTGCGGGTTGTCTATATTTAAAATTTTTTACCGGTTAAGTTAAAATATAATTTTTTCTTTACAACAAAATCGTGTCGCGATGTACCGCGAGTTTACCACATATATCTATGAATCTACTTATAATACAAATTTATAAAATTGTATTAAATTAAATGAAATAAACATATAAAAAACTAAATTATATAAACCAACTACGAAAATGAACAACCAAAGATATATATTAAATTATGGACCCGTGGTGTACCACGGGGTAAATCCTAGTTGTTTTAGTATTAGTTTTAAGTTTAATGTTTTAATTCATTTTAGTTTTAATTTATAAATCTAATTTTAATACTCTTGATTTATTTTTATTTTTAATAAAAAAATATTCGTCATAAATATTTTTCCTAAATTAATATAATTTAATGATAAAAAATGTTTGGAAATTTAAATTTCCGACGTCTTTTCGGCCACTAAGAATTTTTGTCGGAAATTTTTAGGAAAGTTCCAAAAAAAGTTAACGGTAATATTTTGTTAGTAATTTTCGACGAATGTTAGTTTCCGACCAAAGATTTTACGACGAGTTTGATTTTGTCGAAAATTCGTCCGAATATTTCTGACCAATATCGTCGTCGGAAATTGATATGTTTTCTTGTAGTGTACAAGATATATGAGCCTCTCTACTGATTGGCTCATTGCTAATTAGTTTTGAGTTGGAAGCTCATATTCTAATAAAAAAACTATATGCTACATACCTTTGTCCATGAATATGTAGCAGAAACCAAGGAAGGAAGAGTTCCATTGTAAACCTCATGTTTCACAGTCATAGGCCCTGATTCAAACATGTGACTTTTGAGAACGCAAGGATCAAGCTAAAAGGAGACCAACATACACGGATAAAGTAAAACAAAATAAGAACAAAAATAATGAATGGTGAAGAGAGATATATAACCATTCTCATAAAGAAGACCAGAGATAGAAGAGCAGCCAGGTCCTCCACTTAACCATAGAAGAAGAGGGTCTTCTTCAGGATTCCTCTCAGACTTGATGAAATAGTAAAACAGTTGCACTTCCTCTTCCTCACCAACACCAATATACCTTTTTTTTCACATTCACAAAAAGAATCATGTCATATTCATACACACACTTTAGATGAATCTCATAAACACTAACCCTGTCTCAAGCTCAAAAGGAAGAGGGCCATCAAAACCAGGAAGAAACTTGACGATAGATGCAGAACAAGTACACTCACTGTAGAAGGAGATAAGAAGAAGAAGAAGAAACAGCACAGAGAAATAAACGTTATAAGCCATTCGTTAGCTTGTATGAGAAAATCAACTAGTGCCGTGGATAACAATCATTGGAACTTCCTGTTTATAGTAAGTGTAGAAATCAAAACAACAAAATGACAAAAAGACCCTTGGAAATAGATTTGTCTCAATGTCTCTGTGGCCTAAAATAACTCTGTCGGGAACAATTTCTATACATAGCATTGTCTTGGTAGGTGAAGAAGATGATGTTGGTGGTTAAATAGAGAGAACCAAAAAGAGTATTTACGGAAGATGACCAAAGAGGTGTTGTTGTTTGTTTAGTCAATGAAGTGTGGAATGGTAAGTGTGGAATGATTTGATTGTGAAGAAGAAATCTAGTAGGCATCAAACTTAATGAAGGGGTCCAATATGGCAATATCATAATGTAATTTTGTCTCCATCGATAAATTTTCCACTTACCAATTTTGTTTTTGTCGTTGAAAAGAAAAATGTTTTGTGGGTTTAACACATTTTACGTAAATTTAAAAAAAAAAGGAAAGATGGAAATAATTAGTGATTTACGTAAAGAAATTGCACACTTATAAGTAGAAACTAGTTCTGCATTTTTAAAATTTAACATTTTTTCTGTATATAGTAAATGTATAACTTAAGATTTATATAAATATTACAAATTTAAAACGATGAAGACGGAAATAAGTAAATGTTTTTAAAAGCAAATAAACATAAATTAAAAATAAATACATATTAGTTATTATTTACTTACAATATTTTTTTAATATATATATATATTACGGTGCACTGTCGTATGTGTGAATAAAGATCTAATCATAAAGTAGTTTTCTTTGTGAAGTATACATATTCCATAATACTCTAATAGTAAAGTATTGTCCTATTGATAATGTATCACGTTTTGAATCCTTCCCAAAATGAAATGAAAAATTTGGGTCAAAGTCTTATGTTTATGGGATGAGAAATTTCTTGGACTTGAACTGAATCTGGAGATGGTTTTAAGAGCATGAGCATAAAGTAGGGACTGACATGAGTTTCTCAACAATACTTTAATTTAATTTAATTGTTATTTTAAAATAAAAATTCTAAAGAAAAATATAAACCAAACAGATTTAGCCACGTGAGAAGAGTCTCTAGAGAAATTTTCATGGGTTTTTAAATGAGAATCGGTTCTACTCTCTGTTTATTCAATAAAATAACCCTAAAATTAGTCCACGATTACTCCTTGTTTAATTTCCGATTTTTTTGCTAAGCGCTAGGCCCATCTCGGCCGCCTGACGACTAATGCCTAGCAATTTTTAAAACAAGGGTTCTACTCTATCTTTCTTCCTTTTTATTATCTTCCCTTTCAATATTATCTACAGATTTAGTGAGACTGCCGTTGTGAATGTTCTAACTGATGATCATGTTGTTTTAATAAAAGTACTCAAACAATTTATATATATATATATATATATATATATATATCAATATATTCCATAAAAATCAAAGAATTTTCATTTAAGATATTTTAGCTCAAATTATAGTTTTAGCATTTTATCTATCAATACATAAATTTTAAAAGCTTAAATATCATATATTTTATAATAATTTTTAACTTATAAAACATTACAAAATTTCATTCACAAAAATATTGATTCCGCTAAATGACTATTGAGTAGTATTAAGTATTAACTAACAAAAGCCAAATTAATTCATATATTAAATAATTTAAAATTTAAAGTCTTAAATTTTATTTAAAAAACACAGAATATTCATGCCCTGATCTTAATTCGAGATGACTAAAAACATGAAAGAATGGTGGATTTGGCTCAGCTTGATGAATTGGTTCTCTTACTCTTTGCACTCTCTGTGTTAACATTTCTCTTAGCCAATGGTTTCTTAAAGCTCCTTGACTCCTAATTTAACGAATTCATCCACCACTGTCTTCATATAACATCCTAAATCGACTCTAAACTTCTTGGAGCCGCTCTTGCTAGTTTCTTTACCCATCCATCCAACAGGTGCTCCATCTTTATAAGCATTACACGCCTTCACAATGTCGTGAGCCCGCACGAAGTAATGACTACGAACAAACTCTTCAAAATGCTGCGCATTCATCACAACCAAACAGTTTTAACCCCCAAAATGTTTTTGCAAGAAAAATCAGCTAAAGTGTTTTGACAAGTTATTACCTTGGGTGGTTTTCTCATACTGTTAACCATCGTCTTTAACGACAGTATGAATACTTCCTCACTGTAAGTTTCCGAACGAGCCTCGCCTGATTGAGTCCCCATGGTCGGTGCAAAGCCAGGTTCATTAAAGTATGGTTTTTGATTCAAGATGAGTGCTTGGATTGAGACAAGAAGCTGTAAGATTGTCGACTCTGTTGGGATCCAACTCTCCCTCGCGGTACCAGCCCAGGTACCGAGAAGACTCAAGCATACGTAACCATTACAGTACAGATTCGGGTTGATTCGATGCCCACCGGAATGGTATTGAACTTTCTGTCAGAAAATTTACAGAGTCGTAAAGGTTACCAAGAAAACGAATAATAACATAACTTATATATCAAGAAAGTGAGACATACTGGTGGCACTGAAGGATAGGAATTTGAGAACTGAATATCGAAAAAGAAAAGACCGTCATGGTAAGGAGTTCCCTCGGGTCCAATAATTACAGCTCTTAATAGGTTCATTCTTGATTCACAGGCTCGGACAAATATAGTTTCTGATTGCAAAGAAATTGAAAATAAATAAGAACATATAGTTATTAGATATGTTGCAAGCATTGGACTTTACTAACCTGGCAAATCATTCTCAAGAATCTTCCATTCTGATTGAATCTTTTTCGACCAACCCTTTGTATGCTGAACAAGATAAAAGAGAGAGGCAGCTTAAAGTTTAAATATCAAAGAAAGATTAAAGAAACAAACTCGGAGATGATAAAATTTAATCCTCGATCGATTCACCTGGTTTGAAGCATAGGAAGCATATAGATGATCCGAGAAATCATCAACAGTGTCGAATCTTTTAAAATCCCGCAGAAACTTAATCTGAGGTGAAGAAATAACCTCAGGCACCGCCACTAGAGGGCGAGAAGAGCTAGCAGAAGCATCAAATTTAGAGGGTCTCAAAGGAGGAGGAGATGGAACCATCACTAAATCAGGAGTCATCTGTGCTCCACTAGGCATCATCACCACTTCTACATCAGTTGGAATATCCTGAGAATTTAGAATGGCTTGAAACATTGCGTAGTCTTCAAGCTCCATCGGCACAACTTCATTAGCTAGATGACTAAATGAGTAAAAATGATCATAAAAGGAGACATCTTCTTCTTTTATAGCCTTTCCTTTGTTCTTCTTATCGAAGACATTATTGTTGTTATTTTTAAGAAAACCACCATTGCGGATTTCGTATTCTTCCACATCAATTACTTCAGGAGAAGTTGCAGCCTACGACGACAAGATAAAGCAGCAAACGTTATACAATCAACTACAATAAACAAATTACAACTTAGAACATTGACACGAAAAAAAAAAACCGAACACACAATCTATATGTAAGATATTGATTTCACATCATTTAAAACATATCAGTTCATACGAAACTGTATGAACACAATCAATATGACTAATAATAAGACTTATCAAGAACAAATAAATAAAAAAACATATCAATCCGAAGGTAAAGAGAAACAGTAGAAGCATAGTAAACATGAGTAAACAAAACAAAATTCAAGACATAACCCTAAAAACACTCATAAACCCGAATTCAGAACATAAACCCTAAAAACACTTATAAACCCGAATTCAGAACATAAACCCTAAAACACCAAAACCCATTGATGAAACCCTAAACACATCTTCAACCCTAATCTATTTTTCACTCTAAACATTTTTGATAAAAAGTTTTCTACCTTACTCCATTTCCAACTTCATAATAGCTAAGATACAAAAATGGGATTAAGTGGGCGAAAAAATCGCCTAGTGAGACTACAAATCTAACGAACAAGTACCAACACATGCAGTCTGATCCAACTGTTAAACATAAAAAATCGAACCTTTGATGAGTTTCTCCGAGTCCTCGAACCAGAAGCGAGATCCATTGATTCTTTGTTTTTTTGGTAATGATCCATTGATTCTTTATTCGTCCGGAGATTACAGGAAAGAAGGGATTAAGGAATAAATAAAGATTGGGTCTCTTCACATTCTCACCCGAATATTATAGTGAAGACTTGTCAACTGCTTTTAACACTTTTGTAAACAATTAGTCCACTTCCTTCCTAAGAAGTAAAAATATTAGTTCTATATCTTGTTTTAATAATTTTCCTATTTTATAAATGAAGTGACTATATACATTTACTATTTTGGTCAGCAGTTTTTCTAGATGTTAATTAATTTAGGACTTTAATTCTAAAACTTTTAATATGCTTGTAGATCAAAAATATTAAGAACAAAAAAAAAATATCATTTAAAATCAATAAAGTAATGGTTTACAATTTAAAATTATTTACAATGAAAAATGTATTTCACATTTATAAGTTTGTTACTAAATTAAAATATTGTATTGATGTTTGTTGATATGGTGATATGATCATAGGAACCTTCAAAACATGTCGCCATTGTTCAAAGCGTATATTCTCAGCCACGAGGAATCTATGCACGAAATGACTTGGAGAAGATGCTCAGCTCAACTACAGAACTCCTCAAAGGAGAATCAAGTAAAAACGGAGTTGAGACGAATGAGTTATTGATTTTACAAATCAGGTGTTCTCCAATTTACCTAATTTATATATGCGTCCATTCAACGAAAGATTTCAAACGGGCCAGAATGAATTGAGTTACAAACCAAGTTGTTCTACAATCTTGGTCCATGAGAAAATCCCAATTAAGTGGATTCAGCCCAAAAAGAAGGAAGGAAGATCAATTTTCGTCCATAACAAAACATCATTTAATTCTTTCGATTTCTCTCTCTTACATGCACTTTAGAGTTTGAATTTAATCTCCCTAGATGCTCTGCATGTTGAGTTATTATTATGGTTGTTTTTGATGTATTTTCTCTCTATATAATGAGGTTATCTCATGAATAATAAGAATAAGTTTTTTTGATATTTTTGGAACTTTTTGAGAGTTTATCATTTTTCGTCAATGGTGTGTAATATCCACTGGTTTGGTTAATGGTGTGTACTATCTGTTGATCAATGCATGATCCGTCTTGGTATGTCATATCCAGGGTTTTTGTCGAGAGTGATTCTCATTGTCACCATTGAATTTGTCTTAGTGTGTCATATATAAGAGATTTAAGTTCGGTAAATCAATAGACTTCCAGAGCTCTTGTGGTCTTCCGGAGCTCTTGTGCGACCATTCGCTCCACCATCCTTGTTCTTTGTAGCTTTACCGTATGTTGAACCTAGGGAATATCTTTTCACCATCTTAGAGTGTCGAGTCCTTGGAAGGATTTCATCGTATAGAATATTTCCTAAGAACCAAAGATATTAAAAAGAAAATATCATCCATCAATAAATATAAGAAATATAGTAAAATTGGATAATTACATATTTTAATATATTCTAATAAGATAAAATAGGTCAAACGCTTTTAACCGGTTCTTATCAAAGGAAATTGGATGATTTTATCTAATTTTGAGATAACACTAGTCATCGAATTTTTTAGGCTGACTACACTAAAATTCAAAATTTATTTTTACGTCATGATTCGGTTCAAATGCTACCTTCTTTCGATGAAAAATATTATTTTACTCTCGTATCTTTCATCGAAGTTGCTAAGAAAAAAAAAATAGTAAACGAGTAACACCATCCTTATTGGTAGTCTCTTAATTAAGCCAATCTGTTAAGAAAAAGAGAGTAAATAAATGATATAACTCAGAAAGGGAGTTTAATATGAAATAGAAAAGGCCTACTAAGTGAAGAGTTTTGCACTGTCATATATAAAATATTTGTCCCACATCGAACAAAACCAAAACTAGTCGTCGAAGGATTCACATATAAATAACTCATTCGGTGCTTAGCTTCTGAACTCATGGAGCCGTGTGGTGAGCTCAAAGCGAACTAATCTTTCGCCTTTTACTAAAGAATACCGTGTGCTCTCCACGCCCAATGGCATACACCTATTTTTGGAGGAGTAACTTCTTCTGAAGTTTGCTCCATTAAGCTCTCTTAGTTCAAACTTTTACAGCTTCGATCCTATGATTAAATTGTGTAATAAAATTTTGCTTGTCTGAAAATTACAGAGACCATGGGAAACTGTTGTTTTACTTCAAAACAAATCCTTCTAAATCGGATAAGTTTGGTTCAAACCACTTGTTTTGCTTATTAGTAGTTCGATCCTAGGATTATGTTGTGTAATACAATTTTGATTGTCCGAGAATTATAGAGACCATGAGAAATTTATGTTTTGCTGAAAAAACAAAGACTATTTTATGTTCCTTCTTAATTCGAGATGACTAAAAACATGAAACAATGGTGGATTTGGCTCAGCTTGATGTTGGTTCTCTTACTCTTTGAACTCTCTGTGTTAACATTTCTCTTAGCCAATGGTTTCTTAAAGCTCCTTGACTCCTAATTTAACGAATTCATCCACCACTGTCTTCATATAACATCCTAAATCGACTCTAAACCTCTTGGAGCCGCTCTTGCTAGTTTCTTGAACCATCCATCCAACAGGTGCCCCATCTTTATAAGCATTACACGACTTCACAATGTCGTGAGCCCGCACGAAGTAATGGCTACGAACAAACTCTTCAAAGTGCTGCAAATTAATTCATCACAACCAAAAAAAATTAACTTCAAATTGTTTTTGCAAGATCAATGAGGTTTTTCAAGAAACAGCTGAGTGTTTGAATGATTTACCTCAAGTGGTTTTCTCATACTATAAACCATCGTCTTTAACGATGATATGAATACTTCCTCACTGTAAGTTTCAGACTGAGCCTCCCCTTCTTGAGTCCCCTCTGTCGTCTCGTAGCCAGGTTCGTTAAAGTATGGTTTTTGATTCAAGATGAGTGCTTGGATTGAGACAAGAAGCTGTAAGATTGTGGACTCGTTTGGGATCCAACTCTCCCTCGCGTCACCATCCCAGGTACCGAGAAGACTTAAGCATACGTGACCACATTCATATAGATTCGGGTTGATACTAAGCCCACCGGCATGGTAATGAACTTCCTGTAAACAAACTAAATTGAAATTTACAGAGTCATACTAACATAACGTACATATCAAGAAAGTTCCAAAAGACATACCGGTGGTGCGAAAGGATATGTATCCGAGAACTTAATGTCGAAAAAGAAAAGACCGTCATGGTAAGGAGTTCCCTCGGCTCCAATAATTACAGCTCTCAATAGATCCATTCTTGATTCACATGCTCGGACAAATATAGTTTCTGATTGCCAAAAGAATGAAAATAGTTATAAACTATGAGTTGCAAGCATTGAACTGTATTAGTAGTATACACAAACCTGGCAAATCATTCTCAAGAATCTTCCAATCTGATTGAACCCTTTTCGCCCAATCCTTTGCGTGCTGAACAAGATAAAAACAAAGGTAGTTGCTTAAAGTTTAGCTATCAAAGAAAGATTAAAGAAACAAACTCGGAGATGATCATCACCTGCTTTGAAGCATTACTCTGGGAAGCATAGTGATGATCCGAGAAGTCATCAACAGTGTGAAATCTTTTAAAGTCCCGGAGAAACTTAGCCTGAGCTGAAGAAACAACCTCAGGAGCCACTAGAGGGCGAGAAGAAGAGCTAGCATCAGCATTATCAAATTTATAAGGTCTCGAAGGAGGAGGAGATGGAACCATCACTACATCAGGAGTCATCACTACTTCTACATCAGTTGGAATATCCTGAGAATTTAACATGGCTTGAAACATTGCGTAGTCTTCAAGATCCATCGGCACAGCTCCATTAGCTAGATGATGACTAAATGAGTTATGATGATCATCATATTGTATAGCCTTTCCTTTGTTCTTCTTATCGACAACATTGTTATTGTTGTTTTTAAGAAAACCACCATTGCGGAATTCGTATTCTTCCACATCAATTACTTCAGGAGTAGTTGCAGCCTAAGATAAAGCATCAAACGTTATACAATCAATTACGAGTAATAAACAAATTAAAACAGAGAACATTGACACAAAAAGAACACAAACACAAAATCTATATGTAAGATTTAATGATTTCACATAATCTAAAACATATCAGTTGATACGAAACTGAAACTGTCTGAACACAATCAATATGACTTATCTAGAACAAAAAAAAAAACGTATCAATCCAATGGTAAAGAGAAATCAGTAGAAGCATAGTAAACGTGAGCAAACAAAACAAAATTCAAGATTATCCTTCATAAACCCTAATTCAAAACATAAACCCTAATTATTAAAGCACCAAAAGCCTTTGATGAAACCCTAAAAACATTCCTAACCCTAATCTATTTTTTTCACTCTCTTAAATATTTCATAATAAACAAAAGTTTTCAACCTTACTCTATTTCCAACTTCATAATAGAATAAAAAAGATCATCAAAGCCAAAAGAACAAAAATGATCGAACCTTTGTGTTTTTCCAAGTTCTTGAACCCGAAGCAGTCGAAGGAGAAGCGATCTCCACCACGTCGGGATCCATTGAGTCTTTCTGATAAGGAGGAAAGGAGAATTTTATTCGTCCGGATTACAAGGAAATAATAATATTGGGGTCTCTTCACATTCTCACCCTAGTAGTGCATATATATATATATATACACCCAAATATTATAGTGAAGATTTTGTCAACTGCTTTTAACAAACTAGTCCACTTCCTTCTTAAAATAATAGGGACTCGGATATTTTTCGGGTCGGACTCAAATAGATGATGGCTTTACGGGTTTTAGGTCGGACCGGGCCGGGCCAGCCCGATTGACATATCTAAATAGGGTTTTGCGCTGATTTAATTTTTATATCAAAATATCATTTAAAATCAATAGGAGAAAGATGTACAATGAGAAATGAGAAATATACATTTAACATTTATAAGTTCGTTATTTTAAATATTATACTGATATTTGTTGATATGGCTTATTTCTAAGAACCAAAAAACAAGAGAAATATATTTGGATTTCACAATTTAAGTTTTTGTTCCAAAAATAACACAAATTTTTATTTTTCCAAAAATGCCATAAACATAAAAATTTGAATTTTTAAGATGTAGAATTTTTTTTAATTTTGGGTTGACAATATACATTGAAGGTATAGTTTTTGTAATTTAGTATTTAGGTTTTAGAAATTAGTTCTGAATGTTAAAAATTTTAATTTTAGTTTTGTCATGATATTTTTAGAAAAATAATATTGCATTTTAATGATATTTTTGGAAAATAAATTTCATATGGTAATTTTTTCAAAAAATACCGACTTTAGTGGTATTTAAGAGAATTAACAAAGGTATCTTTTAATAAAAATAAAAGAGAGTGAATAAAAAATATAAATCAGAAAGTGAGTTTTAAATATGAACTACGAACATAGGTCTCACGGGAACGGCCCATTACGTGAAGAGTTTGGCCCTGTCAAATATAAAAAAATTAGTCCCACATCGAACAAAACCAAAACTAGTCGTCGAAGGATTCACATATAAAAACTCATTTGGTACTTAGTTTCTCAACTCATGGAGCCGTGTGGTGAGCACAAAGCGAACTATTCTTTCGCCTTTTACTAAAGAATACCGTGTCCTCTCCACGCCCAACGGCATACTCCTATTTTTGGAGGAGTAACTTCTTTTGAAGTTTGCTCCATTAAGCTCTCTTAGTTCAAACTTAAACTAGTTTAAATCTACCTTAACTAGTTAAAACCTATGATTAGGTTTGTGTAATACAATTTTGATTGTAATTACAGAGACAACAAATCATTCTAGGGGGATAAGATTGATTCAAACTTCAAACCACTTGTTTGCTATACCAAGATGATGATTTACAATTCATCTCCTTTTGTGTGAACTCGAAATGACAAGAAAATAAACCTTACTTTGGACCTTTTACTTTTTACACAAAAGCTTTAAGGTTGAAGCAAAACATACTTCTCCTAACCACATGCTATCACAGTATTAATAAAGCTTTGAGCATGTTAAAAAAGATGATATACTTGTCACTTTGTTAAACACATGAGCAAAATCAAGTGATAATTCATCGTCTTTTCTTCTTTAAAAGCGAAGCAGCCCGAAGAAACATCTTATCTACTTCATCAAAGTTTGGGGACTTATCATCATTCTCCTCACCTTCTGATTTAGCCTTCTCCGGATCCCCAAAGTCTTCGTCTTCTCTGTTGTTGTTTATCGCTGGGAATTTCTCAAACTCTTCGAGAAAAAGCGGCCGCTCTGATTTCTCGTCTTCTAATTCTGAATCGGTCTCGAAAATATCTGAGAGGTCTGAATCTGTTGCTAGTTCTGATCCTGCGTCTTCTTCTTCTTCTTCTTGCTCATCATCCAAACACTCTTGGCTTCTTTCTATAATCTTCTTCAATGCTTCTGAACTCTCTTGAGTATCATCGTCCTTGACATTCGGGTATTCTTGATTTGTTTCAGCTTGTGCTTGAAGCAATTGGAGCTCTTGTTCAAGCCTCGGAATATACTTTCTAACCGCACGAAGCGCATCCCGGCATTTGGATTTGTCCAAAGCCTTTTTCCTCGGGAGAGTAATCCTCGGCGACATGATTTCAGTTGGAGGCTGGACATAGTTCTTCCCTCTGTACATAATTATCGTGTTGCCTTCGTGAACGTCAAGCACAATCCCTCCAGTCAACCTCGCTAGCTCAACAGCAATCTCCTTCACTTCATCAGGTGTAAACGTTTTGATCACAACCTGTAACGTCTGATGCTTCTTCCAGTGAAGATGCATGTTGAGGATCACTCCTTGGTATATTCCGCGTCTCCCAACTGGAACATAGTTCTTGCACTTCAAACCCATTTTCAGATAATAAAAATGCTCCTCAGGTGTCAATATCTCAGGGTCATGTGTCGTTTCCGCTGACTCTGAAGGTTCCAGTTTCTGCATCGTCTCCATAAGGCGTTCCTCTTTCTTTCGCGCCTGCAGAGACACAAACACAAACATAAGAGTTAACATTACACATTCGTCGATCTAACATCAGTAACAAGATGCAATTTTCTCTACTAGCTAACCTTTCTTAGCTTGTTAAGTATCTTCTCTTCAGCAGTCATTCTTTCAAACTCTTTCTTTTTCTTCCACCGGAACAACTTTAGCCACCGCACAACCGCCCGCTTACCTTTCAGCTTTTTCCTCTTCAGTTTTATCGAACCTACTCCGTCTTGACTCAAACTATCATCAGATTTGCTCACGCAATCACCGGTCTCACGAACTGGATTCGAATGAAACCAAGATGATCTTAAGAAGCAAGCGTTCCACATTGGTCCATTAAGAGACTCCTTATGCATAACCTTGCACAAAACATTACCAGAGCTACTACATTATAAGTTAATCTCTGTGCAACTAAACTTTAATCTCTTATGATCAATCAAATCAACCCTAACTAGAAACCATATGCACAGATTCTAACAATTCTGACTCCAAAACTCAATTCGAATCCAATTTCATAGTGTTGATCAATCAAAAAACTTGAATTCACATGAACTTTAAGCAAAATCTTAGCATAAGTGTCTCGAAATCAAAACCTCGAGCTCAAATCCTTTGATGGAAGACTAGTTAGTACCTGAGAGAGCGATTCGTAGAATCCAAGCTGGAAAAATACGGCGAGGAGGAGACTAAGAACCCTAGCTGACGACATTTACGTCGTAGAAGCATTGAAGCCGACGTCGAAACCCTAGCCGCCGTTAGAAACCCCATTTCGTCTCACCGACGGTGTTAACTACCTCTGCCGCCTAGCCTGAAAGCTAAATGGGTTCTCGCACAACAATTACAGGTTTGTAAACCGGATTACGTTAACCGGATTTAACCTGTCACGTCTTGGCCAAATCAATTTTCCGGTTTAGTACAATTGGTTACGGTTTGGTAATTTGGTTCACCTATCTTGATTGATCAACATAAAGTAGAAGATAACACAACTCTTCTTGCCATTTAACTAAAGAATCATAGAGAAATAACTCATGGAAGAACAAAAATGCATTAGTGTTCTCAATTTGGGTATACATTGGTTTTTTGATGACTAGAAGAAACTATTCATAGCTCATCAAAATTGATAGCTAAATCGTTTGACCAATTAATCTCTGATGGTTTGGTGTCAGAATCATGTTCTGTATCTGAAGAGTCCAATGTTTTGTCTAAAGATTCCGCTAAGTCAGCCTCCCAAAAGCCTAATCTACAAGCTCTCTTGTAAGTCTCGTAGCCTGCTGCTCTTAACCCTTCAGCAACCATCTCTCTTAAAGAACCACTAAGTTGCTCTTCATTGTTAACAGCACTGAGGAAAGTTTCTGAAGGACCTGACTCCCAAAATACCACAATTGCACAGCTCCTGTCTAAGTACTTAACATCAAACTCTTGCGTAAAGACGGGGTGTGACTTTTGTAGAAAGTTCTTCAGCTTTGCAGCTGTCAATTTTTTCGCAAATCCCCATATGAACACCAAGTTCTCAGAGCTTACTCTCCGGCTATTCTTTGACCAGACTTTAACATTCTCATTGCCTGTGTTTTTAGAGATGACAAAGCTTGTGTGTTCATCAGAAGCCAAATCTTGGGAATCTTCATTTGATTGGACAGTTGATAGATCTGATTTCTGTATGGCAGACAGTTTTGCAAAAAGCTGAGATATCATCACAGCATTCTGCCCGTGACTCTGGTAGTTCTCGCTTAATTTGACCGGACAGCCTAGTAAGAGAAGCCAATAAAGGTCAATATCCATTCACACCAATAGCCAAACTCAAGTGTGAACTCAGAAATCAACATCTTCGAAAGAGAACTCTGACCTTGATTTGCGACTTCCACATCCACAGGTGCAAAGAACCGATTCAAAGAGGACATAGCTGCAGGTAGATTACTTATATTACTTAAAGGACTAATTTCTTTCATGAACTGACTGAGATCCACAACATTGGGAAATGCGGAGCTCAGTGAACTGCTGAAGTCATCCACATTTGCAGGTAGAGGACCCAGGAATTTGGCATGAATGGAAGTAAGATCTGAAACAAATTGAGCATAAGATTACATCTATGGAAGAAGCTAATTTACATGCAAACTAAGGAGGAGAAATTTGTGATTACCACTAAGATAATTCTGTGAAATGACAGGTTTTTGTGAAGAAGAAATCAAATCGATCACTTCCCGGAAGCCACGAACTCGCCTGTTTTCTTTGTTTTCAAGATCTTGAATCTCCCTCTGTCCAAGAACATAAATACAGACACATTTTATTAAAGAGACCTTCACCAATCACCATCATTATCAATCATTTCCAGCTAAGGAATATCCAAAATAATCTCCCTACCTTAAAAAGATCCTTGTCTTCCTTCGAACTCATAAAGACAGTACGAACTGCTTGTGTTCCTCTGCTCTTCGAAGCAACGAGTAGAGGGACAACATCTTCAGAGAACTCAGTCAACATCTGGAGTGACAAATTCAGAAGCATATTAAGAAATTTATCAAACTAGCCATCAATATACAGACTGCATTGACAGTTCCAACTATAAACTAAGCTTATCTACCTCTAGAATGAGTTGCACTTGACGCTCACTGCAAACATCAATAGTCAAACACAGCCTTGAACCATACTGCTCACTCCCTAGTACCAGTCTTCTCAGAGAGCTCACTAAATCATCTGAAATTAAACAAACAGACACATTACTTGAAAAAACTTGAAAACTCAGAGCAAAAAGAGATTCATATGAAATTGTCTAACACTAGCTATTACACCATCTCCAGTCTTTGAGCCCGAGTCTATACAAGATTGTCTCCAATTCTTGACACGTGATCTAATCCTTCCAACAAAGACAGTATCAGCTACACTAGCTGGAGAAGAAGATACAGTGATAGGATTAGCTAATATCGGATTCCCCGAGAGATACTTCGACGCAGACTCTTGTGCTCTAGACAAGTATGAGATTCCTGTAGAAATGAATCAATCAAACTAACAATTAAGAGACCACACTCCTAAAAAGAAACGAACGAGAGGTTACTAATAGATAGAGCAGCAATAATAAACCTTCATAGATGCAGGTGTTGAAATCAAACCCTTCTCTAGCCATTGATGTTAAACGTGAAGCTTGACAAGAGAAGCTATAAGAAGGCATCCCACACTTCAATTCATCCCGAGGAAACAAATGAAAGTTATATCTACAAAAACCCATTAACCCTAATCAATCAATATGGCAAAAAGGAAGAAACTTGAGAACAGAGAGAGATAGAGATTAAAGACTCATACGGATGAACAGTGAGTTTGGAGCCTTGAAGAGAGAAAGGGCAGAGAGCGAACTGAAAAATCTGGTAACGTTCGGCGGCGTATTTAGCTTTCAAGTAGCTAGTTTGCGGCGTATCAATGGCGGAGACACGGTGCCACGCGGCGGCGTATGAGCCGGTGTTTTGTAGTGAGAGAGCTATGAAGTCTGATGACTCAATGGAAGTACGAATCTCATCGAGGGTTACATGAAAGTTAGATTTTTTCACTTGCTTCACACTCCATCTTCCTTGATTTAGGGTTTTACTATTTCCGGCGGTGCCGGAGATTGACGAAAGGAAGCGCCTTTGCATTCTTTTAGCAGCACCGGGATTTGATTTGAGGAGACGATTTCAATATGTTAACGAGATTTTCCAATAAACCCCGTGGTTTCAATCTACATTTCGGTTCGGTTTTTTCCATACCGGTTCAACGGTTATGGTTTACTATTACTCCCTCCGGTGATTTTCTAGGCTTATAATTTTTTTTTTTAAATAGATAAATTTCTTGATTTTAATATTTTATTGATTCTAACAATTTATATCATACATATTATTTTTGTTATTTGTTAAAATATGTTAAAATAACTATTAAAAAATATTTTCGTCAAAATATAAACAAAACTAAATGATTCGTGCATAATTTTAAAAAATTATCTATATAAAACAGAGAGAGTAATATTTTTGAATAGGTTTGAGCATCTGGGTTTCATTACAGGTTTTTTCTTATTTGGATAATTCAGATAAAAGAGCTTATTATCTGTTCGAGTTTTTACTTTTCAGTTCGGATAGGTATCGGATTCAAATTTGTTTTCAAGGAAAAAAAAAACAAAAAAAAAATTGGTTTAATTTTAATACAAAACACCATATGATTTTTTTTTTCTTTTCGAAAAAAATATGTTTGTTTTAGCTATAAGAACTAGAATCCTTCACATTTATATAAATATCATTACAAAATTTGAAGTTTTTTTTTATCAAGGAATAACATAATTTTTTATGTAATAGATATATTAGTTTTGTTAATGAACATGAAAGTTTTTAATCTAAATCTTTTCTCCTGCTAGGAAACGGCTATAGAAGTCCAAAGCCTCACGCGGTTTGTATTCTGGAACGGTATGTCCTGCACCCTACAACCAAAAAATATTCAAACACACACAAAATAAGTAAACACAACACAATGTTTTCAACATTTCAATATGAAAAAAAAATGAGTGATCCTTACTTTGATGGTTATAAATGTGAGATTGTTCGCATACCCTTGTGTAAATCTACCATAGCCAAATTGTACAAACAATGAGTTTTGAGAATCCAATTGATAGAAAGATAAGTTATACCAAAACAAAACCAAATTACCCGGCGACTTGGTTATTTGAAGTCCATGGTCTCCATTCATCAACTACTTTGTATCCCATTGCCTTAGTCCATGCTTCAGAGCCAGTATATGGTACACACATATCATGATCTCCGCTGTAAACAAGAAACTAAACTTGTTACTATGTTTTTATATTTTTCATTGGTTTTACTACTATTAGTTTACCCTTCAATGCACCTGTAAATGAGAGCACGAATGCCATTAAGAGTTAGGTTTCTATGGTGTTCAATCATGCTACCAGTGTCGTGCGAATATTCGAGTTTGTCTGAGCATAAGTGCCAGCCTCCAATCTCGCTTTCCTATATCGCGAAAAAAACAAAATCTAATATGTCAAATCCTTATCCATCAACTTATTGCAAAAATTAGATATAGAGATGAACTTGGATATAGACCTCTTTAGCATGAACCGCTTTCCTTACAGTTGGATCGTTCAACCATTTGGTCGCAACTACATCGTTCTGCATATAGATCAAAATGTATGAGATCAAAATGCATCACATAATCCAAATTTAGAAAAAAACTATAAGAGGAATTAGATGTACAATGTGGTTTAATATATACTTACAATGCAAGGAACACCAGAGCTAGCGAGGAGTTGAGACCAACTAGGTACAATGCCTGGACGCAAAATGGCACCTAGAGGCCACGCACGACCAAACATTCTTTTCCTCACGGCCATTGGCCTTTCTGTTTTGCCTAACGTAAGGAGACTCTTAGGCAGAGATCCGATATCTAAAGCGGATAGATCAGATGTTCCGTGGTAGCACGGTTCTAGGATGTTATATACATTCAATGGCCTCACAGTATCTTTCACTTTTGTAAGCTTCTTACTACATTCACTACTTTCATCTTCGTAATCAGAATAGTACTTTCCTTTGCACACTAATTTAGTTTCCTGCCATTTCATATTACACATTAGAGGAACATAGAGTAACGAGGGACAATTAAAGCGAGGATTATGAAAAATTAACCAACAAGACCTAACCTCATAGAGTTCATCAGAGATGAGTCCCATCCCATGTGTGAAGGGAACAAGAGCATTACCATCAAACACTTCATCAGCAACTCCATTACCCACCAAATATCCCTATACACAAAAATATATCTCAAATTAAGATTCGAATATATGAATGTACATTAATTAGTATCCTTAATATACTTAATGGTTCTTCTTTAACTCCAAAACCATAATAAACTTTAAATCTGAAATATATCCTTAAGTATCATGGGTTAGTACCTTTAAGTTGATGATCGGCTTTGCCACATTCTGATTTTTCTACCGATAATAAAAGAGGCGACCGAACATAAGCATAAAAAAGTTGAAATTTTCTCTATGAGCGAAACTAGGGTTTTGGGTGACGGTAGGGTTCAGGATGCGAGTATGGAGGATGTGGGGCGGCCGCCGGGGGAGGAGACGGTGGTGCGTCCTTTGTGGGTGGACAAGGTGCAGGGCAGTGGTGCTGGGGGAGTTCCGTGTCCGGAGAAAGTATTATCGGATGAGTTTGTGACTGCACGGATGAGGTTGGAGTTCCCGGATGGAAAGCATGGGGAACCAGTGATTACGGTTGGTCAGGAAGTGGTATCGGTGATGAGGAGCCTGTGGAAGAATTGTATGCTTGTGAAAGTGTTGGATCGACATGTTCCCATAGCGGCGTTGAGCAAAAGGTTAAGGGAGTTATGGAAACCAACGGGAGGGATGTCGGTTCTTGATTTACCTCGACAGTTTTTCATGGTGCGCTTTGACAACGAGGCGGATTATATGGCGGTGATGACTGGGGGACCCTGGAGATTGTTTGGGAGTGTGCTTATGGTGCAGGCTTGGTCACCATCGTTTGATCCCCAACATGATGAGATTAGGACTACGCCGGTGTGGGTGAGGGTGTCTAAGTTACCGGTATTGTTTTATCACAAAGCAATATTGATGGGAATAGCGGAAGGTCTGGGTAAGCCATTAAGGGTTGACTTAACTACTTTTCGTTTTGAAAGGGCTCGGTTTGCCCGGATATGTGTGGAGGTGGACTTGACGCAACCATTGAAAGGGTCAGTGATGGTGAATGGGGATCGCTATTTCGTATCTTACGAAGGGTTGAGTAACATCTGTTCGTCTTGCGGTCTGTATGGACATTTGGTGAATACTTGTCCTTCACGGATGGCGGAGAGGTTGGCTCAAGTGAGTGTCCAAGAGATGTCTCCTGTTGTTCCAAGTGGAGGGGGAGGGAGCGATGGATTCACAGAGGTGCGGAGGACTAGCCGGAGATCGGGGACGCAGATGGCAAAGGAAAGTGTGGCGGTAGGTGCAGTGACGGAGAGACAAGAAAGGAATGTGAGCAAGATTGCGAGTATCACGGAGAATGAGAAACTTGCCGTTTCGAATAAGATTCAGTGGGTTGAATGAGGAAAGTACGGAAGATTTGGCTAGGGGGAGAATGGGAAGTGGTGATGGGAATAAGGAAAATGAGGGAGTTTCGAATATTCCTACGATATCTGGTGGTGAACAAGGAAAAGAGGGGAGCCCGTTTGGGATGGTGGCTCGTATTCAAGGTGGGCATCGAGGAGGTGGAGAAGTAAAGAGGAGTAATGGGCTTAAAGGCTGGAAAGGAATTGGGCCGAAGAATAAAGGTTTTAAACAAAACAAGCCCATGAGAGGGTTAGTGTTTGGACAGACGAATGGTGCGAAGGACTGGTTGTCTCCTGGCAAACGTCCTCGTATGGAGTCTGTGGAAATGAATCCGGTTAGTGCAGTGGCTACAACGATGGATAGCGGGCCGTGTATAACGAGTGTTCTACAAACGTATGTGGAGAATAAAAGCGGAGAGAATGTACCATTGGGGTTGCAGGAGAACCCGATGGCGTTGGTGCCCGTGTTGCCAGCCCAATGACGGGTTGCCCCGGCTGTTCTAAACTGTTTAAAGACAATTATCATGAATTGCATCTTATGGAATTGCCGGGGGGCGAATAAACCCAATTTTCGAAGATCAGTTCGTTACTTGCTAAAGAAGTTTGATACAGATATTCTAGCCTTATTTGAGACTCATGCAGAGGGGGAGAGAGCAGGAAGGATATGTCAAAGGTTGGGATTTGATAACTCCTATAGAGTTGATGCGGCTGGACAGAGTGGTGGTTTATGGCTCCTTTGGCGATCGCGAGTTGGGCAAGTGGTGGTTGTGGAGTCTTCGAATCAGTTCATTCATGCGCGGGTTGGAACTGGGGAAGATTGTGTTAATTTGATTGTTGTATATGCAGCTCCGACAGTAAGTAGAAGGAGTGGGCTGTTGGGGAAACTTAAAGAAGTTATGGAAGGTCTAGTGGAGCCGGTAATTGTAGGAGGGGATTTTAATACAATCATCCGGTTAGACGAACGGGTGGAAATGGGAGGCTCTCGTCGGATTCGCTATCATTTGGGGAATGGATAAATGGTCTATCCTTAATAGATATGGGGTTTAAAGGTGGACAATTTACATGGAAACGGGGAAGACTGGAGAGTACTTATGTGGCTAAAAGGTTGGATCGGGTACTATGTTGTGCACATGCACGGTTGAAGTGGCAAGAAGCTGTGGTATCACATCTTCCATTTCTCTCCTCGGATCATGCTCCGCTTTATTTGCAGTTGTGTCCAACTACTAGGTGGGACCCGCGACGGCGACCATTTCGCTTTGAAGCAGCTTGGTTAACTCATGAGAGCTTTAAAGAGTTGTTGATAGCTTCTTGGGACCCATCGTTGACGACCCCGGAAGCATTAAGAGGATTACAGCGAACTTTACGTAAATGGAACAAGGAGGTGTTTGGTGATATTAATACGCGTAAAGAGAAGCTAGTTGGAGAAATAAGAGAGGTGCAGGAATTGATGCAAGTTGGTCCATCAGATGAGTTGTTAGAGAAGGAAGAACAATTGCGCCTTAGCTTTGATACTTTGTTGGAACAGGAGGAGGTGCTCTGGTTTCAAAAATCTCGGGAAAAATTCATACATCTATACATGGCCTTTTTCCATACATCTACGGTGATACGGAGGAAGCGGAACCGTATTGAGATGCTTAAAGACAATGAAGATAGATGGGTCTCGGACAAAGAGGAGTTAGAGGAGTTAGTGGTGGAGTATTACCGAAGGCTTTATTCGCTGGAGGATGTTAGCCGCGAGCGACCTTGTTTACCTTTGTGTGGCTTTCCCGGGCTTACGGGAGCGGAGTTAGCTGGGTTGTCTAGACGGTTTACAGCTGAGGAGGTGAAGGTTGCTGTTAAAAGTATGGGAAAGTTTAAAGCGCCAGGCCCAGATGGATTCCAACCTGTGTTCTACCAACAGTGTTGGGATGTGGTTGCGAGTTCAGTTATACGGTTTGTTTTGAATTTTTTCGAGACAGGTGTGTTACCGGCGGCTGCAAACGATGCTCTAATTGTTTTATTAGCAAAGGTTTCTAAACCGGAGCGTATAAATCAGTATCGCCCCGTGAGCTTATGTAATGTACTTTTTAAAGTCATTACAAAAATGATGGTGCTGCGACTCAAGACCGTGATATCTAAGTTGGTTGGACCCGCACAGTCGAGCTTCATTCCCGGGAGATTGAGCATCGATAATATAGTGGTGGTTCAGGAGGCGGTCCACTCTATGCGACGGAAGAAGGGCCGGAAGGGTTGGATGTTGCTAAAATTGGATCTTGAAAAGGCTTATGATCGGATCCGTTGGGATTTTTTGGAGGAAACTTTGGAAGCAGTGGGGTTGACTTTAGAGTGGAGGCGGCGAATAATGGAGTGTGTTTCCAACCCATCGATGAGTTTTTTGTTAAATGGGGAGGTTACAAAGTCGTTTACTCCGGCGAGAGGGTTAAGGCAAGGGGATCCCCTCTCACCGTATTTATTTGTCTTATGCCTTGAACGATTGTGTCATATGATTGATGGGGCAGTTGGTCGTGGAGAATGGAAATCGATCAAGTTATCTAGAGGAGGGCCTAGTTTGTCTCACATTTTCTTTGCGGATGACATTATATTGTTTGCTGAGGCTTCTGTGGAGCAAGTTCAAGTGATTAGGCGTCTTCTAGAGCAGTTTTGTATGGCGTCGGGTCAGAAAATAAGTCTTGAAAAATCAAAGATCTTTTTCTCTTCTAATGTAAGCCGAGAAAAGGAGAGATTGATTAGCCAAGAGAGTGGTATTGGAGCTACGAGGGAGCTTGGGAAATATTTGGGAATGCCAGTTTTACACAAGAGGATCAACAAGGAGACTTTTGGGGAGGTACTTGAAAGGGTATCCGCTCGGCTGGCGGGGTGGAAGAGTCGAGTGTTGAGTTTGGCGGGACGTATTACGCTTACTAAGTCGGTTTTATCTTCGTTACCGGTTCATACGATGAGTACAATTATGCTTCCCGCGTCAGTCTTGGAGTCATTGGATAAGCTTTCTCGGGGTTTTCTTTGGGGTAGTGTACCGGAAAAGAAGAGAGTTCATCTGATTTCTTGGAACAAGGTCTGCAAGCCGAAGCATGAAGGAGGTCTCGGGTTAAGAAAATCACGGGATATGAATAAAGCTCTTCTTTCAAAGGTGGGGTGGAGGTTGTTAAATGGGAATGCGAGTCTTTGGGCAAAGATTTTAAGGAGTAAATATAAGTTGGGAGCAATTCATGACCCAGCTTGGTTGGTCCCCAAGAGTACCTGGTCTTCAACGTGGAGAAGTATCGGGGTTGGGTTGCGAGATGTGGTGATAAGGGGTTTTGGTTGGGTACCAGGAGACGGGAGATCGATTTGTTTTTGGACCGATCGATGGTTGTTGGAAAAGCCACTAGTGAGTTGGGCTTCGAGGGGGATCTCAGAAATGGTGTTACGGATGAAGGCTCATGAGTATTGGATCGAGGGTTTTGGATGGAATATGACAAGTATTGGTGATCTTCTCCCGGAGAATATTAAACAACGTCTTTATGCGGTTGTGCTGAAGGGTGTTCCGGGGCTAGTGGACCACTTGTCCTGGTCGGGGAATGAGAATGGTGCATTTACGGTTCGATCGGCTTATGCTCTACTTAGCGGGGATAATGTGGAAGGGCCGAATATGGCTAGATTTTTTGACAGAATTTGGAAGGCTAAGGTTCCCGAAAGGGTTCGTGTGTTCTTATGGCAGGTTGGACACCAAGTCATCCTAACGAATGAGGAAAGGAAGAGACGACACATGGGTGATTCGGATGTATGTCAAGTGTGTAAGTTAGCCACAGAGTCTATAATTCATGTTTTGCGGGACTGCCCTGCGATGAAAGGGCTATGGAAAAGGCTGGTTCCGAGAAGAGATCATGACCGGTTTTTCAAGGGGTCGATACTCGAGTGGGTGTATACGAATTTATGTAAGAAAAATGTGTTGGGAAGTGAGGACTGGGACGTGCTGTTTTCTATGGCAGTTTGGTGGGGGTGGAAATGGCGGTGTATGAATGTGTTTGGACAACAAGGTCATTGTCGGGATAGGGTGCAATTTGTTAAGACTATGGCAGCGGAGGTCGTTCGAGCTCAGGCTTGCCTCGGAGGAGACTTTTCGGCAGGGGAGAGAGTGGAGCGGCAGATAGCATGGAAGCTTCCGGCTGAGGGATGGGTTACGGTTAATACGGATGGTGCCTCGCGTGGTAACCCGGGTCAAGCAGCGGCGGGAGGTGTAATTAGAGATGAGATAGGGAGTTGGCGAGGTGGTTTCTCACTTAACATTGGCATATGCTCGGCACCAATGGCGGAGTTGTGGGGTGTGTATTATGGGTTACTTATTGCATGGGACGGAGGGTTTAGACGTGTGGTGTTGGAGGTGGATTCCGTTCTGGTGGTGGGTTTTTTGCAGTCAGGGGTGAGTGATGCTCATCCATTGGCGTTCCTGATACGTTTGTGCCAAGGCTTTATATCAAGGGACTGGCTAGTCCGGGTTACTCATGTGTATAGAGAAGCTAATCGTCTGGCGGATGGATTAGCGAACTATGCGTTTTCTTTAGCGCTGGGGTTTCTTTCTTTGGTTGGATGCCCGAGTGAGCTTAATTCGATTTTGTTAGAGGATATGTGTGGGACTTCGATTTCACGGACTATTCGGGTGTAATTTTTTTGTTTGTTTTGAGTACATTTTAGGAGACCTTGTCTCCTTTTTCATACCAAAAAAAACATTCTGATTTTTCTTACTTGTTTTGTTTGTTCTCATTGCTTTTTTATTTTCTACAAAATCAAGAAAATGATGAGAAAATTTGGAAACATATCAAAATGTGTTAAGATAATGTTTTTATATATAAAAAAATGAGATAATTCTGACCTTTGACAACTTTAGAAGCAAGAGTTGGCACATAGATACCAGCATATGATTCTCCTGAGATATAGAACGGATTTGACTGAAACTCTGGAAACATCTTAAACCACTATTAAACAGTGGAGGCAATAGTTAGTTTCTTGAATCTCACACAACACAAAGGAAAGCTTTCCAAACAAATCTATCACAATCTTATTTCACCTTGAGAAGGAATGTGTAAGAATCAGACGCGGTTTTCGTATCATTAGTTATGTAATCAGACTTGTTCTTTGAGTAAGAGAATCCCACACCAACTGGAGAGTCAAGATATATGATGTTGGACACCTAACAAAAAGAAAGAACACATTCTTAAAACGTTAGAGCAAACGTTAAAACATTCTCATAAATAAGGCAATGTTGTTTTTTCTTTTTGTTTTCCACCTTAGACCAACTATAAGGATTTAGATGTAGAAGATGTTTGTTTGTCTTTGTTTGTTCGAAATTGAATGGACCTGCAATAGCATTGAAACCACACTTAGACCTCAAGTGCGCGATTATTGTATAGTTTGAGCGATAAAAGCGCGGTAGATGAGACCCCCTTTCGACAACAAGAGAAGAAGCTAGATAAAGCTTACCATGCTCATAGACAAATCCATCCATACTAGAACAACCTGGACCACCATTAAACCAAAGCACAACTGGATCTATTGAAGCATTTCTCTCTGATTCCACAAAGTAATACCATAGATTCTTACTACCCTCTTTATCTATTGCCACATACCTTAGATCACACATAAAAAAGTTCATAAGACATAAAAGATTATTAAAACACTATTTTGAAGAAAATATGTAATCAAACTTTATGATAGGAGCTTAGATTAGATTTTAGTTACCCGGCATAGTGTTTAGATGGAAAGCTGCCGTTGAAACCAGGAAGCTTGGTAATGAGAGCAGATTCTGGAGCTGACTCTGTTATTGCAAAACACAAAGACAATAATATTGAAGCAACAAGAGCTTCCACTAACCAACCCATTTTGATGAGTTTGAAGACCCAAAATTACAACCAAATTCTTGGGAGGGTCTATTCAAAGTAGAATTTTAAATATGATTTGTATAAAATTTATAAATCTTATTTTATTCAGTCATGAATTTTAAAGTCTAATGAAATATAGTGTTATTTAACTAATGATTTAAAATTTTACTTTAAAATCTAATGTTATTGGATTTGATTTTAAATGATTTTGAAGGATTTGAGAAGATTTCCTTAGCTAAAACTACATAAATTCAAATCTCATTGTTTGAGATGAGATTTGAAATGATTTTAATCATATGAACTTTCCGAAAGTCATATAAAATCTCACAAAAACTCAAATCACTTACAATAATAGTTTGAATACACACCCTTATTATTGTATAATATCAATACATATGGAAACAAATTATGGGAATCTATTAATGTGTGGTAAGTTAAAGAGAATATATATTTTATAAAATAAGAATATATGAGGTACAATATGAAAAATTTAACTAGAAAATCAGACATAGATATTTAAAATGAACATCATTCTTGAAAAGAAACATGGAAATAAAAAAATTTAGGGAAAACAGTTTTACTACTAAAGAAAGATAATATTATATTATATATTTATATGTACTTGTAAATAATACGATATAGACATTTATCTGATTAATGACATAATTTTTTAAGAAAAATATAACATTTGCATTGTTAGATTTAAATGTAATTTAACAATGTTATATTTTCAAAATAAGATACTTTCTATAATATAATTGTAAGCAAATTTTCTATTCTTTTATACATTATATTTTAAATTAAAGTTATATTGTATATTTTACTATATTAAGAATTTATATACCATATAATTTATACAACTACACATATGAATTATATATATATATATATATATATATATGTTTTAAAAAGTAATTATAAATTTATATCTATTGTTGGGTTAAATATTGCTCATCAAATATTGACCAATGAAATTGTGAATTTGTGTAACATGGATATCACCCATAATAACTTTTTGCATAAAATGTCACTTAAGATGCACTCCTAAATCAACTATGACGAAGTACCCAACACCTCATATCCATTGATTTTTTACCAAAATAGAAAACGATAAATTCGTTCTAAGATATATGTGAGAAAGTTGTGAAAGTTATTTTTGGTGCATAAAAATAGCCATTTTTTTTTCAAAATATGTCATGAAAAAATTGGCCGGAATAGTTATAATATGCATTGCTGCCATGACTTGAGAAGGAAAAAATCAGAAAACAGGTAGAGGAGCAAGCTTGCCATCCAATGACGTATATAAATTTTCAATTTGTTCAATCTTTGTGCCAAGCTCTCCAATATTACAAAAACGGATTTGTTAGTTAGAGTAGAGTAGGTTTTCGAAAATCCATTTAGTGAGCTTGACTTCCTTTACAAATTATTTTTGTACCCATACTGGTCGGAAATTTTTTAATAGATTTTTGAAAATTTTATATAATAAGAAACTATTACTGTAAGGATTTTTTATAATATTTTTTATGTATTTTATTTAGATTTTTATTACTAACAATGCATAATTGCATAACAACACAAATAATATAAAATAAAATATGCAATTGTTATGCAATTATGCATTGTTAGTGATAAAAATCTAAATAAAATATGTGAAATATATATAATTATGAAAAATCTTTACCGTAATCGTTTTCTGTAACACAAAATAGTCAAAAATTGGTTAAAAAAATTTCAACCATTATTTCACAAATATTTAGGACGCTCTTCTAAAAAAAAAGTTTCTTCCAAATTTTCCACTAATATTTTACCGACAACCATTTCCAATCAGCATAATGATTTCACCTAATTAAAAATGTAAATACATATCATTAACTCCAAAACATTTTTAATCCAATCATACTAATACATAAATTTTGAGTTTTTCACCAAACAAAACAAAACTAACAGTTTTCCACCCAAAACACATCCAAAAAGCTCCAAACTAATATAATGCAAAACTCCACACGGACAAGTTTTATTGGCAGAAACAAGGACACACCCTCACAAAACAAAAACCAACGGTGCTCAAAAAGACTCATCGACGACCACGCCTCCAAACAATCTCAGCCGTTCAATTTTCTTGCAGCACTTGTCTATCATGCCTAAACCTTAAACAAATCTCTCTTCTTCTTTTTCTATATTATCACTTCCTTCTTCTTCTTCAACTCCAATCCTCACCCTTTCAAAATCCCATTACGCACAAACTCCACGGCGCCATTTCACGGTGGCGCTTATTAACCCTCTCCTTCTCCGTCACCTCTCATCATAAAAATCAAACCTTTATTATAAAAAAAATGACTTTGATCGCTTCTTTGTCCCTCCCACCACCAGCTATTATACAAAGACGAACACTTTCGGATTCTAATCGCTTCAAATGTCAATTTCGCTCTTCTTGTTCGCCTCTGTCTTCTCTTCATTCTTCATCTCTTAGTAAATTTCTAGATTTTAGTCTACGGCGGAGACACGGCGGCGGATTGGTGCCGGTGGTGGCGTGTTCAACGACGCCGTTTATGGGTAGAGTTGGATTGCATTGGAGAGATGGGAACATGTCTCTGTTATCGTTTTGTGGTGGGACTGATGTTACTGAGAGAGCTGATTCGTCTCAGTTTTGGTCTGCTTTGCTTCCATTTGTTGTTGCTCTCACTGCTGTTGCTGCTCTCTCTTACCCACCTAGTTTTACTTGGTTTGTCTCTCTATCTATGTAGCTTAGTCTTTTGAAGAATCATAGCTGCAGATGCTTATATGGTTTCTGCAAAATTGGTGTCTTGGCTTAGAATTAACATCAAACTCTGTGGCTTTTACTTAGTTTGCTCTGGTCATCTGTTGTAGTGCTGTTTAGTGAATCTTAGATTTTGAATGGGAGTTTAAAATGAATATCAGATGAAATGTTTTCAGGGTATCTAAAGAACTGTATGCTCCTGCTCTTGGAGGGATTATGTTGTCTATTGGAATCCAGCTTTCAGTTGATGATTTTGCTCTTGCATTCAAAAGGTACTTGGGCTATTCTCTTACAAGTTTCATGATCGTTTTAGTTTAAGTAGATTTTTCTTGAGAACATTGTTTTGATGCAGACCTGTGCCGTTATCTGTTGGGTTTGTTGCTCAGTATGTTCTGAAACCGCTGCTTGGGGTTTTAGTTGCTAATGCTTTTGGGATGCCGAGGACCTTCTATGCTGGCTTTGTACTCACATGTTGTGTGGCAGGGGCTCAATTGTCTAGTTACGCCAGTTCTCTGAGCAAAGCAGATGTGGCCATGAGCATTCTTCTCACTAGTTCGACAACTATTGCCTCTGTACTTTTTACCCCTTTGCTAAGTGGTCTTCTTATTGGATCGGTAGTTCCTGTTGATGCAGTTGCCATGTCCAAGTCCATACTACAGGTAACAATGTTTAGGAATATGACCATGAAGAATCTATCATTCTTTTCTTTTGAGGTCCAACGAAAGCTTTACTATCTGTAGGTGGTGCTTGTTCCAGTCACCCTTGGCCTTGTGTTAAATACTTATGCAAAGCCTGTGGTCACTCTTATTCAACCCGTGATGCCGTTTGTTGCTATGGTATGCACTTCATTGTGCATTGGAAGCCCACTTTCAATAAATCGCAGTCAGATTCTGTCAGCTGAAGGTCTTGGATTGATTGTTCCCATTGTTACATTCCATGCAGTAGCATTTGTCTTGGGATATTGGTTCTCTAAGATCCCAGGCTTACGGTAACTCCTTAATTCATGTTCTTTTCATATCTCTTCAATATTTTCCATAATCCATAGAACTTTGAAAATTTATTGGGTTATGATGTTGGATCTTTTAATTAGACAAGAGGAAGAAGTTAGCCGGACTATCTCCCTCTGCACAGGGATGCAGAGCTCCACATTAGCCGGGCTTCTTGCAAGTCAGTTCCTTGGTAGCAGCCAAGCCGTTCCAGCAGCTTGCTCTGTGGTTGTAATGGCCATAATGGGTCTATGCCTTGCCTCTTTCTGGGGCAGTGGGTTTCGAATCAGGGACATTCTGTCGCTATCAACACCGCAAGCCACTGCTGAATCATGAGCAATATTCAGCAGCAACAAACCTGTAAAGCAAAGGAACCACACCTTGGGACATTGATGGCAAATGCTTTCCGGTTTTGATTTGATGTACAAACAGCATTTGGGAAGTAAAGATAAGGTTTAGAGGGGATGGTATAGGTAGTGTAGACAAAATGGTGTTCATCAATCATCTTGTATGTAGTTTGCTAATTCATGGTATAAAAGTTTATCTTTTGTTGCCTCTCTGTGAACTCTTGCTGCAAAATTCAGTGAAAGCAAATACAAGTAATAAACGGTGTTCATTCTTTGTGACTCGAGAGTACAATTATCTAGTTATCATTGGACAACGCATTACATAAATTGATTCATCTGAAATATAATCAGACTTATATGTTCTTGACTCTTGCTCCCAACTTCATAACAAGAGAGATTAATGTTCTTCATTTAACTTAATGTTCTTCATTCAACTTAATCTTGCTTCTCGAATCTTCACCATCACCAACACAATGATCATCAGTCTTTTTGGGTGCTGGATACTTAACAGCATTAAGCTCGATCTTTCGTAGAGCCGCTTTGCCTAAATCGACACCACAAGCATCCGAAAGCCTCACCAAATACAACAACACATCTGATAACTCTTCTCCAAGATGAACTTTCTCTTCTTCTTTCCAATCAGGACAACCTCTTGCCACTTCCCCTTTCCATTGGAATATCTCTGATAGCTCTCCCACTTCACCCACCTGCAAACATTTCCATACTCTTATAAACTCTCTTCATCTCTTTCAGTTCACTTATCAAATCATTACTATACCAAACAAAAACACACAAGAAACACATTTTATAAAAACAAAAAGTTTTAGCCTTTTTAATCCAACTAGATTGTAGGGCATAGAGGTACATGAAGACAAATCAAAGTTGAAAACTTTACTAAAGAAAAGGAACAGTCACATGTTCTTGTCGCTGTCTATGTTACTTGTCACCAGATCTAACTGGTCTTTCCACTCACAAGTTACGATCAATTCCAATGTTAATAAAGCTAAAACAGAGCTTACATACAAAAAAGATGAAATCTTTCATGGAAAACAAAAGATCAGATTTAATAGAGAACATAATCAAATCAAATAGATAACAAGACCCATTTCAATTTTATTACGGACGAATCAAAGTAGATGTGAGTAAAAAAAAAAAAAGATACCATTGCAAGGAGGAGATTCCTAGGACTATGATACTTCTCCCAATCTCTAGCTTTTGCAAAATCATCCATTTTCTTACTCAGTGTTTTAAGAGAAACCTCTTCTTCTTCATCTCTTTTTTCCATTATCAATGAATCTAAACACACAAAAGACTTAAACCCTTGAGCTTTCTTGTGAGAAGAAGGCACAAAAGACCAGAGAGTTTATAGCAGAGGGTTTTTGAGAATGATGAGAATTGGTAGAGAAGATGACCGGTTACCGGATGATTCCTGTCGGATACAAGGTTTAAGCTGAGTTAATGAGGATTATAAGAAACAGACACGTGGCAGTATTTTTACTAATTTGTTGACTTGGCGTTGTCCTATTTGTGGGAATTGAGAAATAATTGTAATAGAATCTAGTTTTATTTTTTTTAATAATTATTTTATTTTAATTTATGGATGGTTCTAATCATATGCTTTTTTTTTTTTGGCTTGCTTTATTCTTGTATCTCTATAATATTTTTTTCTAGGTATGTTGTAGAATGTTTTGATTAGGTAAAGATAAAATTGGGAGAGATAAACATATTTTTAATATGAGAAAGAAAGAAAAGAAAGGTTTTTTCGAAAAAGAATATATTAAAAGAACCCAATTCTTTAATAATGTTGAAATGAAAAGTATAACCAAATTAGGAAGTGATGAGCTGAAATTGTAACCAAATGGAAAAATTTATATATGATTGTGTGAATGGAAAATTAATAGGTGGAGTAGTGGGCAACCCATTAGATGAGAGAGTAATTAACATCAAATCATATACATTTTATGATAGTAACAACGGATATGGAAGAAGTTGAAAGTTGAATTAGAGAATACAATATATAAGTGAAGTAATTAAAATTTAATTGAATGAAATAAAAACGTATCATTGTAGTTAGGAAGAAGAAGGACGTGAAGCCATAAAAATCGTTGTAGAGAACTTAGAAGAGGAAAGTGTACGTTAGATGAGATAAATTTGACGGTGGATCAAACCGGAGAACCAAAGTCGGAGAACATAGACTGGTTTGTGATACGTATGTATCACAAAATCAAAGATACAAGGAGAAGATTATATATTAATTTTTTTTTTCTGAATCCAAAAAGCAAATGCATATTTACTAAGGCCCAACAAAAGCCCAACGCAATTGTTAACCAAACTTAACAAAACCAATATTCACGAACCTCTATCAATACAAGCAATCTAAAAAATCAACTTAACAAATAATCTCTCGACATAACTAAATAAATTCATAGAGATTATTAATACTATTACCCGTGCTTGAAAACAAAAGTTATTAATATTTATAGTTTGATAATCTTTATAGTGAAACAAAAATAATTATTAATATTTGAAAACTAAAGAGGTTGGTTTAAAATGGGTACTCAAATAATCAGATAACTAAAAGCAAATGTTTGATAACTTAAAAATTAGATTTCTCTCCTCCCCTTAACGAAGTTATTCTCCTATCCCTAAAGATTTTCTGCTTATGCAGTAACTTTTGTGAATATATATTAGATTAACTATGTAAATCATATGTTACCGTTATTCATTATAAGTTATTTGATAACCTCATAGTTATATAGTTAAATTATTTACCGATATAAATTTTAAATTAATTGATAAATTCATAATTATCGAGTAAAATTATTTATTATATGACTGATATCAACTAACTTATATATTAACATGTTAATTTATTATAATATTTTATTTGTTACCGTTAACTTATACATAAGAAACATATAAATGATATATAAAAGTTATTCTAAAATTTTATCAATATCTATTTTGTTATGTGATAAAATATTTGCTATCTATACTAGGGATAGCTTTGTCCAATTTAAGTTGTCAAGAGAGAGAACTAATAAAAAAAAAGCATGTATAGATTCTTAATGGGAAAAAAACTTAAAAATACTCCATCTATTTTTTATTTGGACGTTTGATACCTCGTCTTTTTTTATTGGAATAAAAATGCTTCATATTATAAATTGTTGGTAGTTTTGAACCGTTGACTTAACCTCCGTTAACGGACGTTAGATAATCATTAACCGGTGTTAAAACTTAACCCATATATTAAAAGGATATATAAACTCTAAGACAAATAAATACGATTATCTTAAATTGGTCTAGTGGTAATAAGTAATATGTCTAATGCTTCAGAAACACGTTCGAGCCTGCCCAAATACATATTTAATTTTTTAATATTTTTTTCATCTTTCTCCTTCACAGGAAACCCTAGCGCCTCCTCTCTAGTTCTATTTTTTCCTCAGTCGTTAGTCTCCATGAATACCTAACATGACCGTCCTCACATATATAATAATGTCTTCGATCGATATGCAACAACAATTTCTTAGCTCATTGCTTGTCTTCCTCCTCGCGTTGCAATCTGAGAGGCGGAGGTAATGATAATGATGGCCACGAAGAATTAGGATGAGTCATAATAATACCACCGTTGGATTGTAAGGAGGAGTCAACGCAGATTGGACCAACCGGTGGCGGTGGTGATGGATTATTAACCGGAGGCGACGCAGGAGTAGAGATTGAATTGGGGTTGATTTTATTGTTTTGATTGGACAAGGAAAAAGCTGAGAAACATATCGTGAAGTAAACAACATTGAAAGATGAATATATGAAATTCAAAGAACCCATGAATATTACCAGATTGATGAACCAAACTCGGATCCAATTATCATCAATCTACTCGGAGCTTATGAATTTTTCAAGCTACGAATCTGGGTTATCTTCGATACCCGAGAAAGCAAAAAAAAAAAGAAAAAAAAGAAAAAAAAAAATAAAAAATATATATATATATATATATCTTTATGCTCGTAAAAAAATTCGAACGCTGGTTCTCTAAGGGTTTGCCTTCTTTGAATTACCATTAAACCAAATAATATATGAACTTAACTATTTGTTAAACAAACTACAAAATATCGATTCAACTAATAGAGTTTTCATGTCTAAGAGGCTTCTTTAACTTATTTTGTTTTTTCTCATTTTCCTCCTATCTTGAAGACATTAAAAGCTTGTTTGACAAAGTTTTAGTTTCCCTTGTGATTTTACTTTTGTATATATATTTTTTTGAATATAAAATATTAAATTAAAGTCTCTCCTTACTAAGAGAATTTAACAACTTTAGATATATATAAAGAAAAACTCACTAGGTCAATGCTTCATTGAAGTTTCTTGAAACAGAAAAAAAAAAACTAAAATTTAAAGAAAAAATAAAGACAAAATAAAGAAATAATAAAGAAAAAAACAAGTTTTTAGAAAAAAAAAATGGATCACCACCATCAAGTTCTCCTATCCCCTTGTAAACTTTCGCACAAACCTCATTGCTACTCTCCATTTCAAACTTTCTATATGCTTCATATATTGTTAATAGTTTCCAGTATCTCATTAGCTTGCGTCTCTGGTTTATCAAGTGCATTCCCCACTTCTCCCATCTCGTCCTCGATGAAAGCTTTGAGAAGCTCTGGTGTCAAAGCTGCTGGATCAAGCTCCAAACAATCTTTAGGAGCGTTCTCACCTTCTTCACCTGTAAGTAAATGAAAAGGTACCTGATGCGAGAACCTGAACAATTCTTCCCTTGGGTATGTCTTATGAGTTGAATGGCGGCAGAATATATTATGAAATCCTGGGAGTTTAACAAGCGGTGCAACCTTCACACCTTTTTCGTCATCAAAATCTTCTTGCACTTCAACCATTTCAAACTTGTTCATAACTTCTAGAGAAATTGTAATGTCCCAAGCTGGTGACCAATTTTCATAGAGAGCCCAAACAGTTCCTCTTTTCGGGTAGATGTGCACAAATCCTTTCGCGCCTAGTTCCCACTTGACTTTATGTGAGAATGAGTTGAGAGTGTCATAGTTGAGGCGCTTTCCAACTGAGAAGTTTCCGCTTGTCTTGTAGTAGTATGATTCAATCCATTTCATTGGACCCAATTCGTCATTTTTCTTGCAGTTAAGCCATGAAATACACAACTTGAAAGGTTCTTGAGACACAACCTTATGGACAAATGCATAATTCCGAGGCAATATTCCATAGTCATCATAAAGAGCCCATACCTCGTTTTCTCCAAATGAAGATTCAATTCTGTCTTTGTCAAAGTGATAGAAATCTGGATCTGGGACACTCATATCTACCACATAGGGGTCCTCCTCATTTACAATCTCTACTCTCTCCGCTTCATCACAATCCTTGGAGGCTTGGTTTGGTTCGGCAGCTGCACCAATATTGTTGTATTGAGAAGTGGGATCATACAATGTATCCACATCATCCAAAGCACTTTGAACCAAATTTGGAGTAAGCTCGAGATCACAATTGATATGTCCATCTTCGCTGATTCGTCTAATCTGATGAGGAACATGAAGCGTATTTGTTGATGGAGGTTCCTTCCGTTTGCGTTCTCCTTCATTCATCATCCTTGATTGGTCGACAAGGTCAGTAACTCTTGTTAGAGGTTGATCTTCTGGTCTCTCATAAACATGCTTCTCTTTTTCCCCGCCCAAAATTCGGCATGCATCGTCAATTATATTACTCGCTTCATCAATGCAATCAAGATTGTGTGCCTTGACCGCCAGTTCTGTGGCTCCATGAAGATCACCCCCATTGTGCATCTCCACTGCGGTCACTTTCGTTCCTCTTGCTTCTTCATGGATGTTTTCGTTCCTTGATTCATCCATTTGCATCACCTCTTGGTAAAAATAGATCCTACAAGATATAGACATTGTAAGTTTGATTCTTAAACAACGATAAAAGAAATATGTCGGAAAACTTTTTCTCAATAATACAATTTTCATCATCCAAAGATATCATAATCTTGAAGCCACTATACCAAATTTTCCTAGTAAAAGCAACTCATATAACAATTCCAAATCTTTATAAATATAAGAGATGGAAAGAGATATTTAATAATTCGTTTTCGCGCCAAAGGTCGTTACTTATCAAGCTTTAGATTTGAGATCAAAATTTATTGTTTTAAGTATATGCTTCCCTAACGATTTTCAATTCTTAGATAAGGAAAACCAATAACACAGTAACACAATTAATTAGTTTTAAACAGTTATAAAAATGACAATAACTCATAGATGGTTTGAGCGCGAAAAATTTTCAAAAAACTAAAGATATAAACTGAATATTTGCGAAAAAATGTTTTTCATAATAACATAGGAATAGAGTTAGTGGGTGAAATCCGTTGAAATCTAGAATCATTTTCAATAAATCTAACAAACACATGCAAATTCAAAGGGTTCTAAAAGACTTTTACCACGATTGATCTTAGTTATTTGGTCACAAGCATATATATATATATAAGAGATTAATTTAATAGACATACAAAAGAACATTTTCTAAATTTAAGAATCCCAACAAAATCCAGAAAAAAAATCCCACTAAATAACATTAAAATGGAACCTATATACATATATTAAAGAAGGTTAATTAAATCACAGAAAACGTATGAAAACAAAAATATTGATTTGAAAAAGAGTAAAACAAAAAGCACGTATTATTCTGAAAAGAACAAAAGAAGATAGTCAAGAACATGAAATTATACCTTTGCGTTGAAAGAGAGGAATAACAGCTTATGACTTGTGATTGATTTTGTGATTTTCTTATGTGGTTGATTTTGTGATTTTTTTATGTTTAAGATATAAAAGAGTCAAATTTATAGGATTATGGATTTGTGGTAAATGGTGCATCCATATTGACTTTTATGGTCAGTATTACAATTTTGAAGTATTTGACAAACATTCTTTTCTTGACTTTGTTTTTCCTTTAGTCATACTTTCCTTTATTGATATTAAATTATTTCCAGATAATCTTAATTTGTAGACAGTAATCATTTTTAGGCATTTTTATTTATTTTTCATAAATATTCAACTTAAAGAAAATATAGTTTGAACAAAGTCTCCTTTTTTATATTCTCTAAAAGGTGGACCAGATCTTACATTAAAAGAATCTTAGTGGGATATTTTGTTCTTCATATACTTATAGTTGGCTTGGGAAGTTCCATAAAAGTTCATGAATATCAAATTCTCATTTTCTAAGTTGGTGTTCATTTTGTTGTATGAGTTTATGACCTATGGACTTCTTTAGATCAAGTATAAAAAAAAACTCTTTTTTATTTTTTGTAAAGCCTCATTTCTAATTTTTTTATTTTTAAAAGGAAAATATAACATGCTGGATTTGTGTCTCTTTTTGTTAATTTTACATATCTAGGGGGGGGGGGTTGGATTATTGGGAAGTTGATCTTTAAAGAGTTTATGGGTTTTAAAAGTTTAGAGATTTTAAGATTCTCAAAAGAATTTGTAGATTCTAAAATAATGTTTATCCAGTTTTTTAGAGTTTGTAGATTCCTCATATGATAAATTTTACAAATACTATTGATAAATCATAAACGCAGTATTTTAGAAGTTATTTTAATGACCAATTATGTAAGAAATCATTTTTCCATAACACTAGTTTTTGATAGAATTTGATAAAATTAGAAAATCAATAAATACTCAACTTTTTTAATAACAAAGGATTTTAAATGGAATTACAAAATACATACACTAATAACAAAAGATTTTAGTAAAAATCTAAAAATCCATAAATGAATAACAATAGAAATCATAGAGTTATTGGGAGAATGATTTTTAAAGATTTTTAGAGTTTAAGATTCTATTGTTATTCTTAAAAAAAAAAAAATAATAATAATAGAATCTTAAACTCTAAAAAATCTTTAAAAAATCTTTAAAAAATCATTCTCCCAATAACTCCTCCCTAGTGTTAGGTTCGTAGTTAGAGATAATAATTAACTCCTTTGTACATAGTGTTAGATCTGTGGTTAGAGATAATAAATTAACCATAGTCCACACTAGAAAATTGAATAGAATCTTACATGATATATAAGACATTGATCAATCCACTCATAAAAGATTGACGATTGAATATTTTTAGTAAAACTAAAATTGAACATTTTATGTATACCAATCAAAAGCATTTATAGATTTCTCGCTTCAATAATGTTAATCTAATTGTATATGCTTTTCCCTTCAATAATGTTTATTTTGACAACGAGGTTGGAGTGTGCTAGAACTATTAAGAAGCATTTATGATGCAAGTATCTATGTAAGCTTTTGATGGAGAACCAATAGTGGAAAGCTTAGTCATTTCATAAGTTCAATCTTGATCGATTTGTCGATGCCCTAAAATCATTAGTTCGAGAAAGAAGAAAAATGATCATGGTTATTATATATTTCACCTCATTCTTAATTCTTAGTTCATTTTCACGATACTAATCACTCATCTTTTTAACATTAAGTTTATAATCTAGCCTTGTTTTATTTAATTGAATAAGAAATGTTATTACGGAAATGAAATTGAAACGTTATTTTATGCTCGATTTATTTGTTATCATTCAAACGTGGCAAATATATATGATTATATTGAGGTATTGAAACGTGACGAATCTATGATTTGAAGCAATGAAAATGTAAAATTGTATTTGAACTCCCATCTTGTAAAAAGTGTTTGTATAATTGTATGTACGTATAAAGAACCATTCAAATTTAAAACTTCAATGGCTCATTGATTGATGATTATGATAACATATAAGACTTAGTTATGATGAACAAGGGACACACGAAACAAGCCTAAGTTTACGGAACAAGGGACAAAGAACAAAGTTCCCGTAATTATGACAAGTTGAAAAGGAGAGCTCTCTCAAACAAAACGTAGCCATGCAAGAACGACAGATGGAAATGTAAGCTCGACGACAGTGCAAACCCCATCTTTTAAAGGTTATCTTTAGTAACTTTAGAATAAAGATTAGATTGTTTGCACTACTACAAATAATGATAATATTATTTGTATATAAAATTAATTGAAAAATATATATATTTATATAGATATTTAAAAAGAATTTTTGAGAAATGTTATTTTTAGTGTGTCTATTTTCAAAACTGTCATTTTTTTCAGATATATTCTTCGTTCAATACGGAAAAACGTTAAACTGTAAAGATGTATTTTTGAAAAAAGTTTATTTAAGAAAAGAGACATTTAATATATATATATATGGTAAAAAAAAATTTTATTTATTTAAATCGCAATTTTGAGTTTTTTTTTTCTTCTATTTTGGTTTTTTTTTTCTTCTAATTTTAGATTTGATTGTGTAAACTATCCATATAATGACCACCTTTACTGAACAAAGAAGAGACGTTTATATTTTTAAAAGGTTCCAATGAATCTCAAACAAACCATAGAAAGAAACAATGTTGAAAAAGTTGATACCAAAAGAAAAAGTTTTCAAATGAGATTTCAACACAAGTTTGACATTAAGTCTTTAGAATAAAATAAAGGTTTTCTTTGCTTTATGGGTAATGAGTCTAACAACTAATGTGAGGACAAAGAGATCCTATTGCAAATCACTTTGAGAAAGACACCTAGGTATGATTATGTCTTGACACCATAATTTGTCTAAGACTTAGTGTACATAGACGTTTCATCTTACTAATTGGCCACAACGACAAGCATGTGAACATATTTGATTGCCTTTTTTAATCACATGGGAATAATAAGTCCAAATAATTAGTTGGACACTTAAAAAATCATAGATTCAAAGTAGACTAAAGAACTATTATAATATATTAATCCCCTATAATCATCCATAACCAAGAAATAAACTCAAGAAACAAAACCAAAGAGCTACAAAACAAGAGAACAAAATAATATATCTATACACTGCTAATACAAAGGTTCATAACAAATTTTAGTAACAACCACCACAAATGAACCTTTTAATAAGTTGACCAGAATCTTTATTGGCTCATGTCTTCATTGAGTTGTTTGATTTTCTCTTGAGTACAATGACCCAAGTAACTGCTTCCAAGAGCAAAGCAATGCCACCAAGAATGGCTATCACTGCAATGTAAGCAGTCTTGTACGTGTCTTGTGGTTTCAAGATGTTGAGCCCTTTGAAAACATTAATGATCCCAAGGATGAGTATCGCATAGCCGACTCCATGATGGTAGATGTTCCAATAGAATCTGTACTTGTGATCTTTCTTTGGCCTTAACAACATCGCAAACATCTATACATAGAATTTTAAAACATAGTCAAAATCTTGAATCTTGAACATGAACTAAAACAGAGGCAAAAACAGAGTTCTTCTTGTAATTTACCTGAATAGTGGCAAGGGTGAAGAGGGCAATGCCAATGTTACGATGGCTGGTGTAGCTAATACCCTCGGACTCGCTGCCGAGCTTGAGTCCGGTACCCCAACCGGCAACACCAATGACATAAGCCGAGAACTGACAAGACACATGAAGGTAAAACCAAGCCGGATCTGCGGATTCAAATATTCTCATATACCTAGCAATTATTGCTCCTAAAGGAAACAAAATCCCCCAGCTCACCGCGTTTAATATCCCATGAATCTGCACAATTATCCGATTATAAATCATAATCTATCGGTTTAAAGAATCTTGTTCTATAGAAACCGCGAATTCGATGTTTTAAAGAAACTTACATTTCTCTTCTTGATCTTGGCATTGACCTCGCCGCCCACAGAGCTTGTTGTGCTGCCGCTATTATCACCTTTTAAATCAAGAACGCTCATAGAAGCAAGATTAGGTGCATCGAAAGCGTGCTTCCCAATCATTCCACCAGGACCTAACGCAGGACCAACTTGCCAAACCTGATTCACTTTTCCCTTTGCCACCAAATCAGCCGGAACCTTAACCCTAGCAAAGATCCTCAACGTACCATCCTTCGCAGCTTCCTCGGCTTTCATATCCCAAACATCAAACGAAAGCTTCGAAGGAACAAGCGAGCTATAAGAGCTAATGTTTAACGTCTTCACCACGGCAACACCGTTACCTGGATCCTTGTAAGCGACAAGGGTTTGAGCCCCAACCATACCTGTCCCTGTCGGATTTATCGCCCAAGCGATCCATCCACCAGGCTTGGCCGGTGGAGCAGAGAAGACAACGGCGAGAGTTGTGTTGGCTGCGTCGTAGGAATAGTGAAGGAAGGCTTTGAGTTGAGGGAGGTCAAGGCAGTGAGGGTATGTTTTGTCGCCGGAAAACGTCTGTGACTTACATGTTTGTGAGACAGACGGTGAGATTAGCAGAGCCAAGAAAAGGAAAGAGAGAGAGGTTCTTACGGAAGAAGAAGACATTGTTAGATGGGATTGAAGTAACCGTAAAGGTTTTTTCGCGGAATAAATAGAAGATGTGTGTAATAAAAACTAACATGTGTTTTGGTGTGTGAGATTTAATAATAGCCAATAATAGATTTTTTTTTTTCAGTTTTGGTTATTCTTTTGTTTTTTGCTTTTTGAGAATACATAGGAATGATGTATGATTCTCGAACTAAAGAAAATAAATTCAAATTAAAGCTAAATTAAAATTAGATATTTCCTTAATAATTTAGTGAGAAGGAGCAAGTGGGCTATTTGTTCCCACCGCTATTATATTCTCACCATATCTGGATTCGAACCCGGCCCTCTCAAAGAGATATACATCGGTTATTCGTCCCACAAAAAAAAAACAAAGACAACCAATCGCGGGTCACCACGTATCAGTGGAGCCCGCGAATAGTGAAGAAAGAAGGCGTAGGACCGTCCCATTTTAACTAACGTTCTTCAATTTTATTTTATTTTTAATTTTTTTTTGGGAAAAAAATTATGTGGGACTTGGGCTATGTACGCCGATGTACATGGTCTTATAATTTGTAATGATGTCAAAAAAAAATAATTGAAAAAGTGGTTTGAAATATTGTAAATGTTTGGGGAAAATTAAATAATTTGTTAGCAAAAAAGACATTTCTATAACATAAGTTTCTTATAATTTAATTATTACAAATTTAACTATGTTGTTGACATAAAAGTAAAAACATTTAGCTATGTGATATAATTATGATAATTGATTAATAGTTATGAATATCATTATACCAAAATCACAGTAATTATGACATCATAACCATCATTACCAATTTACCATCATCATCAACACTTTCATAATTACCATGCTTATCATATATCATAGTAACAATATCATTGATCACAATGGAAAATCTAGAACATATGACATAAGAATTTGGGTGCTTTAATTTTAATTACAAACTAATTCTATCCCCTTTTTTTATGCAACATTTCACAAAGTGATAAAGTAATTCTAGTTTTCAAAATGATAATTCTGCTTTTAGTAAAATATGAAGACCCTCAAGTTTCACCCTACTTTGCTTTATTTTATTTTATTTTAATAGACACAAATTAGCTTTTAACAAAATGGTCTCAAGAGTCAAGAAACATATTCATTCACACGGTTGCTTTAATTGTTAAGCTAACAACGCACAAACATATTCACACTATTAAAAATTTTCTCCATTATATTATTTCACATGCATACTTAGCTTTATTTATAAGATAATAGCATAAATTTTAGGGTACGTAGCATATGACAAACGAGATACTCTCTCACTCAGCAAATGGAAAATATTGGTATCTAACTAGAAAACGTTACTTTCACACTTTCTTAATTAGGGCAGAATCACAAATTATGAAACTCAAATGAAGTAGTTACTATTTCCTCTCATTATTACATGACACATCAACCAACTTGTGAACCACCACACAAAACCATTACGCAAGTTACTTAGTATAGACTTCCACTACATGCATAGCATCTTTAAATTTAAGGAGTTCTCTATAGATTAGGCAACATACTCTTTTCTTCTTTTCTTTAATATCTTCTCGCCCAGAAGATATAATTAAAAAGATTAAGAGTATTAAGAACAAATAAAACCACGTAGAACAGTTCAAGCTTGGACTCGTTAAGATCCTCCCGGAGCCAACCCGTGACTCCATTAATGACCTCCACAAGAACCGAGCTAAGGAAGAAACCCATTGAAGTAGAGCACCACCCTAAGGCTGTGCTCATGCTCCTCATACTCGCAGGAGCTTCTCTAAAGAAGAACTCTAGCATTCCCCCAAGAGTCAACATATCCGAGAAACTCAACAAAACATATTGAATCTCTAGCCAAAACACAGAGACTTTGACGTTGTTGTGAACCGCTTCATGTTTTCTCTTGATCTCCACGATGGATGCAACCGCCATTGAGATAGAGGAGAGAGCTAAGCCTAATCCTATGCGTTTCAAATTGAAGCTTGACGATCTTTCTTCGTTTCTTGATAAGATCTTTTTTCCGAAAAGCTCGTAGAAAGCTAAAGAAGAGAGCATGCACATGATGGGGATGGCATTGAGGGAAGCCACGGGGATCTCAAAGGAACGCCATAGTTTTCTGTTCATCATAAGGCCTTGTTGTACGGAGAAGGTTGAGAGTTGTGCTAAGCAACAGTTCATTACAATTGTGCTCCCAAATATTGGTAGAAGAGCTAGAAACGTTCTTGTTTCTTCAACTTGTGTTGCTGAGATCTTGTTGTTGAGCTTTGATTTATTCAAAAACCTGAAATATTATAAAGTTTATAACATGATAGCTAAATACAAATCTTTAAATGCATGAGTATCTAATTTAATTTCACTGAATTAAAGTCTTTATCGTTAGTATATATATACATGTTATAACAACTTTGATATTTCACATAGATGATAAATAGAAGTAGCTTTTAAGGATATATTAAAAACAATCTATGGCTTCAAGAGAATATTCAGTTTATTAAATCTTATACTATATAACAAAGTCGTTCGTCAAACTTAGGTAGTCTAATTTTACATCTATACATATAGGAAGCCAAAAAGATATTATAATCCCCTACTAGTGTAGTAAAGTCCATAAGAACTTTATTTTTGACAGGAAAATGAATCTCTAACAAATTGGGTAAGCTAGTTTATGTTAGTTTAGTGTGAACAAAGAAAATGAAATTTTATGGGTTTAGAATCATTACTTGAATTTGTTGTAATGAATGTTCTTGTCCGTAGAGTTATGATTCTGTGTTACCTCTGCATCGGTTACAAACCTATTTCGGTTTCTTGCGGCAGAAACAAACACATTCATAATTCTGGTCAGAGGACTTCCTGTTGGACGCTTGAATCGATATATCGGGCATCCCACGGCGAAAATGAAGATCGCGGAGGCCAATACCGCGGTGGTAACATTGAAGCTAGAGCTCCATCCTTTGTTCTCCTCGATCCAAACCATAAGGGTTACGGCCAAGAAACCTCCAAGGCAGATAGAGAAGAAGTACCAATTGAAGAATCCTGATATCAGCTTCTGGTTTCTACTATCGAGCTGGTCACCTCCATGAGCAGGCAATGACCCCTTGACACCTCCAGCACCAATAGCTACTGCATAGAGTCCGGTGTATAGAACAGTTGATTGAAGAGTCGAAGGTGTTTTACCTCCATGAGGTTGTAACTTATGGTTATGAGCTTGGAGTGTCAACAAGATCAAGCCCTATCAGAAAATGGAGTAAGTATAAACTTTTGAGTTATACATTGAAAAAGTTGAGTCTTTGCTATGATTTAATGGATTCATTACATACCATGAGTTCAATGGAACAAAAGAGGATGAAAGTGGCATAGCGAGTGAGGAAAGAGTCCGCGACAAAACCACCAAAGATAGTGAGCAAAAAAGATGTTCCTATGAAATTAGTCACCATGGTTGCTGCTTTGGCTGATGAGTAATGCATTGATTTCGTAAAGTACATCATGAAGTTGGTTGAATATGCTAAGAACACCATATTCTCCATCGTCTCTACAACTATACATTAGACCACACAAAACTCATAATCCATACCTAATGACATATTAGTGTGATTTTATAAGGTTTGTGTTTTTTTTTAAGTTTTAGAAAGTTACTTACCACAAGCAATGAAAGCAGCTATAATCCCACCATGTTTGCCAGAAACTGCCTCTTTACCTCTCCAATCTTCAAACTTCTCTTCCATCTCAATCTCCATCTCTTTCTTCTCTTAGATTAACTATGAGTATACTTTTGTGTTTATACGTTTAATAAAACTTGAAGTTACCGATGGTTAGTTGCTTCTTGGTTTAATTATAAAGAAGTGTATAAAGAAGTAAACTAAAACTGCATGAGAGGTGTGAAATGTTAAGAGGAGAAACCGGTAACGCACACTTACTATCTATTGAAAAATTTCGCAAGAGTCCATTCACATTCAAACTTGGTTTGTTTTAAATTTGGACGGTTGCAAATAATTGCAATATTTTTGTCTTACTATATATGAAATTACATGCAATATTATCACTCTATATGCTCAAGCGTTTTTTTTTTTATATTCTTCCCATAAAAACTTTGACCATGTGGTCTAGAACATGTATACACCGAGGTCTCATAACTATGTGTGGTTTGATCAGTCTTATGTATTGGCACCTCGTACGTTAAAGGATGACCACAAAGGTGAATGGACCAGTTGGCCAAAAACAAATAAGAATAAGAACATAAAAAGTGAGTAGTGTAGTGTAGTGTAGTGTAGTTTAATAAGAATAAGACCAGTTGTCTCATGTGTAGTGTAGTTTTTTGTTTTTATTATTATGACGCAATCCCATGCAAAATTTCATACTAAAAGCGTTTACGGATGTTCAAGTTAAGCAAAGTCTTAAGATTTTTTCTGAGATACTTAAGAGAAATCGCCCACCACAGCTTGGTTAGAACATATGTACTTTAACCATATTTTTCTCTCCTAATGGTAGTTGGTAATAATTTTCACTAATTTTAACAATTGATAATAATTTCAATAGTCTAGTAAGAAAATAGGAAAAATATCATAAAAGTACATCAACCTATTATTATCTTGTGGCGACAAGAATGATAATTTTTTTTTTTTTTTTTGACAAGAATGATAATTCTAGTGATTTGGTTTTACGACAACCACATAAATGTCTTTGCTTCGCGAGTTTGGAATCGGTGTTTCTCTGAGTACTTAACAACAACCCATAGCATTTTAAGCATTATTGTTGTTTTCCAATTTTTGTAGCACGTTTTTATCTATTTTCTATAACTTCTGTCAAAAATTTTGAAAATGATAAAAAAAAACTTAATAATTTTACAAAAGAAAGAAACCATTATTCATATATTTCTGAACAAAAAAATACACAAACATTTTAGATGTGCAAGAAAATACGTGAATTATTTTTGTCTACCTCTATATGATATGTAAATTTAAATTCTACGCATTAAAAACCTACTAATTTATGGCAATTAGTAACATCCATTTACTTTTTGTATTTTGAATAAAAAATTGTGAATATTTTTATGAAATCATATTTATTTTTCTATTGTCATTTGCGCATTTTCTTAATATTATTTATATTTAGTGATCCGAAGATCGTGGCAGCGAAATACAAGATATATCAAGAAATAACTGCGTTAACAAAAGAAAATCAAGAAAGAAATTTATTTTGTTATTAACATTCTTGTATTGAAAATTGTTTTCTGACATTACATGGAACTGATGGTGTCATTAGTGAATGATGACAAAGTTTCAACTATAAGAAAATATGAATCAATTATAGATTTGCCATTTTATTTGATGCCATTTGTGGATTTACCATTTTTAGTAAATTCTTACGGATTGGCCATTTTTCATGTTACAAAAATGCGATTAAACATGCGTTTTACTCGTTATGTTTGGGTTTAGTCGGTTCTAATTGTTTTTAGGTTTAATTCTTATATAAAGTATGTCTTTTAACCAAAAAAATCAAAAAATAGACATTTTTAAAAAAAGTTCAAAAATGACAGATTCATAAGATTTTAGCAAAAACGACACATTCATAAAGTTTGCTCTATTTTCTGTAAGAACTCCATAAGAATATTCGAAAGCTTGAGCAAAAAAACTTAACTTTTTAAAAGTGATATTAGTCATTGGATATTAATTTTCCCAAAGGTTCATGCATCTACCAGTCTTTCTTTCTTATGTTCAAAACTGAAATATGCCAAACAACAAAACGAATCTGAGCTTTTCTATACTCATAACAAGGAACGAAATGGAAAAATACTTACACAACTTTTTTGTTATTACAAACAACTTTTATATTTGCTGTAGAAAAAAAAAGCTCTTGATAAAGTAGGACGACACATGTGTGATGTAACTGATGTTTTTTAAGGTCGTGGCCGTTTAAGTTATTGGCTGGTTTATCTTCTTCGTTGAGTCATATGAGCATCTATAGAGTAGACCTCGTACTTCTATAAATTGGACTACTATACTAGATAGCTACACTACATATGATGTTACAAAACTCGAATACATATACGTAACGTTTTGGGAGGCATTCAAACAATTGACAAGTCAATTCGCTTACCAAAATTATATATAATTTTCTAGCGACCACTAGTCGCTTCTCTCGTGTGGGATCGAATGGGAAAAAGTGATTATATGATTGTGAGGAAAATATCCGACTAGTAATATGCACGACATTACAAGAAAAACAAGTTTTTTTGTGACCATCAAAAGCATTAAAGTAGTCGCAAAGCTCTATTTGCGATACCTTTAAAACTACTTTCGATGGTTGCTAATTTTTAAGAAATGGTTCATTCAAGGCTCATTTGGGTAAAGGCTTCAACAATCTCTATCTCAGTTATACAATCATATCTGTTATACGACCAGTTGTCGTTTATCAGTTCTAGAAAGCTCACAATGTCGTGCATAACTAAGTTAAAACTTTTCTTGAGATGTTTAGCCTTTGCTCGTCTGGTTCAGCGTTTAGGGTGATAGTGTCGATCTCCGCATCACCTCCCCAGACAGAGACAAAGATCTTCATACACACATATACACCAACAAACACACAAAACATAAACCCTTGTCGTTAAGTATTTGATTCAATTGGATGAATTGGGCCTTAATGGATTCTAATTTCAAAAAGTCCGATATTTGAATTTAGGGATGTTACATATTGCCACGACTAACCTTGAAAACATGGTCGGTTTTTATTTTCTGAAGACTTGTTACAAATAACAACATGATCGACATGAGTTTTAAGATAACTTCTAAAGCCAGCCATAAGTATATGAAGTTACAAATATTCCACAAAAGTTCCTTTAATGTATAAGATCTGGTGACCACCTTTTAGAGAAGATCAAACAGGTCTTTGTTCAAACCATATTTTCGTTAAGTTGAATATTTATGAAGAATAATTAAAAAATGTCTAAAAATGATTACTTTCTACAAATTGAGATTATATATGGAAATAATTTAATATTAATAAATGAGTTTTTGACTGAAAGAAAAACAAAGTCAAGAATATAATATTTGTCAAATACATAAATTTTTTAATTTTTACCATAAAAGTCAATATGGCTGCACCCCTACCACAAACCCGATAATCCTATAAATTTGACTCTTTTTTCAATCTGAACATAAAGAAAATCAACATCATCAAAAAATCCAAAAATCAACCACAAGTTATAAGCTGTTATTCCTCACTTTAAACACAAAGGTATAATTTCATGACCTTGCCTATCGTCATTTGTTCTCTTCATATTAATACATGCTTTTTCTTTTTATGCTTTATTAAATCTATATTTTGGTTTTCATACGTTATCTGTGATTCAAAAAACCTTCTTTAATATATATATATATAGGTTCCATTTTAAAGTTTATTTAGTGTGGATTTTGTCTAGATTTTGTTGGGATGCTTGAAGTTAAAAAATGTTGTTTTGTATGTCTATTAAATTGATCTCCCAAATATGCTTGTGATAAAATAACTAAGATCAATCATGGTAAAGCCTTTTAGAACGCTTTGAATTTGCATATGTTTGTTAGATTTTTTGAAAATTATTCTATCTTTCAAATGATTTCACCCACTAACTCTATTCCTATGTTATTATGAAAAAACCTTTCTAGCAAAATGTAGTTTGGATCATTAACTTTTGACATATTTTTGCGTGCAAACAATCTATTAATTATTGCAGTGTTTAAAAAAAAATTAAAGTTACTCCCTCCGTTCTATTATATAAGATTTTTTAGGCTTTTTTCTTTGTAACATTTTATAAGATTTTTCTCAAATTTTTATTCACTCTTTATATTAATTAAATAAATTTTGACTATTTAAATTCTGCATTACATTATTCTATTGGTTAAATTTTATTAATTAATATAATATTTATTGCTTCTTAATCTTAGTGCTTTTAACCAAAACTCTTATATAATGGAACGAAGGGAATATTTAACTGTGTTAATGTGTGAATCATTTTCCTATCGAAAAATCCAAAATATTAAGGGGAAACATATAGTTAAACAAAATATTTGGATCTTAAATCTGAAGGCTAATATTTAAAGAATTTTGGTGCGAAAACGAACTATTTAAATATGTCTTTCCATCACTTATATTAATTTACATAGATTTGAAATTGTTATATAATTTGCTTTTACCGGGAAACGTTGGTATAATGGTTTGAAAGATTATGATATTTTATGCTTTTAGCATTGTTAAAGAATCAAACTTACAATGTATATATCTTGTAGGGTCTTTTTTTACCAAAAGGTGGTGCGAATGGATGAATCAAGGAAGGAAAACATCCAAGAAGAGGTAAGAAGAGAGAAAGTGATCGCGGTGGAGATATACAATGGGGGTGATCTTGCTGGAGCCAAAGAACTGACGGTCAAGGCACACAATCTTGATCGCATTGATGAAGGGAAGAATATAATTGACGATGCATGTAGAATTTTGCCTGGGGAAAAAGAGAAGCAGGTTAATGAGAGACCAGAAGATCAACCTCTATCAAGAGTTACTGACCTTGTCAACCAATCAAGGATGATGAATGGAGGAGAACGCAAACGGAAGGAACCTCCATCAACAAATACGCTTCATGTTCCTCATCAGATTAGAAGAATCAACGAAGATGGACATATCAATTGTGATCTCGAGCTTACTACAAGTTTGGTTCAAAGTGCTTTGGATGATGTGGATACAATGTATGCTCCCACTTCTCAATACAACAGTATTGGTGCAGCTGCCGAGGGAAACCAAGCCTCCAAGGATTGTGATGAAGCGGAGAGAGTAGAGATTGTAAATGAGGAGGACCCGTATGTGGTAGATATGAGTGTCCCAGATCCAGATTTCTATCACTTTGACAAAGACAGAATCGAATCTTCATTTGGAGAAAACGAGGTATGGGCTCTTTATGATGACTATGGAATATTGCCTCGTAATTATGCATTTGTCCATAAGGTTGTGTCCCAAGAACCTTTCAAGTTGTGTATTTCATGGCTTAACTGCAAGAAAAATGACGAATTGGGTCCAATGAAATGGATTGAATCATACTACTACAAGACAAGCGGAAACTTCTCAGTTGGGAAGCGCATCAACTATGACACTCTCAACTCATTCTCACATAAAGTCAAGTGGGAACTAGGCGCGAAAGGAGTGGTGCACATCTACCCGAAAAGAGGAACTGTTTGGGCTCTCTATGAAAATTGGTCACCAGCTTGGGACATTACAATTTCTCTAGAAGTTATGAACAAGTTTGAAATGGTTGAAGTGCAACAAGATTTTGATGACGAAAAAGGTGTGAGGGTTGCACCGCTTGTTAAACTCCCAGGATTTCATAATATATTCTGCCGCCATCCAACTCGTAAGACATACCCAAGGGAAGAACTGTTCAGGTTCTCGCATCAGGTACCTTTTCATTTACTTACAGGTGAAGAAGGTGAGAACGCTCCTAAAGGTTGTTTGGAGCTTGATCCAGCAGCTTTGACACCAGAGCTTCTCAAAGCTTTCATCGAGGACGAGATGGGAGAAGTGGGGAATGCACTTGATAAACCAGAGAAGCAAGCTAACGAGATACTGGAAACTATTAACAATATATGAAGCATATGGAAAGTTTGAAATGGAGAGTAGCAATGAGGTTTGTGCGCAAGTTTACAAGGGGATAGGAGAACTGGATGGTGGTGATCCATTTTTTTCTAAAAATCTTGTTTTTTCTTTATTATTTCTTTATTTTGTCTTTATTTTTTCTTCAGTTTTTCTTTAAATTTTAGTTTTTTTCTGTTTCAAGAAACTTCAATGAAGCCATTGACCTAGTGATTTTATCTTTATATATATATATATATATATATATATATATTATATATATATATATATATTTCTGAAGTTGTTAAGTTCTCTTAGTAAGGAGAGACTTTAATTTTATATTTTATATTCAAAAAAAATATATACAAAAGTAAAATCACAAGGGAATCTAAAACTTTGTCAAATAAGCTTTTAGTGTCTTAAAGATAGGAGGAAAATGAGAAAGAACAAAATAAGTTAAAGAAGCCTCTTAGACATGAAAACTATGTTAGCTGATATGTTTGGATTTGTTAGTATCTTCTTCATTAACTCCCTAAAATTGCATTTTAATTAAAGAATCTGATTTATCATTTAAGAATATTAAAAGAATCAGATTAATTGAATATTATATTGAAAGCCAATATTTTCTTACTTTCTCATATTATAAACAACTTTTCTCTCCTAATTTAATCTTTACCTAATCAAAAAAAATGATAGCATTGTACAATGTATTTAGAAAAAATTTAGAGATACAAGAGTAAATTAAGCAAGAAAAACATATTATTAGACTCATTCATAATTAAAAACTACGAATAGTTAATTACTAAAAACACAAGATTCTATTTCAAATATTTCTCAATTCCCAACAAATAAGACAAAGCCAAGTCAACATATTAGTGATATAACTGCCACGTGTCAGTTTTGTATAATCTCGATAACTCATGCATATGTCTCGTTTCATAAGAAAGCCTGGGGTTTAACGTATTTTTTTGCGTGTGTGTTTAATTTCATTGAAAAAGAGATGCTGTTAAAAAATATATCGTTTAATTCACGAACTTACAAATTTAGACCATTTAAACCACGAATTTTTCATATGACCATTTAAAGCATTAACTTATCGTTCATTAGTTTTTATAACATCATATTTTATTGGTCATGTCAAAATAAACATTATATTTTCAAATCCGTTAATAAAGCAGCTTGTTAAGCTATATATATACACTAAAGTCTTAAACTCTCTCTTCAGTTTAAGAGAAAACGAACCAAAAAAATTGAATTAAAATACCAAAAAATTGTTATCAGTTTCCAAATCATGATTATTATTATTTAACCCCTTAACCCATTTCCTATTTTTTTCACCTTTAGCTTTCATATGATTAGCATCATCACTCTGTTTCTCACGTTCTTCTCTTGCAACAAAAATCTCTTGGACTATATTCTCCACGTCAAGTTTCGTATTTACATCTTTGCCCTTATCACCACCGTCATTATCCGGCGGCGGAATATACGGCGGTCTAGAAACCAATATCACTTCCTCCCACTCTACACCTTTGAAAAAATCGTGACCCTTGATTTCCTCAACGTTGATCCTACGGTTAGGATCTTTCTCCAACAATCTTCTAATCAAATCACGCAACGACGTCGTTTCACCGGTTAGACTCGGCGGTTTAGATAAAATCCGGTAAAACGTCTCTTTCCGGTTCGATCCTCTAAACGGCGTCGTTCCGTATAACATCTCGTATAGAACTACACCTAACGACCACCAGTCAACGGCGAAATCGTGACCGTCTCCGGTGATAACTTCCGGTGATACGTACTCCTCTGTTCCGACGAAAGAATTAGACTTCTCTACTGAAGAATCTGATACGACCAATGTAGATGATGATGAACAAACCGAATCAGATTCTTCCTCCGGCGAGATCCCTGAGTTACAAAAGCTAGAGAAGCGAAAGAGACGTTTCTTTCTCCTCCTCCTCGTCTCCGGCGATGGTTTAGACGGCGACGGTGACGGTTGCGGCGTTCTTGGAGCGAGATTTGTGGAAAGATCGAAATCGATTAGCATTAAATGCCCATTTTCTTGGATCATCACATTCTCCGGTTTCAAATCTCTGTATACGATTCCTTGGTTATGTAAATACTCAAGAGCTAGCACCAGCTCCGCCGCGTAAAACCTGAAAAAAAAAAAATCAAGAAAATCAAGAACATTGTTGGAAGATCTTGAATATCAAGAAATTCAAGAAAATCAAGAAAGTAAAATTGAATAAATCAAGAACATTGTTGGAAGATCTTGAATATCAAGAAATTCAAGAAAATCAAGAAAGTGAAAAATTGAATAAAACAAGAACATTGATGAAAGATCTTGAAAGGCTTTTGGTGTAATACTAAAAACAAAAAATTTACCTAATAATCTCGTCGGAGAACATGTTTTCCGATTGCATTTTCCTTAAAGAAGTGAGATCTCGACCGGGACAGTAATCGATGGCGTAACCGATGACTTTATCGGTAGATAAAACGCCGTGGAGAGAAGGAAAGAGAGGATGATCGAAACTGCTTAAGACTCCTTGCTCGAAACTTACACGTTTGTACTCATCTTGATTCTCTATGTCCTTCTTCTTCTTCTTCTTGATGGCTTCCTTGAGTATAACTTTCAAAGCAAGCAATCTTGCTTCTTCGTCTTTAACCAAGAACACAACCCCTTTAGCTCCACGACCTAGTAATGACAAAACCTCGAGCTGGTTAAAGTCTAGAGCCCGGTTCTGTTTCTTGTCTCCCTCTCGCATAATGTCTAAACTAAGACAGCAAAGAATGAACAATGTCTATTCTCTCTTTCTCTATTGGTTTATGCGTAAATAGGTGACTTTATATTATAAGCTTCTCCTCGACGTTGCCTTGCCGGGGAAGATTTTTTAAAAAGTGAAATAAAATAAAACGAAAAGTCAAAAGTAAAGAAACAAGAAATGGCCTGAGAGATTCGTGGCCATGCATTTGACCAATTTAGTTTGTGAAACTATTAAAAAAAAGTGCTTAGCTGGTTTGAAGAAAGTGTATTATTCGTCGTGTCGGGAACAAACACGTGATGTTCTAGAGGATGTTAACGTCAGGGATGACGTTTACGTTTGGTTGAGGAGAAAGCACTTGGAAGAAGGCGTGGAGGAGAAGTTGGGAGGTTCAATGCCTTGGAAGACGCGGCGGCTTACGAGCATGGAAGCTTTGACCGGCCCGGTCCTAATGGACTACTTCAACATTAATTTTAATATAATTCATTTCTAAATGGAGTATTATATAAGAATTGGCTAACGAGACAGATTTTTTTTTTAAAGAAGTTATAAGTTATAAACTCAAAAAGATTTTATACTTTTGGAATGGAATCTCATATTTGTTGTGTAAAAATATGATATGTAGTAATAAATAACCAAAATTTTGATTTTTATATTTATCACCGAAAAGAATCTAGATAGATTTTTATAATTTATAAGGTAGTTTTAAAAATAAACTTCAATTTTTAAATAGAAAATTTTAAAGAGAGTAATATTAGAGCATACTTATAATATTTTTGAAACGAAATAAAATGAAATTAGTAGATATATGGAACTAAGACAGAAATTTGAGATTTACAAAATTAGACGACTGATAATATATACAAACATGCATACAATTAATTATTAAACGGTAGATCCATTTGGGGCCACCGTTGATCATTCCATGAAATTTGTGGCTGGTTTGGTCGGTCGAGGGGAAAGGAATGAAATCGGGAGTTGGATGCTTCCTCTTCATTAACTAGATACTTCGATCCGCCGTAAAGCCGTGGTACTCGCATTCATTGGTGCTAGTGGTATAGGATACATAAGTATGTCAAACTAGATTAAGATTCATTTAACTCAACTCATGTACTTTAATAAATTGAAATTTTAACTTTAATGTGTTGATAGATTAAATAAGTTAATGGTTAAATGAGGTAATGAATTACATGAGTTTGGTTATATTGACTTCATGAGTTAACTACTAAACCATCAATTTGTTATAATGGGTTATGAGTGAATCACTAACCAACCAATTAATTTCTTCATTCTCAACCCAATATCATACTATCCCACCATCATCATCATACTATCATAATTATAATAATCATCACTACAATCATAACTATAAGCACATTGCCACCATCATCATCATCATCATCATCATCATCATCATCATACTAGAGTCACTATCATCATCATCATCATCATCATCATCATCATCATCATCATCATCATCATTACCACCATCACCATCATCATCATCATACAACCATCATCATACCTTCATAATCATAACAAGAATGTCATCATCTTCATATCAACATATTATCATACTCAACATCATGATTTCATCAACATCATCATCTCATAATTTTTCCACCAAAAATCCGAATCCACAAACCTAAACCCGCAATTTTAACAGTTTGTAATTTATTAATGTGCACTTGCGGCTGTTAATTTGGAAAAAAATTTGACTCATAATATTGGTGTGTTTTGAGATATCGATATAAAAGGTATTTGATACTCTTAAAAAATTACAGATTAACTCCAAAAAAATATGCAAATTTATGAATAAAAAATATCATTATATATCATTAGAGTTCTATTAATGATTGTTGTCAAAAGTTGATACTCCCTCTCTTTTCTAATTAATCTATATTTTGCGAGTTTCACACATATTAAGGAATTTTTTGAAATAACAAATTTAACTTTGTTTATTGAATGTTACATAAGTGTTTTTATAAGTTACAAATATTATAAAGGTATATTAAGAAAAAGCGTTACTACACTTAAAAACAGAAAACATATAACCTTTCTATAAATATTTTTATTCTTTTGTGTAAAATATAGATTAACTAGGAACATATGGAGTATATTTTTTTGTGTATGCGAAAACCATCATTATTTTAAAAGATGTTGTGAAATTGATATTAAGATTTAAATACCAGTAATTGTTTTGACACTCATTCAAAAAAAATTTATATCATTCTAATACAACATATGTAGTGTTGTTGACAAATTAGTATACTTTGCAGTAGCAATGACGACAAATGTAGTATTGTTCAAAAATGGGTGACAATGTTATAAATTATATTGGAAACTGAAATATATTAAATGTGTTATAAGGTAACCATCTATTGAAACCTTGGATATATGAGCATAAGCAAAATGTATTGTAACTGAAACGGGAAAAGAATGAGAACATCTAATTATGTTATCATACCTTTGTCATCATACTTTTAACATTTATATTATTTAACAATTTTTCCTTCTAATTTATTGTACACAGCAGAAAATTGAATCGTGTCAAATAAATATAAGAATAAACAAATATCAATGTCATATATGGGTTTGTTCCATGTATTTTAGTGAAATATATGCCAATAATGATTGTTGTCAATGTAAAATAATCTATTTAATATATCTACAGTATGTTAAAGAACTTATAGCTATTTTAATCTTTTAATATTTCAAATTACTATTATTAAGACGGAATTTTTTTTTTCAATTAAAAAATTAAGAAAATATTAAGACTAAAATGTATATACAATACTTACTTGGTTTTTTGATGCCACATCACATGAGGAAAACTATTTTCATTGCCTTCTTTTGTGTAACGAAATATGTTACTTCTCAATCAAATTAATGCATACATTAAAATTCTAGAAAATCTTATATGTTAAATCAAAACACAAAACTCCAAACATATTGAAAATTACCACAAAACCTTTATATTTTTGTAGCACATCATCCAACTATGCAACCCAATGTACTTCTTCTTCTTGACAAAAATCGTTTCTAATTCGTTTAAATGACATATAATGGTATTTCGTTTGTTCCAGCAACTTAAATAACTTAGGCTTTACTCAGCTTTCCCAAACTGAAGAAAACAATATTTACAAATTAACCACAACCATCGACATGTCAGTTTTACATCATAGAAAATCTTCATTGCAACTTTAGTAAATCAACACATTTTTACCACTTTTAAGAGAAAAAATATGTTGTTTTGTTTTGTTTGGATATGTGTTATTCTAAAAAATACAATCTCACTATATGAAAATGAGACCATAACAACATTATCCTAGTTTAATCACTAAACATTCCACATACACATATAACTACTTTGTCACCACCCTAGTATTTATGTATGTTATGTTTTTTATGACTCCCTTTCCAATATCTTAATCGATATCATTTCAATTTTATAGTTTAGTTCTAAAATGGTATTCATATACATGGCACATCATCAAAACAATTTTTCATAATTTAAAACCACATCAAAAAGTGCATCTATCTGTAAGCCCCTTTAATTAATCAACACAACATTTATAAATATAATACCAAAACGTAAGTTTGTTCTTTTTCTGATGCACATACTTCACTAAACGTTTTTAGTATATTTATAACAATTAAAATCAATTATGCTCTCGAGTATTGTTTTTGGTCTAAAATATCAAATTTTGACAGTACTTATGCAGTTTTATCTTAGGATTGATCCGACGATGAAAATATGATGTAGTGGAAAATATGTAATTCGAGCAGAACCTTTATATAGTCACAAATTCATATGAGTAAGCATTGATCCGATGAAACTTACAGCTAAGATAATCACTGTTGAGAGTTAGCCCAGCGGTTGTGAGGTTGACTCATAAAAAGTTAGGAAGGTACTTGCCTTTAACTTCTCTTATATGGATCAAACAAACAAGCTTCAAATAGAAGTGGTGACGACCTATGAGTGCTTAACCTCCGATCTTGATGTTAGACAAAACATTTCATCAACTTTAGATAATAGGTATGCACAAGTAGAGATTGATCATGGATTTCTTAACAAGATCCTTCACATGTAAATTTTGACGTTGATCAGAGATGTTAAAGATTTAGAACACCTACATATAAGTCTATAACACATCATCATTGCTAGCAAGAGATCATTGCAAATGGAGATACCACCACTTAATCTTGTTTGAATACATAAGTAGCTGATCATTATGAATAACAATATATTCTTCTTTTTTTCTCTTTTAATATTATATGTGAATATAGATATAGTCACGATACAAACATCTGTGGTTAAAAAAATACAATTCCAAAAGAAAAAACTAAGTGTAGTCTTCAACTATGCGACCACACTTTATACCATAGCCTACTCCATACTACTTAGATGATCATATCACGTCCTGATGAACAAACGAGTATTGACAACACCCTCATGATCAAACCCTAAAGCTCTGCAGCTCACAGCCTCACTATTCAACTGCTTAACACCCAAACTAGATTCCATAACCTTTCTTTTGTACGGACCAAACCACTTGTGCTGCAAGTAAGAGCTTCTCCGCCACGGTGGTAGAGACAAGCCACGGCTCTTCATAGACCTCTTCGCCGCGTCGCATGACTCTCTCACGATCGTCTTCAAACTCTCTTCTTTCCCAACGAAAACGTTAGGAAGCAAATGCAACACACGAGTGTATTCTTGCGTTGGCCTTGCGATCTCGAACTCAGAAGCAAAGTCTAGATCGACGAAGTAACGTACGGGGATCGTCTGATCAGACGTAGGCTTGTAAACGACGTCGATGTAATCGTAACTCCCCGCAATGAGTTTAGCCGACGAGTTCCATTTCGATACACAAACCGCCGCGTCATGGCCGAGCTCACGAAGAAACGAAACGACCTTGTCTCGGATCACAGATTTGTTCCTTGACCTAAAACAAGAATATGCCTCCACGGCTCTCAAAACGTGACCTAGCAATAGATTCCGATAAGGATCAGAGTCTGAGAAGCTCAGGGCCATCTTCAAGATCTCCACACTACCCTCACAAGAACGTTCAACTACTGAAGAATTCTCAGAGGGGTCGGAGTCAGAGAAGAGTATCGTCTCTTCAGGACCATCATCGAAAAAACCCTGAACAAGCTCACAGAGTCGAGGAGAAGAGTCTTGGTCTAGGATGCAACCATGGCTACTGAAGATACGAGCTTTAGCTTCGTCGTCGAGTGGATCAGTAACACGTTTGGTTCTTGAGAAAACCGCCATTGATGAGAATTTTTAGTGTGATGAGTGTAAAGCTGAGAGAATCAAAATATAAAGTGAGCTATGTGGAGAATTTAGTTTGGAATATTCGTAGATTTCTCTGTTTTTAGTTTAACTTTGTTTGGGAAAATAAGATTTGGGATTAATTAAAAGATTTATCTCATTTGAGGTTTAAAGACCTTAGGCCAATGAAGCATATCCGAATGGTACCTGAGGATTATTCCAGTTCGTAAGATGTAGTTACATGGACGGACGAGATTTAAAGTTGCTATTAGAATATCCACTTTTGTATTCTTACAAAGAAAATATTATCCGATTCATTGTTGTATACCTTATCCGAAATGTTAAATAATGTTTTATTTGATTTTTTATACTTCTATCCAAAATGTTATAATTGGTATATTATAGATGTAACATGAACTGTAGATATACTCGATACCATAACAAGAACACAAGTGATTCTTGAGAGTTAGGCTTTTGCAATTAGATAGTTCCAATACCAGAGGAAAGAAACAACACATGCGATTAATCTCTAAATCAAGTCTTCTGTTTTATAAATGTCACTAACGCTCAGTTTGATAAAACTAAAATAACATTGCAACAAAGGGAAATAGAAGAAAATGAAAATGCAGAGTTCTTTAGAACGTTTTCAAAGACTCTAGGTGCTCATGGGCTCTCCATCTTTTGATGATTCCTTCTGCAAATTGCAACAAATACAGTTTTTGATTATCATCATGATTTCTTCTTCTTGTAAGAACATATGATCAAACCATTGGATTATCTAAAGAGATACTTACAGTTAGTTTTGCAAACATGTTTCCGTAAAACTTGGCTTCCTTTTTGTTGAATTCCTTCATTCTCTCCTTCAACTTTCTCTGCTCCAGCTTCACTTCCCTGTCATTCGAAAATCAAATAGCAATTATAACGTTGACTTTAGTGTATGAAGAAGACATTGCAACTCTGGATTAAAAGATATCAAAGCTAAATCTGGTTAAGATAAGAGGGTTATAAGACTAAGAGAGAGAGAACCTGTTGTTGGGATCGATTTCAAGGGCCTTCTTGACATCAAACTCAGCCAAGTCTAAATCAGCCAACTCCATGTACGCCTGCGCTCTCCTGTATAAGGCCTTCACATTGGTGCTTTCTAGCTCTAACACCTAAATACCAAAAGCACCATTTATGTCCAGCTAGGTTTTGAAACTGACATAAAGGATTTGATTCTAAACTAACCAATTATTACCTTTGTGCATAGTTTTTCAGCCTGCTTGTAATCTTTCAATTTGAGTTTGCAAGCTGCATCGTTTAGATTGCATGCCACCTTCAATGCTTTTGCTTGCTTCTTCTCCTCTTCACTGAAGGATGTGTCGTATTCAATGAATTTAACAGCCTGAGAAAAACACTAAACCATGTAAGATGATATTCAACACTAATAAAAACTCACATGTCAACGAGCAGTTCATACTATAATATACCTTCTCATATCTCTTGGACGCCAGGGCATATTTGCCTGCTTTAAACTTGGAATTTCCTTCTTCCTTCTTCTTACCTGCAGCTTCAATCTTTTCTTCTGTGTTCATGTCCCACGATTCCCTTTCCTAAAAACCCAATGGCAAACAAGTGTTGGACACTTATACTTCCTTACTGGCTGAACTGTGAGCAGAATAGCATCTGAAACTACACTAACCTTGTCGAATGTCACAAGATCAACCTCATAGTAGACAGTTGAGTTGGGCGGCACCACAGCCAATTCCTGTTGTGACTCATTAGAACCAAAGGCATATTCAGGTGCTACTGTCACCAATGCGACTTCACCCTTTTTCATCTTCATGACAGCTCTATCAAGTCCATCGACCACTTGCTCTGTTTAGGCATCCAGCAAACGAGTTACTATGTCTAAGTAAACCAGGGAATTCCAATACATCCAAGGTATTAATAAGAAAGTTTGGAAGAGTGTAGTTACCTTCATCAGTTTTGAACTCAAACAGTTCCCCATCCTCACCATGACCTTTCTTCAGGAATACAGTTCCATCTTCAAGTTTTCCTATCAATTTCACTGCCAGAGCGAAACAGATAAAAGCCTCGTAAGAAACTATTATACCTGGTTAAAACATCAGTGCAATAAAATCTGAAATGCTAACCTTTCACAGTTGCCCCCTCATTAGGACGCTCATATCCTTCCCCTTCTTTCAAGATTTTTTTCATAACCTTGTTATCATCAGTTACTTCTGAAACTGTATTCCAGGAAACTAACTCCAGATTGATCTCAAGTGTAGCATTTGGAGGAACAGCACCTTCACCAGCAGAGGCTGGCTTGCCCTTTTCCCCAAAACCATCTGGCTCATTTATAAGAAGATTGCAATCAGAGATGATGTAAACACCATTACAGAACCAGGGAAAAATCAAGTGAGGCAAATCGTCTTACATTGTGGTTTAACTGTCAAAAGAACCTTTTCACCCTTTTTCATGGTTTTCACAGCCTTAGCAAGTGCAGGGCAGAAATGGCCTGTTAGTGACAGATCACAAAAACTGTCAGAGAGCCAACAAAATGTCTATCATGCCCACCATATCTTAAAAGAAATCAGAGCACTAACCATCTTTAACAGTGAATTCTACACCGTCAGATTTCCCAACAACGGTACCATTGTCAAGTTTAGCCTCGAACTTAACTGAATAAATAAATACACAGATAACACAGTTAGCAAAAACAAACAAAAACCCAACTCTAAAGCAGATCACAAGAAAATGAACACACACCAAAAACTTCATCGAGATCCTTTGGGTTCTCCCACTTCTCTCCCACAGCAAGAATCTTCTTAAACACACCACCATCCTTGCATATGTCCTTCACACTAACCCATGTAAGCAACTCCACATCAAACTGAAGCGTGGCATTCGCAGGAATTGTTGGCGGTGAACCAGATTCCCCATATGCTAGCTCTGACGGGATAGTGAAAACAGCATTTTCACCTTTCTTCATTGTCTTAATACCAATATCCCATCCTTTAATAACCTGACCTGCAAAAACACAATGCCAGGATAGCACACAGAGTAAGCCAACTACCACAAACCAGTATGAGGCATCAGTACTCTATTTGGAACTTAGCAACAACGCCATTTCAAATAAATGAATCAGAAAGCTCGTCGATAAATTGAACACTACAATCACTAAATAACCTAGCACATAACTGTAATCGCTAGTCACAAATCCATGATACGTTAACTATTAGGTCTTCAGGACTAGTCAAATCAAACTAAAACAATCGTAAACCAGAGAGATGAGATTAAACACACCTTGTCCAAGAGTGAATTTAAAAGGCGTTCCTCTATCACGGCTCGAATCAAACTTCGTCCCGTCCAACAAAGTCCCAGTGTAATGCACTGCAGAAACAGATCAACCTCAGCTCAGCATCGTTCCACAAAAAAAAAAAACAAAGCAAACAAGTAAAAAATCGAGCTAATCTTCAATACCTTCAACTTCATCGCCATTATCAGGAGTCTCGTATCCATCACCTTCCTTAAGAAGCTTCTTCTTCAAACCTTGTTGGATCTCTTTCTCCTCACCGACTTTAAGAAACGAGGCGGCGTCACCGAAATCCATGTCTTCGTCGTCGTTCATTCCACCGACCGGAGGCATCTCGAAATCTTCATCCATCTTCTCGATTTCAATTCAACAAACACAAAAAAAAAAAAAACGCAGAGAAGAATCAAATCGCGTGAAAATGAGTTTTTGAGGGAATCGGAAGTGTTTGTTGTTGTGTGACTCAATTTTTATATGAGGTTGAGTTTTGTGAAAAAGGGGTTTCTAGAGAGTTCCTTAAATCTTTTTGTTTCGAAGGAAGATGATGACGGAGTTAACTAACAGAAGGATTGTTCCAGAAACACACACCAGCTTGTGACGCCGTTAGAAAGGGTTTTGCGTAGTTTCAGTTTGATGATGTGTATTTGATTACGTCGGCAATATAATTACATTGGGCTTTAATAAGAAACAGTGTTAGATAATATATAAGTGGATCAGGCCCAATAAGAAGAGAAAAGCAAAATAAGTCAAAGTCAACCGATCATGAAACTTTCTTATTCTGCCTTCTTCCTTTATTATCATCTAGCTTGAACACATCATTACAGCTCTTTTTACCTATAGAAACAATCCTGAGAAAAAAATCTGTAATGATGTGTTCAAGCTAGATGATAAAGGAAACATTATTAACACTCAAAACACTGGAGAACTCTGCAAGAGCCAAAGAGAGTATGGGACAATACAACTATGAACTATTTGACCAAGACCATGCCTAGCTAGTAAGCTAGTATGCAGACAGTGTTACCACAACCTGAAACCATCGATACTTTCACGATTATGCCAACCAACATATAGGTACTTGTCAAACACAAATTTTATGATCGGACACCTCTTATATAGACAGCAACCTCTAAGTGCCCATTGAGCGTGAACACACATCAGCATGTTTTGGGAACTCAGCTAGTTCAAATATCCAAGTATCCTGCCTAGTGACAAGAAGAGAGATACAAGATTGTACAGAAACGAATAGAAATGCATGAGGTCTGATCACACTAGTAATGCAAGTCACGCTGGTAAGTACCGAAACGATTGCATATTAATTTGACTAACTAAAAAGATACTTTGTTCTAAGAAGATTACAAAAGAGAAAAAACAAAACAAAACAAAATAATATGGCAAGAAAGAGATATATGGTCGAGTACTAATGAAGTTGCACTAAACTTGGAACATAAGAGCAAACAAGCGGGTGACAACTTCCGTTATCTGATTCTCCAAGATCCACTCCTTTCATGGATCCATCCACTCCAAAGATGAAAGCTATGTAGCCCCTTTTATGCGTGTATTCATCCTCATAAACCACGGCAACTTTCTTCTCCTCGTCAACAAAGAAACTCCCCAAATTAAACTGATACTGAGGGCCAATGAGTTGTCTTATACTCACTGATAAGAACACCTTGCTGTTCCACAACACCGCGTGAGGATCAATCTTAGAGGTGATCCATATCTCCATCTGTAATGTATCCCAAGGCTGAAATAAAACCGCAAGCTGCTCTTCTCTAACACTAGATATACTCATAGTATCTTCAGATTCATGTAACTCAAACGGAAGAGTCAAAGGCGGTCCAAATGTCTCACTTGTGAAATCGAAACAGACTAAGAAATAATCGTAGTTTGTTACTTTTGTTTTGGAATAATTCTCTCTAACCAACCAGTAGGCATTTCCCTTGAGAGTCACACCATAGTGAGTATACTTTATCTCCCAGTCTGGAGTGAGATTTAGAACCCTCCATGAATCAGAGTTAAAATCGTAGATCTTGAACTCCACAAAGAAATAATTATTAATAAACATCAAGATCTTGTGGGATTTGCTGCTCTTGTCGTATCCGAGACCATAAGAATACCTATCGTGCTTGGAGAAGTTATGTGTCGGCTCGATCGTACGGGTATGACCCCAATACGGATTCCAAACCACGAGCCTAGTCTTGTCTTTGGTGATGTTGATGCATAACAATAAACCATCGCAGTGAAAGACTTGAGATATCTCAACTTCATCGCCTAAGCTAATAAGCTCACCTTCACGCTTTAGATATGATTCGAGGTTGTTGTGGAGATTAACTCTCATCAAATAAACCCTAAAATTCATGATCACGACCACCATAAACTCTCTTTCCCTTGCTTGACCAGCAAGGTACTTCTTTGCAAAGCTCCCACATTTTGATAAAGTGTTCCAGTTTTTGCAAGTAGATCGGACTCTTCTCAGAGATGTCAACGGAGTTCTGCAGAGCACCTCCTCCGCTAAATCCCTTGGGAGATTTGATATCTTCTTCATTCAAACAGGACCAGTCTAACCTAAACTAGTTAATGTCGGAACAAAAAATAACGCTTTACTTTTCTTTTGTCTGTGAGTACAAAATTTCTTCGGCCTCTCGATATATATAGCAATTGAAGACAGCACAAACTCATAAGGATTCGATTACGACGGACAAAACAACCAGGGATAAGATCCCCGATCCCAGATAAGAATGGTAAAGAAAAAAGGAAAAATATTTATTTAATCTATATCAACGACATATGAAAATTTATAATTATATATATATGGATGTAAAATTTAAAATTTAAAATTTTAATTTTAAAATTTAAAATTTAAAATTTATGCAATTTTAAATTACAAAAAAAAATTAATCTATATAATTCTAGGCGGTATAAGCAGTCGTCTAGGCGTCGGTTGAGGGCCTTCCGCCTAGGCGAATGCCTACGCCGCTTTCTAGAACACTGTTTTATATAAAAATTTGGAAACCAATAATAATCATACTTCACAAAATTCTTAAAAATTTCTCCCTAATAAATACAAAATAGTACATTATCTTATATTCCAATTTCATTCTATCAAATATTTGTCCAATATATTTATATGATCTTATTTGTTTTAAAATTTATTTAAATTAATATATGTATAATAAAAAAAATATTTTTTCTCGCATATGTTGCAATTTGAATATTTGAAAACAAACATATGTTACAAAAAAAAAAGTATGTACAACCAAATCATGTATAATTTTTTTGACAATGGTTTAGAACCTCAATTTGTAAATAGGACAATATATTTCCACTTACGAATGAGTAAAAACTTGATTTTTCAGGTGTCCAAAGTTTTTAAGTTTTTATTCGGTTTATTCCGGTTTTTTACTAGAGAAAAATAGAACTTTTAAAAAGTTTCAAAACATTATAATAAATATTAGTAAAAACCAGAATAAGTCATTCAACCGATGAAACTTTCTTGGTTAGAGTTGGTACAAGAACATCCTATATAAACATCCCTAGAAAAAAAGCTGTAATGATGTGTTCAAGCTAGATGATAAAGGAAACATTATTTACACTCAAGACATTGGAGAACTCTGCAATTTCCTCTCTGAAACTGATCTTTCATGTGAACCTCCTAATTTTCATGAAGCCCTCCTCTATGATATCTTCAACTTCTCCATGCTCAGTGGCTACAAGTTCTTTTCTCACAATTTGGCTAGCTCCCTCATTCTTTAGTATTTCTCCTTTAAATCTTCAAATGTCAAATGTATTGCCATTGTAGAATCCAATTTCAAAAGAGGATAGAACTGAACAACAAAACCAGGGAATGGTGTCACTTGACCAGTTCCTAGCTCAAACTCAATAGGGTCACCTCTCTCAAAACTTGAATCAAAGACAGTTCCACAACAACCTGAAACCATCAATAAATGTAAGAACCATTCCAAAGATGCCAACCAATAAAGGTACTTGTCAAACATAAATTTATGATCAGACGCCTCTTATATAAAGACAGCAACCTTTAAGTGCCCATTAGAACAGTTATGAAGCGTACTTGTATAAGCAAGATCATTGAGGATGAGCAGTAACCCACAGACAAGAAAATATATATACAAGATTGTACAGAAAAGTGATGTCTAATACTTGTAACTTGTACGGCAAGTAAATCTGGTACGATCATTATGTGAATTGGATGCTTTCGATCGAGGAGAAACACTGACCAAGAAGCATATAGTTTGCTAAGTGTATAAAAGGATTAGTTTTAGGGTAAGTTGCAGAGTGAATTGAAGTCAAATAAAATTTTGCAAAGAAAAAGACGTACATGAGAAAACAAATTCATAATTATTTGACTAACTAAGTTGCACTAAACAAATTTTCATATTTTTTTAGCAAATGCGTTTATCTTTAAACTCTAGTTTTCTCTTAACAAGCTAGAAAGAGTTATTTATTGCAAATTAGTAACTCCAATATTTTAGCTGGATCGGTTTTTGGGCTTTTAAGTCCAATTTACTGCAAATTATGTTTTGTTTTTTTCTTTTTGTTCCGTCGTCAACTCCTTTTCCTTTCAAGGGTTTCTTTAACATTAGGTTTTTAGAGCTTTTTTTGGTTTTTGGTTTTATAAGGTTAACCTATAAACTAGTTTGCGTTACATCTGAGTCGAGCCTACTTCAATGAAGGAGATATCAAATCTTCCAAGGGATTTGGTGGAGGAGGTGCTTTGTCGAACTCCATTGACATCTCTGAGAAGAGTCCGATCAACTTGCAAAAACTGGAACACTTTATCTAGATGTGAGAGCTTTGCAAAGAAGTACCTTGCTGGTCAAGCAAGGGAAAGAGAGTTTATGGTGGTCATAATGATGGATTTTAGGGTTTATTTGATGAGAGTCAATCTCCATAACAACAACAACAACAATCTCGAATCATATCTAAAGTGTGAAGGTGAACTTATTAGCTTAGGCGATGAAGTTAAGATATCTCAAGTCTTTCACTGCGACGGTTTATTGTTATGCATCAACATCAGCGAAGAGAAGACTAGGCTCGTGGTTTGGAACCCGTATTGGGGTCATACCCGGACGATCGAGCCCACACATAACTTCCCAAGTATCCATATGTATTCTTATGCTTTCGGATACGACAAGAGCAGCAAATCCCACAAAATCTTGATGTTTATGAATATGCGTGATGAGTTCAATATCTACGATTTTAACTCTGATTCATGGAGGGTTCTAAATGTCACCACTACACATTGGACGATATGGTTTACTCACTATGGCGTGACTCTCAAAGGAAATGTGTACTTGTTTGCTAGAGAAAAAGCAAACCACTGTGATTTTTTCTTAGTCTGTTTTGATTTCACAAGAGACACATTTGGGCCGCTTTTGCCTCTTCCGTTTGCTCAGTGTCTTATACATCGTGATACCATGAGTGTATCTAGTGTTAGAGAAGAGCAGCTTGCGTTTTTGTTTCATCCTTGGCATACATTGCGGATGGAGATATGGATCACCTCTAAGATTGAGCCTCACGCGGTGTCATGGAACAGCAAGGTGTTCTTATCAGTGAGTATAAAACAACTCATTGATCCTCAGTATCAGTTTAATTTGGGGAGTTTCTTTGTTGACGAGGAGAAGAAAGTTGCCGTAGTTTTTGAGAATGGATACAAGGATACAAGGCGCAACATGGCTTACATCTTTGGAGTGGATGGATCCTTGAAAGAAGTGGATCTCGGAGAATCAGCATATGAATATTGTTATCCGCTTGTGTGCTCTTATGTTCCAAGTTTAGTGCAAGTTAACCAAGTGGTCTTGGTCTAGTGGTTTCCACTTGAGAGAAAAAGTTGTCATGTTAGTCTAGGCCAGGTATCAATTTCCCTCAAGTGCGAAAACATTAATCATTTCTACTTGGCCAGGGAAGTTTAGTGCAACTTAGTTAGTCGACCATATATTTTTGAAAGAATTACTTAGATCGACCACATTTTAGGTGTATTGACGCAAACCATCCAAAACTTTTTTTATCCTTAAATGTTTTTTAATTACCAGCGTGCCCTTTTTACACGTTACCGGAAAAAACTAATTACGGAAAATGCCACTGCCACGTCAGACAAAAAGGCGCGTGCCACCAATAACTCAGCCATAACGTACGTTACGGCTGAGTTATATCACGTTATGGATGAGTTCTGGGAAAACGGCTGAGTTTCGGGTCAACGGTTGACTTATGATCATAACTCAGCCAACAGTTACGACTGACTTTTAAAATTCTGGTTGAGTTATGAGAAAACGGCTAATAACTCAGCCGCCGTTACGGCTGAGTTATAGTCCGATGGTTGAGTTATCAGAAGTTTGGCTGAGTTATGTTATCGACACGGCTGACTTAACTTTCTCCGGGTGGCTGAGTTATCGATAACGGCTGAGTTATCAAATGTCGTTACGGCTGACTTATGTTTTAGAGACATAACTCAGTCGTAATTGGCTGACTTAACGGAAAACTCAA